TAAATGGGGACGACCCAACAAGGGGTGCTAGTGGTGTGAGCTGGACCTTTTTCTGTGTATGAGTTGGCATAGAGCAGACATTGAGACACTAACATGATTGTACGCAACTCAGATGGGAATAATATTTATCATACGTATATGGGATTAATTAACTTAACACAAGAACATTGCAAGAAAGTGAGATCTAGGTTCTAAGTATCACTAATATTAAAAAAAATAAAAATGAAACGATAACGCGTAATTGACATTTCCTTATATATATTTTCAAGCATATTATAGGTTTCAAACTCGAATTCCTTTAAATTACAACTGCATTCATCCCAAAATAGCGATTAATAATTACTAGTTTTTTAAATACTATCAATTCTCGATATGTTGTATTGGTTGAATCTCCCAAATCCATAATTGATGTTATTAAAAAAATTAATTCGGAATTAATATTTCAAAAGGATAACATTACTTTAATCATTTATACCAAAAATTGGTTTTGTATATAGCAAAACTCTCCGAGTCAAATGTGTTTAGTTCAAATTAAAGTACTCATTGAAGAGGAAAGATTTTGAGTTCCAATCTTATTAAAGGATATTAAAGGGTTACGGGCATGGTATGGGATGGTCTTAGGAGAGGGGGGTTGATCAATTGTGTACACAGAGGGCAAGTGGGTGGTGATGGGGGGTGAGCTGGCTGGCTCGTGCAGGCAAGAAATGATGGTCACGTCGTGGGAAGGAATGAGAGATGGAGACATTGGATATTACAAACATTGCCATGCTGCTATGTTTTGTTTTTGTTTTTGTTTCATTTACTGTGTGATTTCATATGCAAGTTGAACAGCAACAGAGAATAGCATGATGACTGTGACTCTTTCATTGTAAGTTTTTATTATCACTACTCACGTGCATGTAACGTGTCACTATCTATCTCACGTGCTACTAGGTGGCAGCAGGTTCATTTGGTACAAAAATGTCTGGCGCTTGATGCTTATTAGATTTGAAGTGTTGTGCGTATGGTAGGTAGCATATGGGCAGTTGCTTTCAACACCAAATCAATGCACAATCGGCTTTGCTTCCTGATAAAAGATTTGGGGTTACCAGCCTGCTTGGACCTGAATGCCTGCAAGCCTATGTAAATTGCTTGTATCTGATTGTTCTGTTTAATGAATCATCTTCACCTAAGAACTTGTAGTTAGCCTCTTATAAAAAAGCACAGTTTTAAATCCTAACAAATGAACTTTACAAGTAACTTTGGATGTGTGTATTAGATGTATGAGTTAAAAAAATAAGAAATATAAAAAAAAATCATTAGAAAGGGAAAATGCTACTACAAGGATTTGAATTTGATAACCAAAACAATCTCCTCTTCTGCTCATGATATGGAGCTTCAAATATACGTCCATTGTACAGAACTGCACCTGTATGTTACGCGTGGCAACATAATTTCTGCGCGCCAGTCTTATGGTGACAAATTAGCTTTGAAATGGAATTGGGCTGTAACACGATAAAACGCCAATTTTATTACCTAATATATTTTGGCTAGCGGAAAAGAAACAAGAGAACCTTGAGTAGGTGGCTTAAAAATTGTAGCAAGCCTCCCAAGCCAGAGGCCTCCAACACGACGGTCTACGTGTCTCTCAGTGATGGCAGATAGAGATGCAAGAGAAAACTGGAAAGCAACATGGCATGGCCCTTTGGCAAGGCTGACAAAAAAGCAAGGCATGATCAACTAAGGCTGAGACCCCAATGTAACATTCGGTCAAAAGTTCTAGACAAGAGTTACAAAAATAGAAATGCCGTCGCCAACAATTCTACGTTTTGTAGAGTATTGCAGAGCTTTAACTGTTGGTTTCTTATACATGGAGGGGCCATCTTAACCTCAAGCTTTATCGGTTAGTCATCAGGGTTACAAATGCTCAGAACCCCTACAGTTATTCATGTCCCCTTCTAATGTTATTCCAATAAATAAATAACGAATTCAAAAGCATATGAAGAATTGTCGATAACAAAAGATTACTCAAAAATCTATGAGCCAGGGGGAAAATATCAATGATAAAAAAGTGACAAATCATGATCGTTGTTTCCAGTTTTCAGTCACTTTGAGATTTGATAGTGATGCTGACTCGTTCTTAAATTCAGCATAGGTTCGTTAATTTGACAATGATAAGCATATTACATGTTAGCATTCTGAAAATTCAAAAGCTAACAACAATAGGCTTATGAGGTATGCTGTCAGATGCTCCAAGAAATCATCCTTGCAATACTCAGAAAAATATATATTTGATAAATGACAAATTTACAGAACTTAATCTGGCTAGTAAAGCTGCTCTGCTGATGACGACACCAACCAAATTCAAATCACCCCCAACAACAGCCAGAAACCAATGCCACCAAAATATATAGAACTTTGGTTCCAATCAGATCAACTAATGCAAAACATTCTACAAAGTGTTGAAACTAAAAAGTTTTACCAGCACTAGAGTTCATTGAATTGACAAAAGCAAAGCCAAACCCTACTCATTGCCTTGCATGGAAGGAAGGATCATATGCTGTCCCTGTCCCTGCAAGATGGCAAGAAGCCCATAAGAATACAGGCCACAGTTACAATTTCATTTACCACATTGCTTACTGACACCTATTTATGCAGGGAATGGAGCAAGATAACAAATAACGAACTCCATGCTAAACTAGCTACACCAAACATGTAATTAAATCCTAACTTGATCCCATTAATGCACACACAATTAAGACAGTATGAATGTATGATGTCAACAAGGCCATCAAAGGAATGTCATTTGCAGAAGAATGAGGAAAACTAGAGACATAATCAATAACATCAGGTGCCTGAGTTTGGTTAGCTTATTTAATTGAATCTGCACAAAAAGAGAATTTGACTACTGGTTCTTCACATTTATCATTTTTTCATCCCAATACAATCATGCACGTATTTCATGTTTGAGATGCTAAGTATCATCAGAAGATTTAAATTAAAAATATCAACTGCTTTGCATTGTTCACAATTACTCTTGAAAATATATTACAAAGGACAAACCTTTTCAATGTCAAATTATTAGGATGTACAATGTAGCTCTGTTTTAAAGATTCTTCAGGATCACCATCCAGACCATCTTAAGACTCGTGACAAAGATTCTATAACCAAGCCAAATACAATCTCCCACATAACCAAACCAGGTCTAAACGCCCCCTCCTCCTAGTACAAAAAAACACACACAAAAGGGAAAAAACAAAGGTGCAGGGATCCTGCTTGGATTAAGCCAAGCATTAGATCAATGACCACTTCATATGAGGCAATATGTACAATACAGGCTCAAGTTCCCTAAAAGAAGCTTGCGAAGAGGTGGGGGAATAATGTAGTCAAAATTGGTAAGGAAGAAGGGAAGGCAAGTTTGACCTCCCTCCGCTTGATTCCATGTAATACCATATGCCTATCAAGTTTTCTTTTTTCCTCACATAAATGGTTTCTATCTCATAAACGACAGACAGAAAAGTCTTAATACAATGGTAGGGTGTCCGGAGATGGTAGCCCTGTACCAAACAAGCTCATTGTCAACCATAAGTTATTCCAGCAAGCTGGAGCACATTGGAAAACAATGCTACTATAACAATGTTAATCGTTTGCCATCTGAGAAGAATGGGTAAAGGGATAGATTTAATTTAGGCTGCTAGGGGCTGTTCAACTGCACATAAAGTATTTACTAGACAGCAGCATATTATCGTTGACTGGTTGCAAGGTTCACTATTATTCAACTTGAATCCAACAAACTTCCCCACATATTAGATCAGACGTAGAGATTACAGAAGGAGATTATTTTGCTTCCAGATATTCTGCAAACAGAGGTAATTTCATGGGACAATGGAAGACAAGTAGCTTGAAACTGCCATTATCAGCAATGTCAACTTCGGTCAAGACCGTGTCTTCTCCAAGTGTGGGTATTTAAAGGAGGCTACTACAAGGATAATGGGGAAGCTACTTGCATGTAATTAGAGGCACCAAACTGCTTCTGGCAGCCAGTTACAGACAGTGGGATTGAGGACAAGCAGCCCCACTTCTTTACAAATAGGTAATGCTCATCTCAAAAACCAAGATAAAATCCATAATTTGCTTCAAATGTAGAGCCACCACATAAAACTGCAAATGCAGTGATAGTTTGATAGATATTTCTTTTTCTTATGAGACCTTAAAAACCAGGATCCCCAACAAGCACAGACAGCCTGAGCCTAATATAAATTTTCAAATGTATTCTTTCATTTTATTAACAATCAGACGGTTGGAAATTTACTTGCCTGCAAACATATACAAGTCACAGAGTTATGGTGATTAAATAACTACCCAACTATGGCTCGTTTGGACCAATATAGTCAAAGACATCGTCCTTTGAACCTTATCTACTCCACTTAACAATATGATTGAATATATGCATATTTTTTCCCTTCCACTCACTCATCTTTATTTTTAGCCATCAAAACATTGGTCACCCTCCTTTTTCTCCATCTTTTCCTCCACAATTATTAGTTAACTTTACACTTTCTGTATCACTTTGTGACTTTTTAACCTATCTACATTGTTATTTTTTGTCCAGCATTTAGCCAAATTTGTTTTTCCCATCAATCCAGGATTAAAAATATGACACTTTGGGAACAAGGACAGAATGTACTCTTACATTCTTTTTGTGAAGAAAAGAAAAGGACTGATTATTCTTGAATAGTACTCATGTTATTTATATTTGACCCAATGACAACAGTTTCTGAATCCAAGAGAAAAGGAATTTGCATGATTATTTAATTAACTAAACAAATAATTCAATAAATCAAGATTTATAATTTTCTAATACTCAGTTAAAATGTTTAATATTTGACTCTATATTCCATTGGGTTTAAGAATCTGTGTGTGTGCGTGAGAGAGAGAGAGAGAGAGAGAGAGAGAGAGAGAGTATTACTTGTGAACTTATATAGTTCATAGATCCTTGAAGAGCAAACTGGGGTAGTTCATCACAAATGCAAGAAGAAGACAACATGGTAAGCTAATGAAACTTCAAGAAGGACAGATAAATCAACCTCCAAAGCATGTTTACAAAAATTCACCTGTGGATTTTGACCAGGCAGACCTCCAACTGCTTCCCTTTTAGAAGATCCATCTCCACCTCTAGCAGATCCTTTTGCATCACCCTGCCAAAGTTGCTAAATTATAACTCCCAACTGTACAGAACATATTTCTTGAAAAAAAAAATTAAATAGAAGTTGCTTAAACTGAGAGAGAGAGGAGAGGAAAACAATGTTTTAATTAGAAAAAAAATGCTAATTACCTCCAACTGTGGCATTGCATCATCCAATAAAACCAATCAGCGAGGGAGGAAAAAAAGAAGAGTCAGATAATTAGATTCTAAAAGAACCAATAAATTAAAACAAAATCAATCATGAACAAGAAACAAAAAACATAAAAATCAAAGACTAATTACCTCCCGGTACCTAGCCAGGTACACCTTAAGTGGCTCGATATAGTCCTCAAATCCTAATGTTGCCATTGCCCACAACAAATCATCCCCATTGATTGTCTTTCTCTTCTCCTTCTGACACTTATCACTCGCCCTAAAGAAAACAATTTCCAATTACATTTCACGTCCAAGAACCCTAATTTCCATGAGCAGCAATTTCATTGCACAAAGTAAAATCTAAATTCACAACTATATTAATAGGAAAACACGAGAAAACCATTAATTCCAACACACCAATCAGATAAACAAAAGAAACATTTCCAAAATACCAACTGCGTTTGATAAAGCGATCAAAACCCCAGTTTCCAAAACCCCAATAACAGTTCTACATAGAACCCCCTAACCCTACAATTACAATTCACCAAAAAAGAGCAATTCACAATAATCGAAAACCAAAATCAATACCAAACGAGACACGTCATAACCACTTTTACTTACTCGCTGGTAACGAAGCTAATAAACTCAGAAACACATTCCTGAACAGTATCCTTGGCATCCTTAGCAATTTTTCCATTAGCTGGCAACGCCTTCTTCATGATCCTACTAATATTAGCAATAGGCAGGTATCTATCCTGCTCTCTCACCCCTGACCGCGGGCTCTGTTCACCACCACTATCGTGGCTTCCCGCGGCCGGACTCGTGGGATTATCCGCCATCTCCCTAAGAAAAAATCTACACATTGATCACAAAAAAATAAATACACCTCATTAATGCAAAATTCAAAGCAATTATAAGCTAATCACAAACAAAAATAAAAATTATCCTAATTCAATTTTAATTGAATTAAACCCTAGATTACACGTATAATAAATTCAAATACAACACAGCAAAACACAACACGTTTCTATGCGTCTGCACGTAAGGAAACGGACACGTATACGTATACGGAGACGGAGAGTAGAGACGAGGGTGAATTGTAGGAGATCGAAACCCTAGGCGAGGTGGATTTTAGAGAGAGAGAGAGAGTGGAGGTTGTTTATTACCTGGAGAGAGAGAGAGAGAGGGAAGGAGGGAGGGAAGAGAGGGTGGTTTTGTATTTGGCGCGAGAGTTGGAGGGAGAGTGAGAAACAGAAAGAAAAAATGTTTAGATCTGACGATGGAGAAGAGAGAAGAAGGGAGAGAGGTGAAGGAGATAGCAGTTTGTGATTTGCCGGATTTTATTTTCCTTTTCTTTTATTGGTTTGGCTTTATGTTTATCAACACCGTTGGTTCTTCTTTCTTAGTCTGCCTCTTCAGTTTGAGTTATGCGGGTCCCCTTCTTTATTGTTGGTTACAGTTTTTTTTTTTTTTTTTTAATATTTATTTCCTCTCATTTCTAACCTATTTTACCTTTTTTTTTTTTTTTTTAATTCGTTTTGAAGTTTTATATTCTAGGATGGATCTTCGCGCGTGCCAAAAACTTGTTTTTTTCCATGCAAACCTTAGTTTTTTTAAATAATAATAATAATAATAAATAAATTATTCACACATGAGTAGTAAATTCACATAAATTAGAGATCGAAAATGTCCATGATATTTAATTCATACAAAAAAAAAAAAAACCAAGATACAAATACGTTATTCTAAATTTTCAACAACATAAATTATATTGACAATTCTTATACATATTGTGAAGATATTCATGTCACATCAATGTGGAAACCTAAACTCAAAATAATTTTATAAGTTTACAAGGCATAGAGTTGCTATCAATAGAAGGTTAAAGTTTAGCAACTCCAACTCTTTTTAACTTTTTTGGGGGAGGTGGACTATTATCATTCGAATTTCTTATGAGAATCCAAACTTAACTGCGAAGGTTTCATTAGCTAGAAAAATGCCATCATAATTTTTGAGTAAGAGATTCCGAAGTGGAAGTCTATCGTTCTTTAATAAAAGCATTGATAATCTGTAATCTCTTCGTAGTTAATGTCAATCCCTCGTATAAAAGAAAGAATAAAAATTATTAATTAGTTTTTTGTTTAATTTTGAATAACCAATTAATTAATCCTCATTGTTTTAAAAATAATTTTTACATTTTAAAATTTTCTTATAACTTAATTATTTAACTCTTTTCAATTTATTTTAATTTTTAAAAATTGAATAATTAATTTTTTTAAATAAAAAAGACTAATTAATCAATAGAAGGACTAATTCATAATTTACTCGTAAAAGGAAAGGTGAACAATTATGCTTGCCAAATCTAGCATGTTGCTCTCTTCATGTAAATGCCGTAATTGTCACGTGGGTTGGATTGGGTAGCTTCATGTTAGGTACCTTGAGCCATTATTGGGCCAAGTTCATGGGCCTATGGTTTTCAGTTTTGTTGTAGATTTGGGTTCTAACACCCTGTGACAAAGCCCAGTATATTTTAATTTTTTCACAGTAATAATTATCAGTAAAAGAAAAAAAAAAAAATGCTGCCAAAGCTTTTCACAACAGAAGGAATAGCCGAATAGGTCACCCAAAAAACCTTTGTGTTGATCCAGGAAGAAATCCCCAAGACTGAATGACAATCACGACAGCATTTCTTGGTTAGAATTCCAAGAAAAATAAAAAAGCTGAAGCATGGTTAACATTTGATGTGAACATATAATTGGTTCAGAAGATATGGATTGTCTAGGTAATCAGGTTAGAACGGCATTTTAGTCACCAAGCCTACAAGCCTGGTTCAAAATTCATAACTCTGCCACTTATCATGGCAGGTGCCTTTCAATACTCAGTTATATTCACCACCCAAAAGTAGAGCAGCTTCCACCCATTAACAGGCCAACTCAAGTTCGACCACCACAATCAATTTCGAACCCCCAGCACCATTGGGCTGTTTGTCACTGCAAACGAATGCTAACGAGTCACAGCGAAGTTGATTATTTCCTCTGCGAGAACATAGATTCAACCCAGGCATCAAATCCTCAAATTTGACTACACTCATGAAGGCAACAAACTGGAGCAGGTAAATTTGCAGAGGGTTTATAAGCCATACTTTGACTTGGTTTAGTTTCCTTCCATCTGCAAATATGGTACAATATTTGCACATGGAACATGGTACAAGAACAAGATTTGTAATTCTAGAAAATGAATCACAAAGTTTTTAAATATGCTCCAGGCCAGAATCATAGCATGTCATCGACTGGAAAAAAAAAAAAAAAGGCGAAGAGGGTATAGTCTGGGAGAAGATGTGAAACGAAAGTTAACCAGAAAGCAAGCATATGGGCATGACAATGTACAAGAGCATCATTTTATCTTGAAAAAAGAAAGAAAAAATTGATAAACCAATGTAATTGAATTCTAACAACCAGCACACAGTACAAGAGAGTAAAATTTGGCAAATGCTATCACTCCAAATTTAAATATAGTGCCTTTTCACGATGATGTGTAAAGCATGGGCCGAGTTACTGGGAAGGAAAGAAATTCTAACTCCTCTGCAGATAAAAAAAATGGACAAAGGGTACCATTTTTAGACAATTACTGTCACAGCAAGTGATAAAACAAGCACATCCTCAGGTCTTTTTCATGATCAATGGCATGACATACACTTTTCACAACTTCCCAAATGAAATGACATGCAGCATGAGGCCTTCACTTGTAAAGTTAGAATGGATACCCTTCGAGGCCTGCTTTCTCCATGATCTCTTTCTGGTAACAAGTAAATGAAAAAAAAATCAGAATATAAAATCGATAAATCAGGGTCTCTTTCAAAATGATATTGGACTACTAATTTTTACAATGGTTGCTTCTTATAACTAGTTTGTTCCGTGCACTTGTATGTGCTAGCAGTCTTACACATGAAAGAAGTTTAAATGGATGGTGCAATGATAAACGAATTTCATGTACCTGGATCAATGCTGTGATCATCCCTGGATCCTCCTAATAATAATAGCAAAACAATTGCAGTTAAGAGAAAAGATTGCCGCTGTATCTGAAAGCTACATATTTACAAATTCCATACATTCACTCACCCCAAACTGCTTCTCCTCCCACGAGATCTCCTTAAATGCTTTTAGTTCCAATGACTGCCACGAACTTGGAACTTGAATTTTCTCCACATGCTGCATTATTCTCAGGCTACCTGCCATATAACTTGACTTCAGTCAACTGAGGGTAAAGGGAATGTTTACGGAAAGAGAAGCTGAGAAATAAGTTGAGCTTGAATCCTATTCCGAAACCATGAATTAGAAAATAAGAAAGAGAAATGGACAATGTCAATCTGAAGATCCTCACAGTTCATTTCAGAAAAATTCAGAGCTACATGGTTGCGACAGTGCCACTTAAACAGCTGCCATATAAGGTTCATCTATCAGCAAACCCCAAGCTTCTAATAAAATGCCAGGACTCAAATTTATCGTTAAGAAACAGCAAAACCTGATTCTTGATTCTTGAACCACACCAATCAAGTGTTTATAGCATTTGGAGAGTTCAAATAACACTGTAAAATGAATTGCTAGGGGTCGAAGGATATAGATGCTAAAAGCAAAGAGGACGTGTACGTGTGTGACAGCAAAGGTTTACTTGTAATAAATGCTTCTTGCCAAAATTCATGCTTCGACCACGATGGTGCAACTTCTCGAAATGGAATTCCCTTGCTCAAGCACACTCTGCATAAAAACACTAGGTTAGATGATTTTTACTCCTATTCCATCAAAATCGAATGCATTGCTTAATAATGCTGAACTTGGTTGTGGTATAATAGCATGACCAAGCAGAAACTAGCATGGCCCAAGTGTTCAGTCCCTGAGTTTTCCTTTATAATGAAGAAAAACACTCAACAGCAAACAAACATTTGACACACCCAAAGTATATTCTGTTGCTAGAAGGCCATCTACCTCCTTTGCATACAGATACAATTGCATTAAGCAAAGGAACACTCACTCTACTATTAATTGGCGTATGACTCCTGGAAGGACCCCGTCACCAATAGGAGCTGTCTGCACTTCATAAGGACATGCATTTTCTTTACGACCAAAATAGTTCCTGTCACTTTCATCCTGAGAGCACCTAAGACAATTCATAGTTAGAAAATCAACAATAAGCACAAGAGCACAATTCGCAGGCATACCCAAAAAAAACTAAGAACCCAGAATGAAAGTCTTGAACATTGCTCTAACATTCTCAATCTCTCACCTTGCGACAAACAACAAAAAAATTCGTGACACAACCTTCAAGTATTCGATCACCATCATTGGACAACAATAGCTCAGTTACTGAAGGAGGCCTCAACTTTTCCAAAGACTTCCTTAACCTGCATACATCCTCAAAAAAACACAATTCACATAACCCATCACAATAATAACAACAGAAAGGAAAAAGAAAAGTAATATTAAAAAAAAAAAAATTGCTTACTTTCTCACCTAACCCAATCAGAATACTTAGCTTCTGCAAAATCCCTCGCAGAACCGACCACAGCTACTCTGGCTCCATTTCCTTTAACACCAAACACATGAGGCACATGACTCCCTACATGAACATGAACATCAAACGCATCAAAAACATTTTCCTTAACTTCACTCAGTTTCTCTGTATTCCCAGTAACAAGAGCAGTAACTGCCAGTTCCTCTCCCTCGTGTCTCGTCTCCCTCAACGCAATTGGCAACACTCTATTTAACGACTCGTTGACGAGTGACTTAATTGTTGAATCCCAGATGGGTTTTGGTGGTGGAGCAGGGGACAATAGTGGGTATTTTGTGGAGTTTAAGGATTTGAAGAGGAGTTGTGGGTTTGAAGTTAAGAGGAATTTGACCGAATTTGAAAGTCGTTGTAAGTGTCGGTCCCAGAATAAGAGAGATGCTGTGTTGTTGTGGGTCCGAGCGGTGGTGTAAGCGCCAGGATTGGATTCGAGGAAGGTGGAGATTGGAGGTGTGTCTGGCGGGTGCAAAACGATGCCGTTGCTGTAGAGGAATCTGGTGCTTGCCATTCTTGCTGACTTGTTACCGTCACAAGACCTGAAGAGTGGAAGTTTTGCTTAACTATATTCTGAATTTTCTTTATGTTTGAACTTGGAAGGACGATAATGGAATAATGGTTCTGGGCTTTGAGTCCAACTCTATCAAATTCCTTTTCCTTAGGCCCATGTTGGCCCAAATAAGGTATCGGAATTTTTTTCATTCTATGTTTGATTTTTTTTTTTCCAAAATTTATGAAATCGATTTTTATCATGTACAGATTAACACATTAATTTATATAAAAATTTTAATACCTTATTTGCAACTTTGGCAGGAATAGATGCCTTTTTGAGGCGAATTCTAATGTTACAAAAGAAAATAAAGAACTTTTAATAGTTTATTTTTGCAGAGGAAAGAAAACAAGAAGACTTTTATTCTCATTGCATTATTACAGTCTGTGAGATTGGAATTTTGATACATCGAATTCTGCACATCTCCATTCAAGAACATTAATTTTGAACGTTGCTTTTGAAACCTAATCCGGAAACTAAAACGAACATACCATTCTGAGAGAAAAAAAATGGCAACTCTCCAGAAACACGCCCCTTCATTCCCTAAAGTCACAACTCAAATCCAACAATTGTATTCTTTCATCTCTATAACAATGCACACTACTGTTTACCCATTTCATTTCTCATCTCCGAGCAACAAATTACAGTTAAACAAATATGGAATCTTCTTCGGTGCCTTCTTCTTCTTCTATTTCGAATCCCTTGGTGACCCCAGAAGAGTTCAAGATTTTTCACAGCATAGACCGAACACTTTATACTAGACTTGTTGTCAATCTTGACCGTGACCCCGCAGAGTCCATGCAAGTCATGGCCTTATGGATTTGGCTTGAAAGGGAGGCACGTGATTATTTAGTGGACAAAATGTTGTCATTGCCTGATGCCCTTATCAATTCACTAGCAGATGAGGCCGTTCTTTGCTTGAATTGCATTGAGACTGACCGGTTTAAATTTTCTCCGGAAACTGTAAACGATGAAGTTCCTTTGACTCAACAGTTGACAAAAACTGGCCTCACCCTTCAGTTTTTCCATGACAATCGACTTGGCATTCTTCGTGCGCTGACAAAGATCATCAATGAAGTTTGTGCAAGAGCTTTCGAAGATATATCGAGACAAGTCATGGAGAGAAAGGCTATTGGAGAAGGAAGTAATATTGTTGCTGAAAATGTTCTTGGTCAAGAAATGAACCCTTTGAATTATTATGGTCCAGTGATTAATCCTGTACTGTATTATAATTCGACTGCTGCTGGTGTTTATGGTCGAATGGGGATCAGGCCCCAATTCATGGCGCCTAAGGCAGCGCAACCTTCCGGAATTTTGCCTGGCTATGATCCTTATGATCTTGCAGTTCAGAGGCAGATTATGAACACTGAGAATATTGCTGAAGCATTGAGTCGTATAAAGATTAGTACTGGCGACCATCAGGAAGATCAGAAGGAAGTGCAAGCTGATGGTAGGACTATTTTCTTGACATTCTCTAAAGGTTACCCTATTTCAGAAGATGAAGTCAGAGAGTATTTCACCAAGTAATTAATATCTCTATCAGTCTCTCTTACATGTCTAAATTTTGTGTGTTATAACAGAAAATCTTGAGAAAGAATGAAAATTCTGAAATTATATTAGGAACTGATCACATTAATTAATGTTTATTTGTGGTAACAGGAGGCATGGAGATTGTATTGAAGCAATTTATATGCAAGAAGTTTCGGCAGAGGAGCAGCCACTGTATGCTCGCCTTGTTGTACCCTCTGCTCTCGTCATTCATAACGTTCTCCAGGGACAGTGCAAGGCAAAGTTCACCATTAATGGAAAACATGTTTGGGCCAGGAAATATGTCAAGAAGAATCCGAAGTCGTCGTCTCCATCCAAGTCACCCACATCACCACAACCAACCTCACCAGACGCAGGACCACCAAGCGTAAACTGAGTTTGATGATCTTTTTTTTTTTAGTTCTTCCTTTAAAAAAATGAAAAATGTCATTTGTATTTGAATTTTGTGTGTGCGTGTTTATTAAGTGAATTCGAGTATGTGTTGATTTTGAGTTTCTGTTGGGCTAAAAGTGACTTCGAGTCTTATTATATGTATCTGTGTACTAACTACAAGTTTAATAAGAATTACGTTGCAATTGGTTTATGAAGTATTTATTTTGTTCTACCAACAACTTGTTGATTATTGGTAAACCAAATGATTTTTAGATAATTTTCTTTCAATATACAAAATTTAAATTCCAAAATTGTATTTATTAAAATAGATTTAAATCTTGTAGTTCCTATCTTAAAAAAAATTAATATTATCTCCTAAATGGAATTACTTAAGTAAAATATGAGATCAGTAATTTATTCTCATATTTTACCATTTATAATTTGAAATTTCAATTTATATATAATTCTAGTATAAAAAGTTATGTTTGTGAATCGTTTTTCTTAATAATCATTCAATAACTTTTTCTAATTTTAAGAGACTTATCATTGACGAAAATTCTAAACGGAAGAAATTACTATATAGAAATCTCATAAATATAACAAACATTATCGTATTAAAGTACAGTACTAACAAATTACATTTCTAAACCTCATTATCAATTTTCTTTTTAATTTTACAGGTGGATTATTTTTATTTTTCAAAGGTTTCTATATCAATCTATTTTTGTGTAATTTACGTTGAAAACAGACTCCTCGTTTATCAAATAAAGAAAATCATCAAGATTTTGTGATTTATTGCCGAACTTATTTCAATTTCAAGATCTCGAATCGCTATATCAATATTGAATTGCTCGTTCTGAAAACATTTTGAATATTATGTGTTGAAGAGATACACCTCCATACTTTTTAACACAAGATTTTGAGTCTGCCGTGTCTATCATTTCACAACCGAGACATCTTCCCAATCGAATCGCTTATTTTTTTTATTAAGGAAAAGATATGCATCGAAAGAGTTCTTTTATGGCCCTTTTCCCACATGGCAATAGCCCACTTATTGTTTAGGCCCATTAGAGAGCAACGTTAAAATTTAACTCCTGCAGCCAAGCCCAACCCATTAACACAAAGCTAAGTGGTCGCCGGTGGACTGTTGTTGTTGTAGAATTTTTTTTCTTATTTACTCAAAAAAAAAAAAAAAAAAAATCATTTGGTATACGAGCAGATTTAGCTAGTGATTGTGGTATCCGGTTCGGTGAAAGAAAACAAAGTTTGAATCTCAGTAATTAACTGTTTCCTCAGCTATTATAAGGTGGTAATTTAAAAAAAAAAAAAAAAGAAAATGAAAACACTCCAAAGAGGTCCTTTGGCTAAAAAAATAAAAAAATATAGTCCTTTGGCTCAAGGAGATATAGCTAGAGAAATCATCAAATTCAGCGCAATTGCAAAACATCACCCAAATAGTACCCAAAGCTCACAAATGCTATCACCGGTGTACCAAATTAACTGGCTAATGTTGTGCTTAGATAATATCCAATTCCAATTAACAATGACTCTATTTAGATGTTAATATAAGAAAAAAAATTTTAAAAAATTATAATAGTTCTATGGTCGTCATCATGCAAGAGATCTACTTCAAAAATAAAAATAAATTCATCTAAATTTATAATTTTTTTTAATCAAAATTTTACATTTAATTCACCTTTTCTTTTTCTTACATTTTTAAATATATTTTCTTCTTAAAAAATAATGATTTTTTTCCTTTATGCATAGACTTTTAAATAAAAATTTATAATAATCTAAAATGTAAATTTTTAACGAAAATCTAAAAAAATAGATGTAAATTTATATTTTTCATGAGATTGTATAGAAAAAAATAAAGAAATAATTAATGTAAAAAAATTACATAAAAAATAAATAAAATTTTATTTTTAATGAAAATCGATGAGAAAAATAATTTTGTAAAGTGTGTGTGGGTGGGTGTATATATATATATATATATATATATATATATATATATATATATATTACTGTGAATTTCAAAGGGAATAATCTATACCTGGTCATGATGCCCTCCTGCACTATTGCTAAATTAATTGGAGAACGATCAGTAAAGTCACAGCATAAATTAATTTCTTTTGGATTTAATTTACATTTTATGAAAAGTTAACTGTAGAGTAGCGTTTTTCTTTTGTCAAAGTTATCCTTTCCTTTCTAATTAAGTTAATAAATTCTTTTATGGCATGAAATGCTCAGATGCCTAATTAAATGACTAAATTCTTTTAAATTATTTTTTAGGTCAAACCAATTAAAATCTAATACCATGAAAAGATAACCATGATTAACTGAGCTAGAAACGTAGTTTAAACTTTTGATCTGATTCAAAATTCTCTAATTAACCGCCATCATTATTTTTTAATTTTGAAAAATGGATTTTATTACTCCGTATTATTATCTAATTAAAATCCAATGGGAGGCTGAAAACAAAATTCTTTTGAAAGCTCTATCAATCCAATAAGATCCGATCGGATAGATAATTAGCTTTGATTTGTATGCAAAACTTAGCCCTCTAACCATTACAACCAGAATAATAATAATTGTAATTATACAGATGCAAAGATCTGAGACTCGCGAGTAATGAAACAAAGGCAAAAACACTGATTACGGAGAAGAAGCTGAAGAAAGAGTCAGCAATGACAGCTCCGGCAATGGGAAAGAGGCTGTTGAAACCAAGGATGATCAAATTAATGATTTGAGTTGCATTAATACTGTTTATGTTCATTACAGTTATCAAGAATACTATCAAATAGAGGATGAAAAATCCTCTATTTTTTTGTTTTTTTATGGTTCTTTTTTTTTTTTTTTTTTTGTTTCTTTCATATTCTTTGTTATTAATTGATAAGTTTTATATAAAAATAAATAAATAAATAAATAATAATCGAATGCATTCAAGGGTTTTGAAAGTCTCTTGATTTTTACTAGTTGTTGCCACTAGCTAGCGAAAGTATTTTTCTTCCTTGTTTTTTTTTTTTTATTTGACTTGTCTCTTTTGTCTGCAATAATCTTAGATCTAGTGTTCTAACGAGAAATTTTATAATACACAATGAGTAATTAGTGACATATCCAAGTTGTTACTCATTGGGTTCACTTTGAGGAGAAAGATAGACACACAAAAGAGAGAGAGAAAATAAAAAAATTTGAGCGGACGTTGAAATCTTTTTATCACTTTTGATGGGTATGGATGTAATTTTTTTCTTTTTTATGTGTCTCAAAGTGAACTCAAGGAGTAACTACTATATATGTCACTAGTTACTCCTTATGTATTATAAAATTTTTCGCATTCTAATTACTAGATCTAATGTTTTCGAGTTGAGTGTTTGTATACATAATTTTTTTTAATAAGTGTGTACATCCGATTGAATAATGAGATATTTATTTATGCTTTTGGGTCTGTAATATTTTAAGAATATTAAAAAAATAAAAAAAAATTAGTTTTGACACAAAAATGAATAGTTGTAACTTAACAAGAAGTCTAATGAAGTCATTTGGCAAAAGCAAAACTAGAGAAATCTTCAAATTTAATTAGTAATATTGCAAAATAGCAACTCATGTACAGTTGGGTGCAATCAAATTAAGTAGCTCCAGAATCATAAGTCTCGTTCTCATGATTCTCAATGTTTTGATACTTAAATTTTTTTGCACATAATAGATAGTATCCAAAGTTCACCACGGCTATCACTGCCAACAACCAAAATACATAATCTAATCTCCCGTCATTGATGTTATTAGGCAACCATCCTGTAGACCGACGTATCAAATCGGTTAATGCTGTGCTTAGATAATATCCAATCCCAATGAGCAACGATATCATAGCAGTAGAAGTACTTCTTAATGACTTAGGAAATTCTTGGTAATACAAAGCAACTTGTCCTGGAAACTGAAACGCTTCACCAACCCCAACAATGGCTAGTGGCACCACAAGCCATAAACCTGACATTGGCACGATTGAACCGGGTGGTTCCCCGCTGAGGTGACTGGTTCGAACCACATGGAGCCTCTTTGTCTCCACCAAGGCAGATCCCACCATAGCAAATATGTTCAAGACATGGCCAATGCCAATTAGTTGGAGTGGTCTCAATGATCTTCGGGTCAAATTTTTCCACATAGGCTGTAAGAAACGATCAATGATGTAGATTGAGAGTATCGTGGCTACAAGGGTAAATACCAGGAATGTCCCAGCAGGGATTTTGAAGTGTGGTCCAAGGTGTCTGTCCATGGTCAGGGCTTGGAGGACAGTTAGGCTGCTAATCATAGCTATAGGAGTACTCAAAAAGATGCTGCTAGACCATAGTGGCAGGATTTTGATCAGGGTTTTGAGATCCTCAACTTCCTCCACTGTACATAGCCACCAGGAGATTGAACAGGAGCCATCTGATTGTTTGTCACTTTCAATTCTTAGTGCCGCACAATTCAAGAATCTGCGTGGAAATCAACGTCGTCTACTTAGTGTTTCGCAGAAAAGTATTAATAGTAGGGACGCAAAAAGTAGCAACCAAAATGGTATTGGAGATCATGAACAGATTTATTGGCTTTGAAGCTGAACAGAAACAAAACTAGTGGATTTCATACGATTTCCTTCTTGGCCATTGCACATGCGGAGTACAGGCGACAGCTCCTAGCTACTTTTTTAAGTGCAAGGATGAGTCGGTGAAAGTCACACCAAGAGGCTAAATAAAAGCGAAGTAATGAATTATATAGATGAATAATTGATTAATTGAATGGTAGATCGGATTTACAGATTACTGTGAATTTCAAAAAGAAAAAACTGTACCGTATGATTATATATGAGTATGATTTTTTAAGTATTGAATCATTTTGCTGATAAATAATAGATCTTACTTTGTCGGATGTCTTAAGACACGATGCCCCTCCTGCACTATATATACAGAATTTCTTCTGGATTTTAAATGATATGCATGCGAGTTAACTAAGAATAGAGTTTTTGTTTTCTTTTCTATGATTAATTTCCTCTCCTTTCTACCTTACTAATTCTTTTCATTACTGAAAAACAAAGGCAACAAAAGGACATGTCCATATACAACGTATATGCATGTGCGATTGTCATCATGAGGAAAAATTTAAGTGCTGAATCACTCTTATCTAACTAGCTGGCTAGCTGAAAAGATAGAATTTCTTTTTGTTTAAAAATAATGCATTTAGCACTTCATTATTGCTATCATGATTGTGTCCGATAACATATTAGCTAGCTAGGCCACTAATCCTCCATGAAAAACTAATAAATTCCAATATATATATATACGGAAATACGAAATTCACTTGATCATCTAATCACCTTAACTATCAAGGAATCACCAGCCGTTGGATCATATTTAATTTGAATTTAATATGGGATTAAATGCAAATTATGAAATTCAAAATTTTCTAATTATTATTAACATTCCTCTATATATCAGTACGTAAATTTTTAATTATCAATAACTAATTATTAACCCAGAAATTTAGGGAAAGCCATAAAATCACCCCTAGAATTTATTAGAGCATATTTAGATTGTTGATTTAATTAATTACTTGTGTTCCATAACAGTGTAGACTGGAGGGTACCTGAAACTCTCAGTTGGACTGCTAATTTCCTTTGTATTGTCTCCATGAAAATAGTCTAGCTGAGTTTGAAAAGTTTTCAGTTTCCTTCGTTTCCGAATTGCTGCAACCAATACACGAGCAATGCTCACAAAAGGGCTTCCTCTGGGCTTGGTATGGCGATAAAACCTTTTTCCCAACAAAAAAACAGCTATGGCAATGGCATTAGCGATAACACAAATGCCAAACCCTAAGCCCCAGCTCACGTTATCCTGAACATAGATGATAGCCGTGAAGCTTATGGCAGTGGCAAGGTACAAAGTGAAGAAATACCAACTGAAGAAAGTTCCTTGCTCATTTGGCTTATTGTATTGATCTGCTCCCATAGTTGCAATTGTGAACCGTGTGCCTCCAAGTCCTAATGAAGCTAATGCTAATGCCACGTAGAGTACTGCATATTGAAGCTTTGATGGGCCTTCACAAGCAAATGCTCCAATCCCACATGCTGGGGGTCTCAAGGAATGGATTGTAGATGCTAGTGTTAGCATGATCACCCCCTGAAATTAAGTATCCATAAAGATGTCGGTGTAAATTGTCAAAACATACAAATCCAGCAGCACATAATTAAAGATTATAGAGCTTAAAATCAGTTTAAAATTCTGGTCCGACGTATATAAGGTTCTGTAGCTAACCATGATCATTAACTATATTTTCATCTTGGGTTTGAATCCAATGGGATATTGCGAGAAAAAATAATCATTTAAAAGCGTTAATATGAGTGCAGGTAGATGGTCTATCTAAAATCTGATTAGGAAGATAATCGATGTCAATGCAGATCAAAACCTCAAAACTTGCAGTAAAGAACTGAGACTCACCAGTAGAGAAACAAAGGCAAAAACACAAATGACATAGAAGGAACTGAAGAAAGAATCAGCAATGACAGCTCCGGCAATGGGAAAGAGACTGTAGAAACCAAGGATGATATTGTTGATTTGCGTTGCATTAATGCTCTTTATGTTCATTACAGTTATCAAAAATACTATCAAATTCGATGACCACCCACCGGCTGCTAGTGTCAGACCCATCACAGTTCCTGTGTATACATGCTCAATAAAATTAGAAACGTACGTTGCAACATTAGTTCATCACTTTAACCAACATAATTAAATTTGACAGAGAAGAAGAGTTGAGAAAAACATTTAACCAAAAGAGATGAAAAAAAGAGAGAGATTTACCTATAATGAAGGGGAAGGTAGTCCATCCTCCTCGTTTACTCTTCGTTGATGGTGCTTGTTCGTTTTGAATGGAGACCGAGGTTTGCAAGGATTCCATTTTCTCTCTCTCTATATGTTACTCTAGTTATGGAAGAGGACCATATATATTAATTTGAGCTGCTATGCTGTGCTGTTGGAGGTAAGACGAGCATACTATATATATATATATATATATATATATATATAGTGGCGTCGAGCTCACAATTATTCACCTACTAAGTACTATATATTAAAGCAGTTATTTGTCGAATTATCATTTATTTATTTCAAAGGTTTATTTAAATAAAGCAACTTAATTATTTTGTCCCTCCACAATTATATATTCATATTCAATTACAGGCACGTAGCATTTGACAAAATCTCTCAGGAGTTGGGCTATCAAGAGCAAGAGTAAAACAAAATCATTCAGGAAAAAAGAAAAATCCTATCGAATTAAGGAACTATTTTATTGGAACTACAGTGTATGACGGATTAATAATTAACCTTTCTATTTACTTAATTATGATGGATATTATTATACTAGTTATCAATAATTTTAACCATTTTAATTAGTGTACTATGCGTGTAAAAAACTGGCTGGTTACGGCAATCATGCCATCAAGCAACCCCTTTGCTGGATCACCACCCTACACCCAAGGAGCAATGGACCATTGAGAATGCAACAAGAGATCGGAAGCCTCAATTACAGTGTCAAAAAAGACCAGGATAATAATATTAGTATACTAGTTATCAATAATTCTAACCATTTTAACAATTGTCGTTATGATTAGGAGGTTTGTTGCCTTTTTAATCATGAAACTATAAGAAGTAAAATTTTCATTTTTTAGCAATTTTATTTTGTTTTTTTTTTTGGTGCAGAAGTGGTTAGAACACAAAATTAAGATCTAAGAAAAAAATTCCAATAGCATCACTCAAATAATATCAATAAGATTCGAGAAAGAGTGGTGCCAAATCTAGAACGGTATATCAAGAACAGTTTCAATTGCTTCTCGTTGAAAAAGGAAGAAAATAAAGAAAAGTTAACAAAACGGAAGCAATTTTTCGAAATGAAAATTTACAGCATGCGAGTCGACTTAAAGTTGAAGTCTTCAACCTTATTTTTTAATTGTGTCTTACTCGTACGTATCTTTGGAGGTCAGAGTATTTAAAAGCAATTTATGAACGTGGACGTGGTGGACCAATCCAAAAAAATAAAAAATAAAATCATGGACCAGATGAAAATATAATGGTTTCAACACGATGATGACTGATGAACCACTCCTGAGAAAGTCTGATTTTCTTATTTTGTAAGAATTTCTTGAAGAAAATAAAGAAAAATTAAAAAAAATGGAAGCAATATTTCGAAATGAAAATTTACTGCATGCGAGTCTACTTCAAATTGAAGTCTTCAACCTTACTTTTTTATTGTGTCTTGCTCATACGTATCTTTGGAGGTCAGAGTATTTAAAAGCAATTTATGAACGTGGACGTGGTGGACCAATCCAAAAAGCAAAAAAAAAAAAAAAATCATGGACCAGATGAAAATATAATGGTTTCAAAACGATGATGACTGATGAACCATTCCTAAGAAAAGTCTGATTTTCTTATTTTGTAAGAATTTCTTGAAGAAAGCTAGGCTGCGTTTGTAAGATGAAAAACAATTTTCATAGAAAAATTAATTCTAGAGGAAGCTATTTTTCAAAAAATAATTTTTGTCGTTTGACAATTATATAAAAAAACTACTAGAAAATATATTACAACGTTTGTTTGATATAGAAAATTAAAACATAAAAACGAGTATGTGATTGTTATATCAATAAGTTTTGAAAAAACTTCCTAAAGACATATTCATAATTTTACAATATAATATATATTTAGAAAAATTGAATAAATTTTCATAAATAATGGCTCTAAAATTTTAATTTTAAAAAATAAAATGTATTTTTTTAACTATCAAACCAATTCATCAAAATTACTTGGGACAAAATCAAGTTAATATTCGCATTTAGTTAAAAAAAAAAATCTAAGTAATCCTAGCATTGTTATTTTGGTAACTCAATTAAGAATTCTTCTTTTCGAAATTGAACCGATAATTTAGTCTTAAAAATAATTTTATAAATTATCGAGTTATCATTTGTAGATGATTATTCATTAGGTTTCAAACTATTAGTGTTGGAATAATTTGTAACTAATTAGTCATTACAATTACCAATAAAATTTTACAACTAATTAAAATTATAAATTATTAATTTAGTTGCAAATGAATAGTGTTGGAAAAATAATATATTTATTGATGAGTTAATTAATTTTAAATTTCTTTATAAAAAATTACAGTCTTGTAATAATCATTTTCAATCATTTAAGTATAGTGTAAGTGGTGTTTGAGATAATAGTAAAAAATAAAAATAAATTATTGAAATATTTATTATAAAAATAATTTTAAGAAGTAAAAATGATTTTTAAGAATATTTAATGTTGTTCCTAGCACACAAAAGGAACATAATTAACATAATAAATAAATAAATTTATTGTAAATTAAAATAAATAAAGAATTTGAATTTTTTACCTTTATTATTAGAAAAATTAATGATTAAAGTCACAATATCATATTTCGCGATATAAAGATGACTCGAACCATCAAAATAGTTTTACCATAATTTTAGATGACTAGCTCGAGGCACAACCAGAGTTGCTTTTTTCGGACGATACGCGTCATTCGCATAATTTATCCGATGCAACGGATAAAAAATATATTGCACGTCATCTTAGGGATACAACAAGCTCGAGTCATCTTGTCGTGTCTTAACAAGTTTGCACTACTTGTAAGACTTAGAACTTTAAATAAAATTTAGTATCACTTTTACCCAAAAAATAAAAAAAATAAACATTATATGGCTTTATAGTGGGAAATTAAAGAACACAAAAAATGAAGAATTATTTTTCGTCTTCACTAAAAAACATTGCAATAGTTTTTCTCTGTAAATCACAAGAAAATAAAAATGTTGTTGTTTTCCAAACGGTAGAATATCACACACATATATATAGCTGAAAAAAAAAAAAAGAGCTGTTAGAATAAAAATTAAAGCCATGAATTTAAAGCATAAAAAAAAAAAAAAATCAAACGGTACAAAATAATGGCATTGTACCGTTGCTTTTATTGTTAAGTTTTGTAACTCACAATAACAGCGAAGGCTGTTATCGTGACAGTTTCAAACAGTACATGTACTGTTTGAAACATACCTCTTTCTTCTTCTTTTTTTTCAAAATATTTAATATAATTAAAGATATATATATTTTTATAAAAATACTCCAACATTTAATGTTCCTATAAATCGAATATTAGTAGAAATAGAAAAAAATTAAATAATAAATAATAATTGATAAGGAATAATTAAAAATCAATTTGATATATTTTAAATAAAAAGAAGATAGAGAAAAAAATTGTTAAAATATATCAAGAGTGAGGTAAGTAATGCGAGAACGAGACAACTCGTGAGAGAGAAAATACTTTTCTCTTTTTAAATCAAAAAAATATTTTTTAAAAAATACTCTATCAATTTCCATTGACTAGAAATCATTCTTCATTAACTTTTTTCCTAAACGCAAAACAAATACGAAAAAATGAGAAAAACAAATTCTTGAATTGTTTTCCCCCAACAAACATGACAAAACGCAAAGACAAAGAAAGCCATATCACTTTTTTTTTTACGAGAGAAAAAAATACCATAGCTCATGGAGCTTGCTATGGTTACTTCAAGAGACTATATAATTATAGTCTCTCCAAATTACAAACTAATAAATATTTGTATTTATTATATAGTAAGAACTTATCTTATCAACTAGTAATTTAATTAATTATTTCATAATCATGCTAGTTACTAATATTATTTGATAATTATAAATAAAAAAATATATTATTTTTTTCAATTTGAAAATAAATACTATTCATTCGTAACATGTAACATGTAAATCATTAAAAATTATCGAATGGATTCGCTAAATGAATCGTAAACAATATCTTATTTTTTTATAATTTAATTAATTAATTTGTGATTATTATTTATTAACAATTAAGTATAATTTTAATGAAAAATATTTCTTGTTACCTTGAAAATAAAAAAAATATAGTTAAATTATGAATAAATTACTTATAAGTGATTACTAACAAAACTTAAGGTATTGTTTGGTAATCGGGAATAAAGTAATGAGAATGAGAATGAAACTTTTATTCTCACATTGTAGCTGTTTGGTTAAAAAGAATGAAGTAGGAATGGGAATAAAGAGTGGGAATGAGAATGAAAATTTACGCACAACTTCATTCCCACATAATATGTGGGAATAAAAAACAAGGAATGGGAATGTTTTTTTTTCAAAATAATAATATATTTTATTTATTTATTATCTATTAACTACTTTTACCTCCATTACCATCACTACAACTATTACCATCATCGCCATTACAACAACTATAACAACCACCACCACCACTATTGTGACCATCGTTACTACCATTATCACAACGACCACCACCACCACTATCATCATAACCATCACCACCACCACTATCATCATTATCATAATCATAACCACCACCGCCACTACCACTTCGGCAATCATTACTATCACTATCACCACCACTAGAACCACCACTATCACCTTTATTATTTTTACAACCATATAGTTTAATAAAATTATTTTTTTAATCATTATTTTTATTTGTATAAAAAATCAGATATTAAAAAATTTAAATTACATTCGATTCGTTATTAGTATTCCAAATATAATATTGGAATACAAATACCATTTTGATTTCTTAATTTTCATTTCGATTCTTGTATTCTTATTTTTATCATTCTATTTCGATTATCAAACAATACCTATCTGAAGTACTAAAGGATACGCAAACTAAGTCATGACTTTGCCAATGTCAAAGTTTGAAGTAGACACGTTATTGACGGAAAGAAACGAAGGGTCCACATTAGCAATGTCTTTGAAATACAAAGTTTACGTTAACAAATTAATTAAAATTCTGATAGGTTGGTTTAATAAATTAAAATAGTACAGGGAAGAACCAGGTCATTTAATTTAATCCATGCATTTGGCTTTACTTTTTGGCTGTTGAATCCAATAAGAGTTTTGGAGTTACATTATACTCTTAGCAAAAACATTTTTTTTCCCTTTATTAGTATATTGGACTATATAGAATTTTTTTTTTTTTTTTAACACAGATGGAAATCCTACAACTCATTTAGTTATTAGACATTATAAGGTTAAAGTTAATAATTAGTAGGGTAGGAGATGAAGTCATATTATTACGACCAACTAAATTGATCTCTATTATAAAGATGAATAGTTATTCTGATTTTTTTTAAATAAATTTTTTTTAGGAGCAAATACTCCAAAAAAAAAAAAAAAGAAAAATTAAATTTGTAACCTCTTGCAAACGTAAGAAACTCATTATTACCGGATTAGAAATCTATCAGTGGCTATACGAAATTAGAGTTTATTAATTTTGGATATGCACATAAAACGGAAAAGGAGAGAGAGAGGAGAAACAGCTTTTCTTCGATCCCCTAGTAAGATTTTTGTCCCATCTCTTATTTTGTTAATTTGGATTGGGATCTGATTTATTTCCTTTTATTTTAGAAAGTACACCCCAACAACATTGCGGGAAAGATAGAGAGCTAATCTTGTAATTTCTGGTCAAATCTAAATATCTATAGTAGGATTAGGATGTTTGTGTTTTATTTCCATTTTCGGAGGCCTAAAAACATAGGCAAAATTCGGCATGGGTGATCTTCTACTATGATGATATGTAAGGAATGGCCCACACTCACGAGCCATTTGTGCATCAAATCTACAAGTTGGTGGCCGGTCCCAACAGGGGCATGCGGAGAAAGCAAGCAACAGCAAAAGCATTAAAAGTAGCAAATAACTACAGCTTTAATATTTTCTGCAATCTTTCTCCTTAATTTTATTTCCTTTCATCATCCATCTTATCGCAGCCCATGTCCTCAACAATTCCATGTTCTCTTCTTTTTCAGCTATTTCGTTATAAGCCTCGACATCTAGGATGCATTTGATTTTCAAGAAAAAAAAATGGAAAGAAAAATGTCGGTCCCAGATGTCTCAGAAATTTGTCAATTGGGTTCTTTTGTCCATTTTTGCTTCTTCTTTTTCCCTGAAGTTTCTTTAAAATGATGTCTTTTTATTGCATAAAACAGGCGACTAGACAAAAAATATCAGCAAACTTTGAAAAAAGGAGACATAATTGATAAAAATCTCTTGTTTTGAGACCCAAATAAGAATAAGTATATATAGCCTGAGGACTTAACTGAGGCTTTCTGAAAAAAAATGTACTAAAGAAGAGCCAAATGGATTGCATTCCCTTTCCTGTTTCCCCACATGTCCAAGCATACAAAACACGTATTACATCCTTTCTTTCTATCACTTTGCTCTTAGTTTTCTTTTTCCTCTCTTTTTTAGGAACAAAAAAAAAAAAAAAAAACTGCCCAGATGGACTCGGCTACAAGAATCCCTTCTAGTTTCTACTCTGGCAACAAGGACAAGAACGTTTATCTTGAAAACGTTACTTTCTTCATAGGCTAAAAGCCCACATATTGGTTGTTGGGCCGCATTGAAGTTTATTCTAATATTTCTCCTAATTTCACTTGGGCTTAGTATAGAGCAATCTTATTAAACTGGAGCTAAGCCCAATTCCACCAAAACGAAACCGAGCCGTCTCCAATTGTACTTTTGTTGGTTCACATAAAAACAAAGCAAGATTGTCATTTTAACACAAAACCAAGGAGTTTTTCCTTTTTGGTAATAAAAAGATCAGCCTCTCTCTCTCTCTCTCTCTCTCTCTCTCTCTCTCTCTAACACTTCAGGTACCAACAAGATCAGTAGCCTGATCGACATGCTTCTCAACATTTTGGTAATTGAATAACTTGGCACATGTTATATAATACCCAAAGTTCAACCCTCCTATCACTGCCAACATCCAAAATACACAATCTAATCTCCCATCATTGATGTTGTCAGGCAACCATCCCGTGGACCGACGTACCAAATCTGTGATTCCAGTGCTTAGATAATATCCAATTGCAATTAGCAATGATATCATAGCCGTTGAAGTGCTTCTTAGTGACTTTGGAAATTCTTGGTAAAACAAAGCAACTTGTCCGGGAAAGTGAAACCCTTCCCCAATCCCTACAATGGATAGTGGCACAACAAGCCACATACCTGACATGGGCAGGACTAGATGGTTTGGCTTACCAGTGAGGTGATGGGTTCTAACCACATGGAGCCTCTTTGATTCTATCAGGGCTGATGCTACCATAGCAAAAATGTTAATAACGTGTCCAATTCCTATGCGTTGAAGGGGTGTCAAAGATCCATGGGTCAGATTTTGCCACATGGGAAGTAAGAAGCGATCGATGATGAAGATTGAGATGGCTGAGGCAAATAGGGTAAAAACCAGGAATGACCCAGCTGGGATTTTGAAGTTTGGTCCAAGGTGTCTGTCCATGGTTAGGGCTTGGAGGACTATTAGGCTGTTAATCATAGCTATAGGAGTACTCAAAAAGATGCCGCTAGACCATAGTGGCAGGATTTTGATCAGGGTTTTGAGATCCTCAACTTCCTCCACTGTACATAGCCACCAAGACTTTGTATACGAGCCATCCGGTAGCTTGTCGCCTTCCATTTTTAGTGCTGCACAATTCAAAAATCTGGGTGGTAATAATCATGTTAGTAAACCTAATCTTCCACGTGAAAATACGAATTCTAAAGCATGATGTGTTTTTTTTTTTTTTTTCTTTTTGTTACATAAAGTTTAATCGGTTTTAAATACAAATATTAATGAGTTTTTCTATTGTTTAGATTCTATATTTTTTTAAAAAAATTATTGAGATTGTTTATTTTTCTAATTTTTTAAATTTTTTTGTTATAATACTACTAATAAATGATCAATTTATGGTATTATAAAATAAAATTTTTTGAAAAATAGAGGTTGCATGTTGATCACTATTAGTAATATTATAATTGAGATTTGAAGTAAGAAATCTAAAAGAATAGTGAGTTTTAATTAAGAAAAAAATCAATAAAAAAATTAAAATTATAAAGAAAATAAATATGGGAAAAACTCAAAGATTAATTATTGGCGTCCACTTGGGAAAAACTTATTTGAAGAAAATGCTATATACTCCATTACTTCAGCCTTAATGCGTGATTTAATTAATCGATTCCATTATTGTATACCTGAAACTTTCAGTTGGACAGCCAACTGCCCCAATAGTGTCTCCACGACCATGATAATAATCCTGCTGGCTTTGAAAAGTTTCCAATATCCTTCTTTTTCGAATTGCAGCAACAACTACACGTGCAGTACTCACGAAAGGACTTCCCTTCGGCTTAACATGCCGATAAAACTGTTTTCCGAACAAAAACACAGCTAAGCCAATGGCATTAGCAATAACACAAATGCCAAATCCTAATCCCCAGCTCACACTGTCCTGAATATAGACGATAACAGTGGAGCTTATGGCGATGCCAAGGTACAAGGTGAAAAAATACCAACTGAAGAATGTTCCTTGATTATTTGGCTTATCAAATTGATCTGCTCCCATTGTTGCAATCGTGAAGCGTGTGCCTCCAACTCCTAATGAAACTAATGCTAATGCCAGGTACAGTACTCCATATTGAAGCTTTGATGGGGTTTCACAGCCATATGAACCGATCGCACATGGTGGAGGTCTCAAGGAATGGATTGTAGATGCAAGGGTTAACATGATCACACCCTGAAAATTTTAGTAAAATTATTGAGTGAGGTAATTAACTTACGAAGACAAATTAAATAATAGGAATCTATAGTTTTTTTTTTTTTACCCTACTGAGTGACGAGGCTCACCAGTAAAGAAACAAAGGCAAAAACAGTGCTGACAGAGAAGGAGCTGAAGAAAGAATCTGCAATTATGGCTCCGGCAACGGGAAAGAGATTGTTGCAACCATGGATGATATTATTGATTTGAGTTGCATTAATGCTCTTTATGTTAAACAAATTTATCAAAAATACAATCAGATTTGTTGACCACCCGCCGCCAGCTAGTGTAAAGCCCATCACAGCTCCTGTATATATGTATAATGACAAAAAAATTTAACCAAAAACAATTGGCAAAGACGAAGAGAAAATTTAACCCAAAAGAAAGGAGCTGAGATGCATGGATATACCTATAATAAAGGGAAAGGAAGTCCAGCCTCCTCGCTTAGTCTTTGCTAATGTTGAGCATGCAATATCAGTGGACATAGTTGCTGAGGATTCAAATGTCTAGTTACTCTGGTATGCTATCTTCCGGGGTTGTTCCAGTATATTTTATAGTGGTGATTCAACTAATTAACATAATAATTATCAAAGAAATCATTTCCCTGTTGCCACCCAAAAAAATTAAAGCAATCATTTGCCAGTGTAATTAATTAATAAAAAATTACAATGCTTTCTTGCGTGTACACCAGCCACTAATCTAAATGGAGATAATCTATCTTAATTAAATATTGATTAGAGAAAAACTTCTATTAAATACAGGGAGATTAAGTCAAGTATATTTTAACTATTACTAATAGCCTTTTAGTCTAGTGTTAGTGAGCTATTTGCAATTACAAGAGGTTATGAATTCAAATTATTTCTTTGAAGTATTTGAATCTAAAAAAAACTTCAATACAAGAAGAGATCAGAGTAATTTTTTACTTTTATAGTGGTTATTCATGCAGTTCGGCATGATAATACAACTCCCTCTCCTACCATGCTAAATACTAATTACTACAATGTTAATTTTTTAACATCTAACAATTGAGTGGACTACAAGCTCCTTATTTATGGGGGAAAAAAATTTAACTGTTGCAATGAAAATAGAATTAACAAATGATACTAAATAAGTGTTTTATTTTTTTTCTCACGGATCGATAATTAAGGGATTTGAATCTGAGACAATTAAGAAAAAGAAGAACACCAATTTCATTTTAGATATAGTTCATTAGCATAAGTGCTCTAATTAAAACACTAATTAGTACTTGGACCCTTATTTTAAAAAACTTTTTCCTCATCATTAATCATTCAAATTAAATGGAAAATAAGTTTAGATATCAAATTAAGAGCAAGGAGGGAACCTAAGTGCATGCTGAGTGTTTAGCACGTTTTGGATTAACTGGGGATTCTCGTTTTGGCTTAAGGGACCCTCCTGAATTAATAAGGGGATTTTTATGTTAATTATGACTTGAAATTATCATAGAAATTAATATTAATTCATTTTTTATAACTGACTTATATAAACAATAAAAGTAACAAAAGAAATAATTCAGGGTAAAGCAAATGGGTGTCCATTAAGAAGCATTAAAAATGAAGGTTTTTTTTTTAAAAAAAAAACGTAAAACATAAAATTTTTATTTTCAAAACATGTATAGTTGTTCTTTACTTGCGCTCTCGTATTTACCCAAAATTTTCCGAAGTCAAATGGTCGTTGGTGTTGATTTTTGTCTTGTTCCTAACGCATTCTCTCTATGCATGAGCATAGATTTATCATCAAGGAAAGGAGCTAGGGGTCTTTTCCTACTACAAGCATGATTTAAAGAATTAAACTAAACCCCAGTTATAACAAACATGAAATGTAGAAGAGTGCTTAGCATAAAATTTGCAAATCTTAGTAAATTGTAATATGTTCCTTACAGTAAAAACAATAGACTAGCTAGGATGAATTCTGAAAATTCGATTAGAAATAGATCATGACATGTCAATCTATAGTTAAGGATAAACGTATGAAAATCGATCGTTTTTTTTTGTACTGAGTATTTGTAAAATAAGTTAAAACAAGTTCTTTTGATATATTAAGAATTCTTTTGGTGGTTGAAAGACCATCTGACAATATAGTTAGTGATCCTATAGAAAGAAAATGACCTAATTAAATGTAAAAATAAAATTCCTGTATATGTTTTATAGAAAAGATGAACAGATAAGTTTATTTAGTGTAGAAAGAATTGTGCAGAGAATGAGATGCCTGAATTTTTTTGTAGTTAAAGAATTTTTTTTTTATAACACGAATGTCTGAATCAATTTATACATATCTCGATTAATTTTATAGATTTTAAAATTAACAATCATATAAATCTTCAATAATTATTAAAAAAATCAACCAAGACTCAAATTCGAAACAATAAAAAAAATAAACCTTTTATACTAAGTCTTCGTCGTTGCGCAATCGCTTGTGGTTATGGTTCAAGATTTTTAAATATACGAGATCGCTGTAAATTACATTATGGAAAAGATAAGAAGACCTACTTTATTGATGTAGATATTTTTTATGTCAAGTTGTTGGTTTGCATTCATGATGTGATTTGATCTTTGACGGCCTTTATTATTATAGAATCTAGGGCCAAATGGGACTGAAACAGTTTTAGATAAGCATTTTTATTAAATATTTTATCTTTCTTGTGTTCTCAAAGAGCGATAGCTGAGACTGTTTCCTGCTCTGAACGAGCGTCTGGGTCGAAAGGACTCTTCTGTCCTGAAATATCCGTTAGTTCTCAAAAGAAGGATGGACCCTGTCTCTCGACAGGACGTTTATGAGATGCGTTTGGCCGGACGTGCGTTTTGTAAACCTCCGTGTGGCATGACACGTTTAAACTCGTCAGACTGAATATACTATTTGGAGAGGAAAAATTGAGTGCCATCGGAATTTCTTTCTTTTCAGCCGTAGCATAGACAAGTACGAGATATAAGTATTACATAGATAAAAATGATGTTTTTTGAATATTTTTATTGCCCAATTCAACTTCAAACTCCCAATTAATTTCCAATTTGTTTGCATACGTGTTGCATTATTCTGAATTTGCATCCAAATATCACGAACAAAATCACATGAATTAAAAAAAAAACGTCTGATTTCTCCTTTCATCATAGTGACGTGCGTAAAACACAAGGAGGATTTTATAACTCTCTCTCTTTTCTGATTTGTCTTTCTTTACACGGCGAGAATTATAAGCCAAACTAAAAGGCTTTGTTTTGGAACATAGGAGGAGCTCCACACGATTTCAAAGCAGTCCTTACCAAGCTACTTTTAATATGAATAGGATTCAATTCATGCATGTTATTGTAGGACTTTAACTCTCTCTCTCTCTCTATATATATATGTGTGTGTGAAATCTATTTTTCTTTTTTGTAATCTATGAATAACTTTCTATACATGGAATCAGATGCATCACTTTCATTTCACAACCAATGTTACTTCATATACCAAAACTAACTAAGAAATTAAAAAATGTTTTTTTTATTGATATTAGAAGTTTGATACAAAACACAATAAATAAATAAATAAATAAATAAAATAAAATATAAATATAATTGAAAAAAATGAGATGGAGGACCTGTTTCCCTCCATCTTTGCACAATTTTCCTCAACTGTCAACTCCCCACAATCATACGATCACCCCCTATTGCCAATCATCCCACCTACACCTGCTGCAACTCTTGCAACACACAACTGTCAACACCCCATGGTCTTGCAAAATCCCTCACCATCATGGTGGGAACCAATAATTGACAATATATTCACAGCAGCAAACACAAGGAAGGGAGGTTTAGTTTCGAAATCAATTGAGTTCATAAAAAAAAAAAAAAATGGGAACCAATTCTGAAAATTAAAATCAAATAAAAAAACATAAAATTAAAAAAAAAGAGCAAAAAAGAAAGGAATTTTTACCTAATTATTGAAGCAAGCAGCACCTCTCTATCATCATCCTCAACCTAAATTCATTGAGGTAATCCACTTTTTTATCCTTTTCAATGTAATTTTTTTTAGGGTTGATGGCAGTGATTTTCATCATTGACATCTCGAATTCTCCCTCCATGCTCACACACGTAAAATGAGAAATAAATTAAAAATAGAAAAATTTTAGGGTATGATAATTGTCCCTCCCCTCTTTACGGTGTTCACGAGAAAATACCGGCTAAAGTGTGAACTTCATTGTGCTGGTTCCAAACAAATTAAAAAAATATATATATACAATAACCTCATTGCATAGGGTGGTTTGCTCGGAAAAAAATAAAAATGCAATACATAATCATGTTGTTAAAGCAACTCTGTCTTGAAAATTAAATATCTAGTACGTGATCATATTATAAAAAACGATTTGTCCCGAACATTAAATATGCACCACATGGTCATGTTATTAAAACACCTTGCCTTGAAAATTAAATATGCAATATATAGTTATATTGTTAAGACAGATCTATCTTGAAAATTAATTATGAAATACTTTTCCTTATTGTTAAAACGGCTTGCCTTAAAAATTAAATATTTAGTACTTCATCATATTGTTAAGGTGGTCTACATTGAAAATTAAATATGCTGCATTGAAAATTAAATATGCAACAATCTATTATTTTATGACCGTGCTCGAGATGATAGTTTATTATTGGATGGCCCTACCGGAGATGATAACCTATTATTGAACGACCTTGCCAAATATGATGGTTTATTTTTAAACAATCCTATCTAAAATGATAACATACTATTGGACGACCATGCCAAAGATGATGATTTATTTTTAGGCGATTCCGTTTGAAATGATAATCTAGTATTGAACGAACCTACTAAAGATGATGGTTTGTTTTTATGCCATCTTATATGAAATAATGATATATTATTGAACGATCTTGCCAGAGATAATGATTTATTTTTAGGCAACACTCGCCTAAGATCATGGAAATTAATATATCCTAACTTAATTTGATTATGTGTATGTCACGTGTTCTATTTTTGTTAATTTAAATAGAGAAATTATAACAAAAAATAGATTTGAGATTTTTGAATTTTGAATTTTCAAGAATATATTGAATTAAATATTTAGAAATATATTCAAACAATTTGTAAAATATAAATATATGCGAAACTAATTCTCCTAAATATTGGAATGGATAGGAATTCAGAAATGTGGAAATTAAACTCCGTAACATGCACAAGGATTGAAATCACTATTCGCATGCAAAGACAAAATGAAGGCAATTCGAAAGAAAAAGTCACAGCACCTGCCAACGTTTAGCACCGTACTAATATTTTTAGGCTTTAACCATTCTTGAATTTAAAGCAATTTGAGATTGAATCTTTAAATTTTTTTTAATTAGTTTCATAGATCTCTAAATGAAGGTAATTTGAAAGAAAAAGTCACAGAACGTGCCAACTTTTAGTACCGTGCTAATATTTTTAGGCTTTTCCCTGTTTTTGAACTTTAAACTATTTGAGAATGAATCTTTAATTTTTTTTATTAATTTTAAAGATCTCTAAATTTTTATTTTTTTAGATTAATTCATCTAATGATTTTCATTTATCATCTTCTTTTTTTAAAAAAAAATCAATTTTTAGTATTTTGAGTTAAAATTTTACACATACTTTGAAAAAAATTCGATCTATTTTGTAAAAAATTTTCAAAATCAAAAACTATATTTATTTAATTTTTGAACATTAAAAATATAAAAAAGAAAAAAAATAAAAAATAATTTCAAAATGATCTTAATTAAATTTTTTGAGCAACCCCACATAAATGTTAATGAATGATTTTCATCATGAAACTATTTTTGTGATTGATTTTTTTGAGATACATGAAAAAAAAAAGAAGCTAAATTTAAAATAAATAAAAATTCAGAAATCCTCAAAATTAATTAAAAAAATCGCAAATGATTTAAAGTTTAAAAATAGTTAAATTTTTTTAACCACAGATTTTAGTCTGACTTTGTATCTCTAGACATTGACGCTAAAATCCCTTCTTCTTTTTAACTGAAAGAGAAACATCTTTCGTGTTTTTTCATTAAAAAAAAAATCAACTTATTTCAGATAACTGTAGCAATCGAGACCAGACCAAAAACCGATATAAAGATTAAAGATTTCAACATAATCTTTGATGACACCGATAACGAGCCATTTGTCGGATTTCCTGTTTTGCAGAACTGGGGTAATATTAAGCATGCCGCAAATAGGAAAAAGACATCATCATCGCATATCGGTGCGTTGAAATTCAACTCTCTAGCACTAGCCCCAAGTGTGCGAAGGCCATGAAAGCAACTTCCAATAAAAATCTCGAACAAACTTCGGCTTAAAATAAACAGTGGAGTTAAATACGTATTTCGTAAAAAAGAAATTAAAATCAAGAGTCGCAAATCTCAGGGTAAATTCAAATTCAAATTCAAATTCCCGTATGTGCAAATATATCTGGCATCATCCATGCCAAGACAGGTACGTATGTGATCCGATCTTTCGAAACCAATTTTAAGCAGCTACTGGTGGTGCATGTGTATCATTGAGGGAAACCAACGTAGTGGTCCAACAACGTGAAGCTGTTAGATGGCTAAACATGCTTTGATATATGGTTTTGATATTAAAACAGTAACACTTTTCTGAGTAAATTATAGATTAATTTTTCTTTGAGAAACGAATTAATTTGTCCATCTTGTTTCAAAAATTAATTATTTGTCTTTAAATTTTTAAATTTTCTTGTAACTTAGTTTTTTATTGCTTTTAATTTTTTTTTTAAGAAATTGAAAAAAATTAATTAATTAATGAGAAAAGATAATATTTTACTAAATAAAATAATATTAAATTAAGCATGGTCAATAATAGTTAAAGAATTAAATAATTAGTTTTTAAAACAATGAGATCTAATTAATTTGTTTCTAAAAAATTAAGGGATTAATTTATAATTTACTCCATTTTTCTTTTCTTTTTCTTTTTTTTTTTTTTAATGAACGAATAGTACGTTTAAACCTTCAACAGAAGCCAGACAATCCAATGAACCATAGTGAATCACAGACACTAGGCAAATTAAATTACAGTAAAGTAACTCAGAAAAAAACAGACAACAAATCAAAGTCCCACTAGCTACATAAATCAGCAAATCTAGAGTCACTTTCATAGTTTTGTATTATTCTGGTTTCTTATTTTCGGACTATAAGGAGAGAAAAAAAAAAAAGGATTAAGACATTTCTCTTTTGTTTTCATATTTTGGGTGGATAATGAGGTGTCCGGAATTTTGGCATGTCTGCTTTTGGTGTAGAGCCACCAGCCATTATGCACAAGATTAGTCAACAAATTTTGCTCACAATTCTGAAAGATGACCCTAACAGTCGGTTGCATCAAAACAGCTCAATCTATTTTAGCTGTCATGAACAAGACCAGAAGCCTCATCAACCTGCCTCTTAAAATTTCGGTAGTTAGAAAGTACCCGAAGTTCAACACCCCTATCACTGCTGACATCCAATAGACACAATCTAATCTCCCATCATTGGTGTTATTAGGCAACCATCCTGTGGACCGACGAACCAAATCGATGATTGCTGTGCTTAGATAATATCCGATTCCAAGTACCAATGATATCATAGCAGAAGAAGTGCTTCTTAGTGACTTTGGAAATTCTTGGTAAAACAAAGCAACTTGTCCAGGAAAGTGAAATCCTTCCGTAATCCCTATAATGGATGACATGGGCAGGACTAGATGATTTGGTTTACCGGTGAGGTGATGGGTTCTAACCACATGGAGCCTCATTGACTGACGCTACCATAGCTAAAATATTCAAGACATGATCAATCCCTGTGCGTTGAAGGGGCGTCAAAGATCGACGGGTTAGATTTTGCCACATGGGAAGTAAGAAGCAATCGATGATGAAGATTGAGATGGCTGTGGCAAATAGGACAAATACTAGGAGGGAACCAGCTGGGATTTTGACGTGCAGTCCAAGATGCCTGTCCATAGTTAGGGCCTGGAGGACTGTTAGGCTGTCACTCATAGCTATAGCGTACTCAACATAACGCCAGTAGACCATAGTGGCATGGTTTTGATCAGGGTTTTGAGATCCTTAACTTCCTCCACCGTACATAGCCACCAAGATCTTGCATTCGATCCATCCAGTAATCGGTCACCTTCAATTTTTATTGCTGCACAATTCAAAAATCTGCATAGAAATCTTGTATTCTTAGTGGTGTTTCACACTAATATACCAATATTGTATTGTACGAGATGTTTGATTTAATAATGTACAAATTGTTTTATCATTCTACAGTGAACCTGAAACTTTCAGTTGGACAACGTATGTCTGCCTCATTAGCGTTTCCATGATAATAATCCTGGCTTTGAGAAGTTTCTTATTTCCTTCTTTTCCGAATTGCTGCACCTCTTACACGAGCAATGATCACGAAAGGACTTCCTTTCGGCTTGGTGTGCCCATAAAACCATTTTCCCAACAAAAACAAATGGCTTAGCCAAGCCAATTACATTTGAAATGACACAAATGCCAAACCCTAATCCCCAGCTCACACTATCCTGAATATAAATGATAGTAGTGCAGCTCATGGCACTGGCAAGATACAAGGCAAAACAATACCAACTGAAGAATGATCCTTGATTATTTGGCTTATCAAATTGATCTGCTCCCATTGTTGCATTTGTGAATCTTGTGCCTCCAAGTCCTAATGAGGACAGTGCTAATGCCACAAAGAGAAATGCATATTGAAGCTGTGATGGGGTTTCACAATCATGAGAACCTATAGCACATGGTGAAGCTGGTCTCAAAGAATGGGTTGTAGATGCTAAAGTAAACGCGGTCACACCCTGAAAGTTAAATAATACGATTGGATGATTTTGCTAACTATGCCCAAAATTGTATAAAGAAAAAGTAATCAAGGATTCCAAGAATTTAAAAAAAGAAAAGAAAAGTAATAAAGAATTATTTCTATATGTTCAACTTGAGATGAAAATATTTAGGTAAAAACCAAAGAAAATGGATTATTATAAATAGAAAATACTCTTGAGGCTTTAATAGTGTCATTATTTCCATTTTAGTTTGCTCAGGAATATTTTTTTAATTAAATTAATATAAAAGCTTTATTTTTTCACTATACCCCCCTTCCACCCCTTTTTTTTTCTTTGAGACTATATAACCTTTGATTTGAAATTCTGAAAGGGGTAGTTTTTTTAAAAATAAATTAAGTGTACAAAATATGCAATTTTGAATTGCATTGATCGGGTTTTTCATTGACGAGAAATTGTGCTCCTATCCAAAATCAAACATGACATTCTCAACCGAGTCACCAAACTATCTATTTTCTCAACTATAAAGTCCTCCTCAACTGAGTCACCTAACTATCAATTTTCTCAATTCGGTCCCTAGTATATTATTTATTTCTCAATTGAGCATCCTGTTTAAAACCTTTCCATTTTTTTTTTACCTAAAACGTTATATTAACCCCAAAACTCTGTATTTTCCCAAAAGAAATCTAGCGGATATAGACGAGGGGACAAAGGGTAATAATTTGTTGACCAAATTGAGAAAATTGATAGTTTGGAGACCCAGGTGAGATTTGGTATATAGTTGCGAGACTAATCTGGGGTTCGCCGTCCTCAATATATATATATATATATATATATAAGTAGGTGGCTATATTATGTATATAGAAAGAGAACTGCGAAAACCTGGAACTCGCCAGTAAGGAAACGAAGGCGAAACCAGTTATGACAGAGAAGGAGCTGAAGAAGGAATCTGCAATGATGGCTCCGGCAATGGGAAATAGATTGTTGCAAACATTTATTGATAATATTTGAGTAGCAGTGATGCTTTTGATGTTGAATGCAGTTATCAAAAATACTATCAAATTATTTGACCACCCACCAGAAGCTAAGAGTTAAGCCAATCACACCTCCTGGATGTATGCACTCTTGCATGTATATGCTCAGAAGAAATTAATGGTATTTGTGCATTCTTGCTAATAAAAAATCACAGTTCCATACCCAGAATTTTTTGGTGAAGAAGAAGAGGAAGTAATTAACCAAAAAATTAGAAAGACCAGTACTGATTAGAGAGATTTACGTACCTATAATAAAGGGAAATGAAGTCCACCCCCTCGTTTGCTCTCTGTCGATGGTGTCTGTCCATCTTCAATCGAGGTGGTGGCTACGGATTCCATTCTCTCTCTCACGGAATAATTTTCCATATATGCTGATTGCTATGCAGGTTCGAGTTGTCATGTGCCCATAATTTATATCCGTATAAATTAACATGTCCGTATAAATTAACACCACAATAATTACATTGATAAAAATTAGAAAAAAAATAATGATTTACAAACAAACATCAATACTTTATTAATTTCTCGTAATTGTTACTTACAAATATAATGTTTATGCTTGGTTCTCTCATTGTAATTACTTTCTTTAAAGCGACTTTTTCTTTAAGAATTCAAGTTAAGTTTGCTTGGCATTGTTTTACTATATTCTATTAAGGTTCTGTTACGCTATGTAAAAATATTAATAAATGTATCATTTGGTTATTAGTATTGTGCTTTAAATTTAGCACTTGCTTTTTAAAGAAACACAGCAACACAACTACGTACGTACTATCAAAAGGCTGCATGTAAAAGCTCTCGATATTACAAAACAATGTCTACTTAACATACAAATAAGGAGCAATGGTCAATAATTTTGTTGTTCCTACCACATCCATTTATTGTAAATTAAGAGGGACAAGTTGAGACCTTTTACTGCGATCAGTGGAAAAAATAGAGAATAAAACCATGCTATCGTAAATTCATAATATATAGATAATTAAATCATTGTATTTGAACAAGTTAAAAATGATTATGTTAAAGTACAAACCATGTTTAAAAAAAAAACAAATCATTTATATCATCTATATAATTTATTTGATACATCACATCAATTATATATTGCATGTCATTTTAAGAAAATCATAGATCAACTATCTATGCAGTAACTATATACGCGTGCATCATTTATAAAGCAAAAAACTCTCTAATCTTTATGTAGTATTTTTCTTTATTCAAAGTCGCATAATAAAAAATATATGTAGTAGTGCATGAAACAACCATGGAAAACAAATCAAAAAACAAAAAAAAATCCATATACATTATCTTTTTTTTGATTGCTAAACTAGACAAAATAATAAATCACATTAAAGGACAGTTAGCGGTAATACTCTCTTGAAACTGAAAAACATTACAAATCCTTTTTTTGATTAAATAGTAGACAGCCTTTAAATCAAATAATTGTTTTCATAAAATATTACTAATAAAGATAAATATTATTATTTTAATAATTAATAATAAATAAATAAATATTTTTTTTTATAAAAATATTCCAACAAATTGTGAGGCACCGGATTCTTTTTTGACAAGGAATCAGAGGACATGCAGCTTACTTATTTTTCAAAATCTTATTCGTTAATCCATAAAGTTTTTTAATGTTACAAGGAATCAGATGCATTACTTCAAAAGCACCTTTAGTTTTAATAATGACATTAATTTCACAAGAAAAACAGGAAGAATTACTTACAAGAAAATTTTCAAGTTATTAGACTGGAGAGCCCACCGATAACTCCTACTTTTGACCACATGTTTAGATGGCATCTATTTTCTTCTTTTTTTCCTTGTGTAGTAACAGCATTGGTCTTCATTTTTTCCGTGTAAAATAGCATTTTACAAGTACCAAGTGAGAGACAAAAGTTGTCACAAAATAATGGGTTTTTAATAGAAAGTTGACGACCGATTAATGAACTTCAAATTTACTGGATTTGCGACATTCCTAGTCAAAATTTACTTAAATCGATGGATATGCATAACTTGTCATGGAAAAGCCAGAGATCTTTAGCCCCTCTACATTTGCTATAGCATGAATATCACTTCTCCATATGCAAGGGGAGAAAAACTCATTTCAATGTTAAATTTTTGTTCCTTGTGAGGGATCAAATGGCCAACCTTCAGCGAGCATGACAAGGTTAAAACTAATTGAATTGCCATATCTTCATCTTTTCTACTTTCTCCAATATTGTGTTTGTTTAGAAGAAAATAAGCTCCAAAAACTTATTTTCCTTCTTACTTTTTGATATTTATTTCGTATTTATAAAAAAAATCAACTTAGTTTGATTTCTAATCAACGAAAATTAATAAATTATTTTTAAGAAAGTGATTTCCGAACACAAAAATAAAACGTTTTCTTAAAACATAGCTTCTCCAAAATTGTTTTTCCTATTACAAACTGTTTCACGCTGAACAAACGGAACCCAAATCTCTGACTTCCACATAGCTAAGAAAAATAATTCGTTTCAACCAATCCAGGTATGTAAGGTGAACGAAAAAAAAATGCCAGATTCAATTTAAATAGATTAGCCATTGATCAATGCCGATACTGTATGATGCACTTCTGAGCTGATACCATGGAGAAAAAATAGTTCTGAAATTTCCCGTGGTTTAACCTATTAAATAGGCATAAAATGGATATTGAAACCTAGATGGCTCTGCCATCATGGCTCCACAAATCCAGAAAACTCTGTAACGTATAAAATCCAAATAATTATTTACAAGTTTCAAGAAACAAAATGGAAGGCAATTTGAAAAGAAAATTTACAGCAGGCGCCACTTCAACTGTAACCTTTTATGTCTGACTTTTGTATCTCTAGACATTGATACTACAATGATCAGAAGAACTTAAATCCTGATCTGTGGACAATATCGAAAACAGATATAATGATTTCAACACTAATCAACACAATGATGAGCCATTCCAAAAAGTCTGATTTCCTGTTTTGCAGAATTTCCTGAAGAAAGCGAATATTATGCTGCAACGACAAGAAAAGACATCACCATAACACTTTAGTTAACGTCAGATTTCTAGCACTAGCAGCAAGAGGGAAATGATCACACCAATTTCTAACAAAAGAAGTACCTCGACAAACTTCAGCTTAAAATCAAGACTTGCAAATCTTTGAGTTAATTCAAATTCATCTCTGAGATATTCCCATATCTGAGCATATTTGGCATCTTTCCAAGCTATGTCTGATCTGTTGAAACAAATGACGGATTTTTTGACGTATAGTACATTCATAGCAAATGAAACAGTAAAACAAAGAGAGAGACACAGAGAGAGAACAAGAATGAATTAACTATCCCCGGTTATAAATAGAATTAACAGCAGGATTGGAACCTTTTTTTTTCCAGTTTTTGGTGGCTAAATATGTATCCAGAACTTTGGAATGTCTGCTTTAGTGATGCAAGTAGAGCCATCACCCACTATGCATCATTCACCCAGGAAGATAAATTAGTAGGTAGTTGGCCCAGAAAGTAGCAAGTGTATAAACAAAGCAACCACCGATCCACCATAGCACAGTAAACAGCAAATGGCTGCAGCTTCCAAATTCTCTGCCCCCTTTCTCCATTCTTCTTCTTATCCAACTAACCATAAAACCCATCCTCAACAAACCCGTCCCATCTTTTCCCAGAAGGCCCTTAAAGCACAGGGTCCTCTACCAGTCCACCCAAGGTTGGAGTGGCCCATAAGGTTCTTGAGCTAGTTAAAAAGTTTGGCCTTCAGGATGCATTTGGTTTGCAGAAAAATATGGGGAAAAAAGAAAAGGATGAATAGGAACTGCACCTTGTAGTCTAATGATGTCTTTCTATTTTTTACACATCTACTTTCTGTGAACTTTCCTTCAGTATTAGCAAATTAGCTCCTTTCATTAAGAGAGAGAGAGAGAGAGAGAGAGAGATATCATTTCATTCTTCATTTGGATGTGCAAGGAAACAAGAAATAAATGCCATGAGCATGCCTTTCCTAACACATCCAAGCAAACAAAAACTTTTCATTTTTATTTTCCTTCCTTTGCCTTTAGTTTCTTCATTTTTCTTCGCCTCTCTTTCCAATGAACCACACACATCCTTAAATTTGGATTTCCACAGTTCTCATGAACTCAACTAAACCTTAATATCAAACCAAATTGGAATCAGCTACAAAGTGTTCTTCTTTCAATCTGCTCTAGCTATAACTATTATCATTAGAATAAGAGCAATAAAATGTGCCATAATTAAAATGAAAAAATAAACAGTTTCTCTTGCATTAGCCATTAAAACTTTTACCTCTCGAAAAGCCCAAGCTTTAGAATCACATCGGCAAGATTGGAATTGGCCCTCCCCACTATTTGAAAAAGCTTTTTACTGTCCATAGAAAATGTTCCAGTTTTTTCCATTCCACGATTTATGTCAGTAAATTCAGCAACCATACTATCAACCTAGAAAAGAAGAAAGGGTTATAAAACAAGCTAGTCATGAAAATTGCAAAGATGTAAACACTTAGGAAATAACTGGGCTCATACCTGGCGTCCGTAGTAGTCAAGCGCTATACTTTGACCAAGAACACTACCAATCGTCCTTATTCCATCAGTGTTCAAGAACTGCAACATAATGTAATCCAATCCACCTTGCATCCACGTGTTTAGATTTGGCTTCTCTCTCACCTCATACTCTTGCAGTTGTGAAATAGAGAATAGTGTTCAATAAGTAGCGAAAAGGTATGGCGTAATAGATTAATAACAATAGCATGAGATAGAAGATGAAAATAAATTAGAGAGACTGCCACAATCAGATGCCAATGGAATTACTCTCCACAGTACCAAGTCAATTGATACTAGACAATTTCTACCAACAAAGTGTTCCTCTTCAGTAAGCTAATTGCATATCTCTGCTGTTCTTGATTACCTAGTTTTTAAATCAATGAATTTATTTCTCTTTGCTAAACTGCAAAACTAACTTTCTTCTAATTGAGATATATATGTTATGTATTCGAACTGCTACATTACCTTGTGCTTTGAGGTACCTAGATTACAATTCTCCCACATTTTGGAGCAATCTCTACCATGTCGAGGTACTAATACATAGTGATTTTGAAAATCAAAATGAAAAACAATGTGAGAGCTTACCATCCTTTCTCATTTCAGGGAGCAATCCTGAGGCATGTCGCCTTACAATGTTCAGATATTCATCAACCTCATGCTCACGGACATTAAACAAAACAATGGATCCATATTGGAACACAACCAAGTAACAGCAATTACTTCCACTTATGCAGGAGCCCAAACCCTGAAAACAAATTAAACTTACCTTCAGTAATACATTTAAACTGATTTATCATTTATAGAAACACGTGCGTTACTCATACTATAATTAACAAGAAAAGAGATTTAATAGCACCATAAATTGCACCTTCTGTCTATAGAACGCAAGGGAAAAACAGATAGTAGAAAGTTCGACACATCAACAAATCCATGATTAATTCAAAAAATAAAAGAGCAATTTAAGTATAAAAATGTTGACGTCCAATTCACATTGTTTATTTCACAATATGAACGACTTTTACTGCTACAGTAATCCACCAATTCATTTCAGCAAAACAGGAACTTCAAATATAAACCGCGATGAAACTTACAGGGGCTTCAGAGAGATTCCCAAACTTAAGAACAACATAATTAGTCATTCTCGACGTTGGTGGTATAAAATTTTGCTTGTTCTGTTCCACTAAGCTCTTCAAATCCACACTACAACAGCAACAAAAATAATTAGCTCCTAAATTTAATTCAGAACTCCAGAAACAAGAACTAAACAAATCAAATTCAGAGAAATAGATAACAAAATTTGGAAAAATAAAACCTAGTCGAGAAGAAAAAAGCGCGAACAGGAATGGACGGCCTCGTATCCTCCTCTATGTTCGTGCCTTTACGACCATCGCCGACCTCCACCGGCTCATTCCAGTCCATCGCCAGGCGCTGCTGATTCGGCGAGGCGGAGGAAGAAATTGAAGAAATGCAGCTCGTAATCAGCAAATTACCACCGCGACCTCCGCCGCCGCAAGCAACATTATTACAGTGGCGTGTAGTGAAAGCGAGAATTAGAGAGAGCGGATTAGGAGTTGATGATGAGACAGTTAGGGTTTTGGACGAAGAGAGAAAATGGCGAGAATTTGGTGGTTTAAGACAAGAAAGGGAGTGAGGGTTTTGGTGGTGAGAAAAGAGAACTGTACGGATAGGTGAGCGGATTGTTTTCAAGTGAGCGTCAATGGTCCGCCACATTTTTTAAGGTGGGAGTGGGAGGGAGGTGAAGAAGAGGGGTTAAGAATGGATTTGGGGTTTTAAACAGGGTTTTCAAGGGTTTTTTGGGGCCATCCCTGAAGATTGGTCCCTTTTTTGCAAAAAAATACTTTGTAGATAGTAAAATGTTTCTTGTGCCAAAAAATGGGCGGCTATGAGCATTCTCACTACCTTCTTTTTTAGATTAACATGGGTATCCGGGCCAGCTTTCGCGTCAACCGACTAATCCCATGGGCCCTGACATTATCGACCATGTAAGATGCCAGTGGCCACTGCATGTGGGAGGCAGCGCTCGAACCTGAGACCACAGAGGGAGCAAACCCCTTGGCCCCAGGCATTCTCACTACCTTCTTTTAAGTTATAAGATGACCATATTGTCTCTTAGTTCGCGCATCCTTAACCTTCAAAAATAATAATAACAATAAGCACACCACTAGACCATAAGCTATTTATTTATTTAATCTAATCTTCACAAATTACAAGATATTTGTTCAATTTAATGTCTCATTTATTCGTTTATAGAAGATACCGTAATATATTATACAACAAATCACCTGCTTCATTTTTAGCAAAAAAAAAAAAACAACGAAACATAATAATTCTTACAATAATCTTGGACTATCAATTAAGAAACAATTTAACGATATTTTTAATACAATTACCTCATCTTTTTTCTTTTTTAAAAAAAATTGGGTATATAAATACAGCATTGTTTGTATTTTTTTTTTTTAATTGGAGTATAGACATAAAATAAATACCTTAGTTTTCTCTATGCTCCATTAATAAACGTAAAATAATTACTTGAGAGAGATATTTTTGTAATTGTCATTTGAAATGTAATTTTTTTTAAATATAATATTTTTTTGTTATATATGTCTATTTATTTTGAGAATGTATATTTTGTTGAATATGAATTAATGCATTTGTTGCATGCTGTATTGTGGATATTAAATTAAATAAATAGATTGAGCATTGAGATTAACAAATAGCTTTGGTCTAGTTTGGAGTACTCGATGCTATGTTTTTTAAGATTAAGGGTTTGAATCCTTCAATTGACATCAAATATTGGATTGTTTTTAAAGAGTAATATTGGTATTTTGAATTAAAAAAAGAATAACATTGTCATCTTATAATTTAAAGAAACTAGTGGGGGTGTCATTGTAAAAAAAAAAAAAAAAGAGCCAATAGCGGCATCAAAAATTTTATTACTATTTCTGATTTGAATATAATAGAAGAATGGAAGAAAATGAATTTTGATGAATCGCAACAATTTATATATAATGTTCTCCAACCAAAAGAATCAAATACGAAGATATCATTTTCCAATGTTGGGATGGGATAGAATAGCTACCAGTCTATTTTTTGGGCCTACTATGTCTTATTGATTGAGTAAATTCAGTATGGGCTTTGAGTATTAAAACTAGTCCATTATCCATATATTGCTATAGTTTATAATTCAAACCAATAATTTTAATTTATTGATAATTATATATTTAATTCAACATTAGCACTGCTTGTAATTAAAAAGGAATAAAAAAATTGCACACTGATTATAATTAAAAATGAAATGAAAGTCGTAGAGCAAGAGCTTGTATGAATAGATACCAATTCTCAAACAAAAAATTACACTGATTTACGTATTAAATAAAATTTATAAAAATCCTTAAAGAAAAAAAGAGAAAGAAAGACGTTAAGAAAATGAGAATTATAAATAGAGAATATATATTAATATTTTTCTAGATTTTTATTAAATAGATTTCAAATAGATAACTAAATAGTAGAATTGTCTTGATTATATATTTTTTGCTTAATAATAATACTTGTATAATTAATTTGATTTTTAATCAAATACTAATTTTTATTATTATTATTTATATTATCAGTTAAAAAAACATACCTTACTTGATAGCACTTTGAAAAAGAAAAACATATCACACATGACAACATCAAAACGAAGATAAATCCTACAAACTCTACCAAAAAAGATAAATATTTAAATCCTAAAAAAAAAAAAAATTAACCTTGAGACTCATTTGAGTATTAAAATCCTCCAGTGTCCAATTCTGTTTGTGCTTTACTACTTATCATTGGATCAAATGCAAACTACTAAATCAGAACCAACCTAATATATAAATTTATCCATTTTTAACGAGGACTGTATCCAATTTGGTTGTCATTTTGCGCATGGTTTCTAGCTGTGTTGCTCTCACATTGCTTGGGCAAGAGAATCACAGTATACAGATACATGTATACTGTTTGTTGTGTGTTTTTTTGTTTTAATATTGATTTTTATAGCCTTTTTAATGTATCAGAATTAATTTTTTTCAACAAAAGAATAATACTTACTCGCCTGGCCATTTGTTGCTCATCTCATCAAGAATTTTCCGCCGGATTCTACTTCTTGGATTATCCGATGTAATGAAGATTCTTTCCAACGCGGTAGGTATGCTCAATAGAGTCTTAAATGATTCGTTTACACCCGAATTAATGTTTTTTTTGTCGATCCTTTTTTTTTCGAGCTTGTAATAATAAAGCTAAAAATAAATCTACTTATCATCCAGCCAAGCTCTAAAGATCTTGTTTGTTGTATGTTTTGTTTTTGTGGGTTATAATCTGTTTTGCTAGAGCAAGTGAAGCGTGGTTATGACTTTTGAGCATGTTTGATTTTAGTTTTAAATACCAATTAATTGTTGGGAATTCGTAATAAAATAATTAAATCAAACATACATATCGAATTTATATAAAAATTAAAAAAAAAAACCTATGCAAACTTAAAAAGTAAAAATATTAAGTAAATCTTTTTCATCAAGAAAGCTTGTAATAAAGAATCTCGAATCTATAAATTCTAAAACCATCTTATTGAACATTATTTTTTTTCCATTGTTTTATTACCAAAAACATCAATATTAGAACAAATCTAAATATTTTGTGCACCAAAAGTCAGAATTCTTTAAAAGAAACTCTTATGGTACAAAAAAAGATACGAGAAACAAAATAAAAACATATCTGCTGATAATGCCCTAAGTTGACTGTCTTTTTTACAACTGTAAAAAATAAATAAATAAAAAATAATTAAAAAAAAAGTTGGCTATCTGGCAACTATACATAAAACATACAAAGACAAACTCTATTTTCATATGCATGTACCTAAATTGGCTCTCTCTTCAATAGTACAAAAAAAAAAAGTTATAAAGACAATTTTTTTTTCTTATATGCATGTATGGGCTAAACTAGAGAAATAAAGGAAGAAAATAAACATATGTATTGATAATGCCCTAAATTGAATATTTTTTATCAACTTATGTGACACTTGACATTTTTCATCAACTTATGTGAGTACGCAAGAAACTATTTAACCTGTATTTGATACTATTAAACCATCTCAATCTCAAAAATTAGTTTAAGAATCGAGATAATCAAGCACTAGTTTCTTTCACAATTGATATGGTGGGATAACCCAATGTTAATTATTAATCTAGTAGTTTCTTGATAAGACAGAAGAAAGATCGGTCTATAATTGCTGCTCTATTGGGGCCGGAAAGCATGCGCATTAAGTTGGAGTGCATTAACTAGGAGTATGGCTTTTCAAATTCACAGAAGAAAACAGCTATGGCCATTCGCATCACATTGAACAAAATCCCAAAAACTCTGGCTATGGTATCCTTCGTATATAGTTTAAAGTATTCTCTTATTGAATAAGTTTTTTTCTTGTCATGGGTTTTAAACGATTATCCACGCACAGATAGATAAAATTCATAGCAGCATATGCAATCCGAAATAATTGCATAGAAAATAGGCTCACTCATCATCACCCTAACCAACACCTCGAAAATGTTATATGTATATTATATTTAAACCGGGTAGCATCAGCTTGGTAAGACCCAAGCAGAGGGGACAACATCAGATATCTATTCGAGCCATGATTGTTGTGGAAAAAGTTTTGCTGAAAGTTTTGAGCTTCCAATAATTTTATATACTCAAATATTATCGTCACCATTTCTTCGTTAGTTTTATTTTATTATTATTATTATTTTTTTTTTTTTGTGCATATTCATTAGGTAATAGAGACTTGTCCACTGACTGATACTTTAAAATGTTGCTGCAACTTGAGCAAGTTGGAAGCAACCAACAAAGCAACCAGAAACTAAAATTAGAGTACAAAGATTTTGAATTCAAGAATGTCAACCCAGTTATCGACATCTCTAGCTGCCAATGACCAGGCTAGGATGGAAGGTATTTCTAGATATAGTCAGGAGCAGGAAATGGAATCTTTAATTAATTTTCATCATCAATAGAGATGTTTATCGAGTAACTAATTTGACTACATACTTTCCAACCTTAATACTTCCAATGAATATTTCCATCAATCTAGGTCATGAAACTGACACGATTAGAGTCGTGACGTAACTTCGCAATTTGCACCACTCAAGTCTCACCCAGGAATTGATCTATTTTGTCACCAAGTAATGGAACAAGATCCAACGTCTTTTTACTTTGATGCAACGTATAGTTGTTTGCCAGGGGACCATTGCTTGGCAGGATTGCCACCTTGATGGTGTAAATTCGAGTCTCGAGGGTGATCACTTCATTGAAAAGTGATGAAGATGAGGATTAAGCTCAAATTCTCCTTTATGCAGTTGAATAGAATGTTAGCAATCCACCTTTCATGATATATTACACAAATCAATCAAAACAATATCAACTCTAAAGACTCCGAATTGATTCAGTTTTCTTGCTTGCTAAATTTAAGCACGATGGGAAATGCACTCCAGGTGCTTATATTAATTAGCTCCTATAAGAGTAAAGAGAGGGGTTGGTGGCAGATGTGGTGGATGCAGTAAAACGCAGGTTGTTGGCAAAATGGTTCTGTTGATTGAAGGAAAGGGTAGCTGAGGGTGCTGTTATCGTTGAAGAAGAGAATCCTGATGATGCTGCAACAGAGAGCTGGGACATTGTAGCAACAACATTGTTGCTGCCATTTATTTGCCATGGCCAGCTTGAGAATCTCGGTGAACAAACAGCTTCGGCCCTCTTCTCCGTAGCCTTTTCCTGTCAGCATATGATCAATCAATACTAGTACTAAGATTAATATGAAAAATATCAGCATATCCACAGTTTAACATGAAAAAACATTTTCTTTCAATTGAAGATGACATGCAAATGCGCAGAAGCCCTATAGACATTGCATTGTTAGGAGATTGGAGAAAAGGCATGCAGTTAAAATGTCTCGATTGACAAGGCAGTACATCTAAAATGAAGTCCTCAATAAGCATAATGACGGGATTTCAATGTTTAGACTCTTAACAAACGAATGGTCATTACAGGGTCATTGCCCTAACACTTGATTCAAAGGTCCAGGCCAAAATGATTTTTTCAGATTCTACATTTAATGGTACAGTTTTTCTGCTGTTAATTGAAAGTTGTTCTTTGAAGCTAAGATATGCTGCAAGTGCATTTTGTTTTAAGTAGAAAAGCAATTCAATTTCCTGTAACAGAGAAAAGGGGCAACAAATGGAAGGGAACTACCTCATAGCTTGATAATAAACCAGGATATATGCCAGACCATGCTGGAAGGTTCTTGGATGCCATTGGTACACCATGAAGGGTTGGTAAACCCATATGTGCAGCAGCAGTGCCCTCAACCTTTTAAAGCACAATGGAGCATCAATTACCAACAGCTATATTACAAGCATTTTCAGAAGAGAAAGGACTAAAACCAGCCACATGCCTAAAGAATGAAATCGAGCAACAGGAATATGTTTAACAGTGAAATAAAGGCACTGAATTTCAGGCATCTTGGATAGAATAATACCACTTGTCTCTCTTTGTTGGGTATTTCACAACCACCATAACGACAATGGAAGTCTCCCACATTATCCTTCCCCTTGGGACCATTTGATGGCTGAGAAATTCCAAGGCTCAGATCAAGATTCTGGCCGCTTCCTGCATTCATATCACCAGGAAACTTATTATATTTACTAATCAACATGGAAAAAACTTTGCTTTTTTTAGCATCATAATAGTCTATTCATACCTCCATTATTAGGATCAGAAATCGTATCGCCTTTATAAACGCTAGGCTCAAAATTGGTTACTGCTTCCCTTCCATTACATTTGAGGGCTGCCTTGTCATAAGCCCTGGTTTATAAAAAGATGAATATGGGATTATATGTTAGCTTTTAAAAATTATCCAGATAAGAACACCATTAGAATCAAAGAGAACAAATTCAAGATCATAAGGACCTTGCAGCTTCTACTTCGCTGGCGAATAATCCAAGATAAATATACCTGATAATCAGAGAAAGTGTTGCCTGAGCATTTTTTTTTCCTCTTTGAAATAGCCATCATAAATTTTACTTCTTGATTTAGTTTTTTAGAGTCTGATCGAAGCATACAGCAATGCTTTTCACGTTTTAACAATTACATGTCCTAAAATCAATCTCGTAATAGCAAACTTTTTTCGATTCAAGGGTTCTCACTTCTTTCCAAGGAATTGCCCCATTCGAGCTTCCCATCTGCCACATTTGTGAAGAGTTACACCTCTGTATTTTGAGCTACCTCGTGAGAAACCGGTGCTTTGGCGACGAAGAATGTGAACAAATTCTTCTTTATTAAGGCTTTCCATCTACATATCAATTAATATTAAAATTAGTATCCACAACAATCCCCTTCCCCAACCAAAACAAAAGGAAAAAGAAAATAATAAGAGACAAAATATAGCAATTTATGGTTGAACGGAATCCTCACCTGCTTCATATCTTCCTCATAATCACTTAAACTAAAGTTGATATCTGCATCAACTCCCCGAAACTTAATTGCAGCTCGATCGTATGCCCTATACAAATAAGATCCAAAATTCGGCAAAGTTATCAAAATTTATACTCCATTTAAGCCAGGAATATAGAACAAATTAATTACTTTCTCATTTATTCATGAGAGAAAGTATTTCTTAATCAAGGAGAGGAAAACTGACAAAATTCCTACCTTGCTGCAGCATGAGCAGTGTCAAATCCACCTGTTTAACATGAAAAAACAAAAAATTATTTATGAACTGTCTTCATAAATACAAGATCACAGCCAAATTAATATGCTAGAAACTTCAGCCCCCCGTGAGACCATCCATCTACTTACCTAAATATACTTGCTTCCCACAATCCCTGTACCAAATTTAGAAGAAAAAAGGAAATCAAGATCAGGGAACAAAAGAAACCTAGAACATGTAATTTAACCAGGCAACTCTCTATCGAAACACACAAAAAAAAATCAACAATTTAGAAAGCCAACAAATCCCACTAGCAAACTAATGCTTACTCACCATATATGTGACTCCCATCTCCCAGTTCTCCTGTAAAACGTCACTCCTCTATACTGTGAGCTTCTAGACCTTGGTCCTCTCCTACTCTTCCTCACTTGCTGCTGTTTTTGCTGCACAACTTTCAGCTCCGCCTCCCCACTAGACCCCGTCTGTGAAAGCCTCAACCACTGAGGTCTTGTAGCTGATGATACAGCCAATCCTGGCTGCAAATTCAATTCCAGCGCGCTTCTTTCAGGAAAAAGTTGTTGGGCCGTGAAATCGCAGTTTGGGTTTGTTCCTTTTGGAGCATTAATGGTGGTTGTCTTAGTGAAGTTTTCATCTTTCTTCAAGATATCAAAAATGAAAGCAGAGTTACTGTTGTTTGAGGAGTTCTCTTCTTCAGTAGTGTTGATAATGGAGGAGTTTGAGGTAGCTGAATCTTCCATTTGTTGAGTCTTTGAAGCTTCTTCTTGTTCTTGGTGGTTCTCAACATCAACAATTACCATCATATTATTCTTGTTGTTATCATCACAAGATGAATCGCTAGAGGTGATACCAAGATTGAGATCCAACATGATGATATTTTCTTTTGTTTTTTTTTTTGGCTTATGTTGTGGTTCTTACTTCTTAGTATTTGATCTTTTAAAGAAACTAGCCAAGAAAGGCAAAACCCATTTCAAGAATGATGTCTTGTTCAAGAAAATTCAACATAAGAGGCTCACGAAAGTGAATAAATTTATATACAAACAAATGGTAGGGAAAAAGAGAAATTGAAAAACAGTTTCTTGAGTGTAACGGATGGGATCAAAAGAAGAAGAGAAACTAAACAACTACTAAGGTGTGACCAAGAAACCTTAATGAAAGTACATTGAAAGATAAAGGAAGAGAGAAGGAGAGACGGCAAGGGTATGTGGAAGTAGAGAAAAAACTGCCTGTCTGTCAGATTATATGGACAAATGTGGAGAGAGAAAACGGCCTGCAGTTTTGTAAAAGGTCTCTGGAGAGAGAAGAGAGTTAGAGAGTTTTACGATCAGCTGGAGAGAGGAAAGCATCTGTGGCTGGCTTAAAGGAGGAAAAAAAAAAAAAAAAAAAAGAGAGAGAGATGGGGACGTGTTAACCGTGAAGGGTAATATTCTTACACTTGCCCCTTAGTTTTGGGATGCCTGTTATAGGTGAGATTTGCACTCCAAATATTTTTCGCAAATCTTAATTTTGCTTCTTTGTCGGCCAACCCCAATTTCACTTTACTAACATGATTGCTACTGTTCACTTACATTAAAGTTTTTTTGTTTTTCTTAACCTAAATTAGGACAGGTTAGAAGACATTCTAAATGTATTGTGATCTCTCTCTCTCGTAAATAAAGCTTATCAATAGTTATCATGATAGACCCATTTTTACATAAAAAGAATATAATCCATCGCTAATATTTAATAATTTCTCTTTAAATAGATTTCACTTGTCTCTAACATCAAACTATGTTGATAAAATGATTGATGCAGTAAATTTCGCAGCTACAATTGATTCTTGCAAATGGATTTGGATAATTTTAATGATAAATTTTATATGAATTCAACGGATAACCGTTGTTAATATTCTCCTAATCATTTTTGGTTATGATGCTAATGCTGTCATGCTTAATAACAAATTTAATTTCAAGTCATTTTAAGACAAAGCTTAATAACTCGAGTAAAATGATAACTCGTTTTAGGATAATCACCAACTGAGAAAACATCAAATTTTAGTCCATCGGTGCCTTAGCAATTAATTAGTAGAATTTTTTTTATTTTTATTTTTGGACCTTCGAACAATAAAAACAAATAATAATAATTCAACTCGCAATCGTGATGAAAGCACATGGGAGAGGGGATTGGGTTTGGTGTGATAAAAGAAAGGCATGGTAAATTAATGGAGGATGTGACTAAAGATAGACCCTTTTTTTATGGTGTTAGAACTTGCAGTTGAGAGTTGAGACAGGAGAATTTTGAAATAAAAGAAACATTTATTCAAAGGGGAGTTGATTCACTGTTTTCTTGTTATAATTGATGGTAATTACTACAACTCTCCACGATAAATTCCACCATTATAACGCATCTTATTTTCTTTAAATCAGAGAACATTTTTATTAATGGTTATGGGTACTCGATGTCCAGCGTTTGTCGGGATGGGAATGGATATTCTATTTATTAACCATAAATAAATAAATAAATTAGATATTCATATACTAACTATCATTTATCATTATTCGAGTGTTATTTATTATTCAACATAAAATATATATATATATATATATATATATGAGATATGTATATATTATATTTAATGTAAGAACCATAAATATATATTTGATACATAAATTGATATATGTATAATAATATATGTATTTCAAGTCAGATTTGGATTGGATTTGACAATATCTACACATTGGATAAAAATTTTAGATATTGATCCCTGATTTTGAATAGTAACTATAGATAAAAAAAATCATATTCATTCAATTCAGATGATATTTATCAAATTCAGAAATTTTCGTCTCTATTCACAGAACAATTCTTTTTTTATTATTATGGTTTTTTTTTTTTTGGATGATTGGACAGTGCATTCATAGAAAAAAGAAGAAGATATTTTAGATAATGTAATTAATTGTTGGATTTCCTTTTTTAAAAAAAAAATCATTCCAGTGCGTTTATTTATTTATTGAGAATTAGGTAGTTAAGTTAGGCACTGGCTAATTTAATTTGAAAATTAATTTACCATGCCTTATAAATTATGCTAAGAAAACAGCTTAGAAATATTGAATTTCTAGCGCAATGGCAATGCAAGCTCTTTTTTTTTTTTTTTTTTTCAGGTATTCCGTGTCAATATACATGCATTGAGATTAAATTGATTTTCTCGATCCAAAAAAAAAAAAGCCAAATTTCCAAAATTATATACCTGCAATAAATTAATTACCACCGCTAATGGCTTTACAAAAAGTCAGGGGAAGTAGCACGATACTTTTTTATATATGTCCAGTTTTATTTCACAAGTTTTACTTGAAACTGTCAATATATACGTAGTACAATATTTTTTCAACGAAAAAAAAATAGTAATTAACATTAATCATCATTTCTGTTAGCTTGCCATTCAACTTATGAGAAAAGGTCGGTCACCAATTTTATGAAAGCATAGCCTGCCTCCGCATTCCCATTGTCTTTATCAAATAAATAAATAAATAAAATTAAACCATATACAGAAATACATCAAGCTGGGGGGCTCATATACGTGGCAACAAATAATAGGCTGAAAAATGGACGGAGATATCATATCCTGATCTGAAAAAATCGTGCTGGACAACGTTAACCAATACTATAAATGGAACGTTACTTTCATTACATGACCACCGTCTCTTGATTTATTACTTAATTTGGTCATTATACATATAAAGGTCCCCGTATGATCTGGAGACAATCGTCAATAAATCCTACGGTTGGGGCTGTTTTATCTTGGCAGTCGGGTCCCACAAATATCACAAAGTGATTTTACGACTTTTCCATACGTATACCAAGTAGACTTTCTTTCTCAGACTTCTTGCAAATGTCGTTAACAATTTTGCTTAAAAAGCAAAATATTATGGTTGAAAGCACAGATATAAAATACCTTGTCCTTTACGTTTTTGCAGATCGTATATTCGAATTTTAATAATTTCATTTTATTTGATTATTTTATAATAAAAAAGAGTACTAAAAAAATATTTACGCAGATTTATTAGAATATGGTGTTGAGGGTAAAAAAAAAAAAAATACACACTCCAATTTTCTTAAAAAATGATAAACGATCTATTTTATCTTGAAATTTAATGAATCATGTTTGAAGGGATATAGGGAAAAAAAATTCCGGAAAGAAAAGAAAACCAATATATATATGTGTGTGTGAGATTTTGTAAGGTAGTTTTGTCTAAGATTCCGTTACATTGAGCATGTTCTCAGAGACATGGTAATCATTTAAGGTCATTGGATCAATCCAACAAGTGAAAATTTATGACAAAAAAATAACTTTAGTGGTAGTTTTATTTTAGCCACTATATCTGGAAAGCAATTACTAGAAATAGATGCAAACAAGTAAAGATGTGTTTATTTAGCCAAGTCCTTGCATCTGTAAAAATATCAGAAAATAAAAGGTTTGAATCTTCTTTTCCTCGTAGTTCTATTTATGATTTTTTATTTAAAAAAATTAACACCCATTCACTAAGCTGAATTACACCCAAAAAAATAAAAAAGGTTTTCCGTGCTTTCTCTCGCATCTCGTCTCCCTTAGTCATTTTTTATGGGAACACACACCTCGCATTATTATTGAAGAAAAATGTTTTCATTTTTTATCTTAATTTTAAGTATTATTTACTCAATTAATTAATAATCATGATACAACGAGAGAAAATAAGTATATACACATCAAAATTGCAATTTACATAAATAATATAATGGATAAAAAATAAGAATTAGTAGTCTTAGATTTTTATATTTTTATTAGAAAAATAAATGGATTTTGAAACTACTCAATAAAAGATATAACCATTTACCATAAATTTCCATTCTATTTTTTTCAAAATTGGACCTTAGAAATAGATTATCTTGAGAAAAATTCAAGTCTAGCTAACCTCTTGAATTCCTGTTCTACAACAAAAAGGATGGCATAAATGATGTATTAACCTATTACGGCAACATTATTACAACCTCATTTTTGGGAAAAAAAAAATCAAAATCTCATAACCTATCTAATAAATGTGAAGTGTGGAAATTTAGCCTTTAACAAGGTGGTGGGGTAGGTCGGGCAAGTACTCAACACAAACAGGTCCTGTTGGCTGTTGCCATCCTAATACGTAACTGAATGGGATTTCTTGCCTACGTGTTATTATGTTGTTTAATTGTTACATTAATAATGGACTGACATAGTTTTGTCCTTTTTGAGGAGTAGAAGGTGGCAAGGAAAGGCCAAGAAAAAGACGAAGAAACCAACAGTGAAAGTGTTTATACGGATTTGCCCCTTAAAATCTTAGGCTAACGTGTCCTCGACGGTTCACGGAGCGCGAGCTACTTGTGTGCTCTATGCTTATGTCAATGATATGGACCTTGCTAGCCTATCTCAGTGAAATTGTGTAGTTCTAACCATTGATGCAACCTTAAATGTGAGAATTGAAATTTACCTAGACATTTTTTTTATTTGTTCCGGACTACTAAATTATTAATTTTAATGGTTTTTTTTTTTGAGAAAATTTTTTCTCTTATATTATTTTACACTCTTCAATTTTTTTGGATATAAAAACAATTTAGATATATACCATATAAAAGATAGCAAATAGCAAAATAATTTGAGAGAAAAAGTTAGATTCATTAATGAAAAATAAAATCATAATTTAATAATGTGAAAGCAATAAATACGTCATCAAATAATGGAATAAATGACAAAAAATTAATAAAAAAAATATTTAACTGATGGTTTTAAAAAAAAATCTATATATGAAAACAAAAATATTAAAAATCATGGACTTGATTGAAAAAACATTAAAAGTTAATAAATACTACATTTATCTTTTTAATAAATTTACCTACTTTGTATCAGTGGCCAATCCATATGGTAAAGAATATGTGGGTCAAATGACACCATTCAATTTGAAGGGAAAAAAAATTAACAAACTAAATTAAATCTGAAGAAATTATTGCAAAAATTGAGAAGTTTATTACCAAATGACACTCCCAAACAATCAATCTGTCACATTAATTTTTGATACACGAAGAGACAAAGCTAATTTTGTAATTATAACATAAAAATAAATTACAAACCAGACATATCAAACAAAAACCCTATTTAGGAAGAGACGGTACTCTTTTCTTTTGGATATGTACAATGCAGGTTTCTTGATGATTTTTCTTTTTGCCTACTTCACGTAATTGAATAAACTCCCACTTAAATAGATAAATAAATACACAATAAAAACATTTTTTTTTTAGTTTCTTGATGTTTGCAAATGCATGGTTTGTAATTACCACTTTCATTATCATTATTTTCCTCATGTATATAAATTGCATTTCTAATTAAAATCTTAAGTATTTATTGGCTTTCTATATTTTTTAATGTATGATTTATTTATACATGTCTATAAGTTACATGTTTTCTTTTATAATATTGAAAATTATTTAATTAATTTAATATATAAAACTATTTTTACATACTAATTTAAAAGTTACTGGAATCCAACCCGGACGGCCACATGTCCAATCGGGAATAAGGATGAAAATCACACTACGGAGTAAGCGAATAGACAGAACAGTGTCTTACTTTGAAGGACGAATCACGTGGAAGTTAAAAGTTACCATCCAAGGACTTGTATCAGAAGGCAAATGTTTGTACCTTTTGAAATTACACAGTGACCCACTTATATACAATTATTTCTATTCAAGGATGGGAAGTTTTTATAATTTGTTTGTCTTCCAAAAGGTTCCCCAACTACCATGCTTTGCCCTTTTGTGAATTCTCAAGTATCAGTGTTTTAATAAAATAAAAAAACCTATATAAAATCCTCAATATCCAAATATAAATAAAAGAAATTTCTTTTTATCACTAGAAAAGGTTATATGACGATATCGAAGTCATTGAATTGGTGGGTTACAGACGAGAATAATACTAATAAATGATTTTAAATAATAATAATGGTGTTAATAAGATGCAGATGAGTAATTGATTATCCAAGTACCGGTTGGCAGGTTTTTGTGATAAAATCTAAATAGATCTTTTCATTAAAGAGTTGGTGAAAGATTTTTTTCTTTTCTTTATAATTTCTTTAAGGTGGAGAAGGTGTTGTGGTGATGTATTTGGGAAAACAAACAAAAGAAAGAAAATAAAAAAGAAGTTGGAGGGTATTTTGGTAATATCGTAACAAGAAGCCAACTACCAATTGTGTGGAGAGGAAAAGATAAACATAGAAAGAGAAACCTTAATGGAGACAGGGAGGTCCTGTCAGTTGTCAGTGATAATAATAATTAAAACCAGACCAGTCAACATCAATCAAAAAAGTTGAATAACCTTATAACGAAATCTGGGCCGTCCACTTTCCCCATCTGGAAACATTAGGAAGGACAGAGGTGATTGGCTTGAAAAAGACAAAAAACACCAAGAATCTTTCATATCTTCTCAAATACATAGAACCTTTCCTCTTTGGGGTATTACTTAAACTAAGTACCTTAAAAATCACATTTATTGTATTCATTGGTCCCCCACCGCAAAATCGGACTACTCTACCTCTATAAATTAAAAATTATTACCCATATTTTATACTATTTGGGTGCATCCATTGTGAAATTAGCTAGTTAACTCTTACTTAGAAGCCATGACAAGGACACTTTACTCTAATTAAATACAAGCTCTAATGGTCATAGCTCACAAACTTACACGTTGACCAACAAGATTTTTTCTACCTAAATTTGTTCAATGCTTGCATTGAAGGGTTGCCATTGGATTTAACCTCTCTTTTTTTCTTTTTCTTTTTTCTTTCTTTCTTCTCTGTGTCTTGGGTCAAATTGCTCACCTAGTTTGAATCCCAAACCATAACTCTCCTAGTATCCTTTCAAAAGGAAGGCATGATAATCAATCAATAAAATATTTCACTCTTATCAACACAAAGGATTTTGTGGCTGAAGGGAGGATCACCCATTATTTAGGGGAAATTGACTTTTGCAAAAGAACATTAATTGATGGTCCCAAAGCAAAATAATTTCAACTGTATATAAAATAACATGCTCCGTGGAATGCTTGGAGTTTAACTCATTAATTCATTCTTGATGTTACATTCATGTAGTATTCTTTTGATTGCTTTGCATATTATAGTTATAAATACCGTCTTTATTCAGTTACCTATTATAATTCACAAAAAGTTATCCAGATCGAATTAAAGAATTTTTAATAAAACTATTTTATAACGATTTAACTTTAAAAAACCAATTAGCTTTGAATTCATAAATTTTTAAAAGGATAATACGAATGGTTTGTTAAATATAAAAATTTGCAATTCTATTATTATTATTAAAGTAATGCTACATGATACTAGTTGTATAAAAAAATCATCATAATTTTACAAAAATATTGTTTTTTTGAAAGGATACAAGAGAAGAAAAAAAATTAAATATTTTATTTCAGTTGATACTATATCGTTTAATTTTTTTATTTTTTAAGTTTATTCTTAAAAACTTTCTATTTTTAAAAATGGTGTCTATCATTATGATTCTCTAACTATGAGAAAAAATAAGAAGTATTTGTTAGATGTCATGGATGCATAATTATGGACAGCTAAGCAATGTTTAATGCTGAATTAAAAGCACCATACCGCTTGTTTCCAACTTACACAACCACCTCTCCTGTTACAAACTAAAAAAGGTAAAGAGCACTTATCGTTTGTATTTATGCTTCTTTCCATAATTTTTTGTTATTAAACCTTGTATGTTTTTTTCTTTTAAGTTTATATCCCCAACCGTGTGATAATGAATTTGCTATTGGTAATGTTATTTCAGATTTTAATTAATAACAATAGATGTTGCGAAAAAAAAGAAGCTAGATTGAGGGTGAAATGACATCTCCGGGATTTGAAAAATCATGCACTAAATTTAGTCCCAAGAGTTTAAAAATATTTCAATCATTGGAAATACATTTTACAGCCCATAATTTATGTGTTGATTTTGTGACTTTCCCTTTTTTATTTATTTTCAAGGTTACGTTATTATTATTATTATTTCCATATCAGCACCCCCGTAAAAAAATTCTCGGGCCCGCCCTTAATTGAAATATTTTTAAGAAGAAAAAAGTCATAAATAATCTATTTAAGATCCAATTAGAAGGAATTTAGTCTGCATTCGTCAAAGTTATTCCTACCTAAACTGTTAAATCGAAAAAGAGAAAAAGTAAAAAAGTGAAAAACACGACAAATAGTCGATACCCAATCATTGTCCTCCACGTAAACAAAATTCCTTTCCAAAACAAGACCTGCTCCGGTGGGGCATTACCGTTGCCACGCAAAAGTTACGTTGTCTTCTCTCACGCGTTCTTCATAAGCCGTTTATTTTTTGCGTGGTGCAGTGTCGACTATTGAGAGATGCGACGTACAGTGCAATCTCACGTGCACCACAACATGTGATTATGTCACTGCTTAGATCAGAATGGTCTTATCTAATTGATGTTTATATTAATATTGATTAAATATTACATAGGATAATGCATCTCTCCATATATATAATTGAGTACCGAGGTCATGTTATAATTTTTGAACTGTTCTTGGGTTATATTAAAGCAATATGTAGTTTTTTTAATTAAAAAAAATACGATGACGAGAAGCCCAAGTTTTGTCATTGGAATATGATAAGTTTCAATTTTATTTTTCATTTATGAGCATGTCTTGTAATCGAGTTTATCCCTTGAATTTTTCATGAATATTTTAACATTTACATTAAATATTGGAGCTTATAAGCGATTCTGATATATATATTTAATTTTATGTATTAAGATTGAATTCGTCTTTAATACATGCACTAAACAATTAACACAAATAGTAAGAAATCTACGCCAATTCTATATTTATAATTTTGTATATTAAGATTGAATTAGTCTTTGAATACATACACTAAACAATTAACACAAATATTAAGAAATTTATACCAATTTTGCATTTTTAATTTTGTATATTAATTAAGATTGACACACTAAACAATTAACACAAATTTTAAGATATTTATACTAATTTTATATTTTATATTTTGAATAGTAAAAATTAATAAAAATTTTAAGAAATCTACACCAATTCTACATTCCACAATCTGGTTTGAGATGTAAAGTTTGATAATCGAAATCTTCGCATCTTTTGATGTTGAGAAATGGAGCATTTAATTTCCAAACAACAAAATGGTTTTGTTATATTCCATAATATTTGTGTGGTGAAAACTTGATCTAACGTGTCATGATCTTTCCTTGCGGTATTCGACAATATTTGTCGTCACCTATCGATTTCACAAAGAACATGCGAAACAAAGTACAACAATGATATCAACGTTGATGGTTAACAAGGAAACACTCATCCCAAATCAAAAGGTGTTGTATTTTTTTCAACTTTTGACAAGTTCAATACGCGCGGAGGATGAATTTGACTAAGGAAAAAAAAACGGAATCGTACGAGAAAAAAAGAAAAGAAAATTACAAATGGAGAGCTACATGCATCCGACACCTACCTTCCACCTTTAACCTTTTGGCATTTTTTGGTCAAGTAAAACAAAATAATTTGATGGAACCGTAAATTTGGACAAAGCAGTAACCTTAGAAATATGTACCATGTGATCATACACCTCTGTCTCTCTTATTTCCAAAAACACGTGATTAGCCAGTACGGCTATCATGGTATCTTCCTTTGTTTCATCCGTATTGAAAGATTTAGTAAATCTTGTCTGTCAGGCAAGGGATAAAAATTGTGTGGTGACTCTTTCCCTTGTCTGTCAGGTAAGCCATCCTAGGAAGGTGCTTCTTATGATATGGGAGGAAATGCTTTCTTTATTATTATTTTTTTTAAACTTTATTTTCTTATACTTACAGGTATTGTTTGTTTATTTTAAAATAGATTATATAACTAAATAGAATGGTATGTCATTGAGTAGTTGGTTAGTTCAAAATTTGATGGATGAAATTTAATTTAAAAATATCACATCTAATTGCAAATCAATGCCGTTGTATTAAATTCATTCACCTATTTTCTTTGTGTTTGTTGATTTTGAGTCAAAACGAAGTTTGTGATCCTTAAAATGCACGATTTTGACCATATAAAATTGGGCGGTGATTATTTTCATATCAAATTCAATGGTCGATATTCTGAAAAAAAAAAAAACTACCATGAACTAAACATGATAAAAAAGAATTAATCCACATGGGGGCGGAATGAAGAAATGAAAAGAAAGGGATGATATGAAAGAACAAAGGTAGACGGGTCCCAAACAGGCAAAACCATGAAGTCTCATCCATCACATAGTGTTTCTTGTCCCCTATCATATCTTCTCCCGTACTTTGATCTTTTATCATCTTTCCTTTTGAGTTAAGGGTGTCTATAATCCAAGAAAGAAAAGGAAAAAGTTAAGGAAAAAAAAAAGAAAAAGGTTTTGGTTTTGCAAGTGGGCTAAATAATTAAAGACATTGGTTTTATTATAGCATCACCATCTTTGTTGCTACATGGTATTATATGATTGGTTGATTATAATATTTATTTGGTGTGGATGCTAGATGGTGAAATTAGATAAGAAATCAATGTATTTAGTGTACTTGTCGGCAAGGGTACGAGGTTTAAAAGGATGTTGGGTGACGTGGCCTCCTCTTCTCCTTTCGTAACAAAGTCTTAGCTTATACTCTTCACTTGCTGGTCAAATTTCGGCTTTTATTTACCAAAATGTCCTCACATCTTTTTGGTTGCACGTTTTCTTAATCGCCAACCGTCCACGCGTAGCTTTACATTGACCATGAGCCGTCCGTTTGTAACTGTTAATACGGTGGCTGATGATAACGATGCATTTGCCATGGAACATGTGCAATATATATTTTAAATTCATAAAGTCTAATTTCTCTAGAAAATAAGGGTTTCACGAGGTTTGTGAAGTGGCAAAAAAGAGTATAAGGCAATAATTACCGAATATTAAATGGGAAATCAAGCATTATTATATCGAATCATTGCTATAAATTAAGTAGTGATTTGGTTAGACTTCTGGCTGTGTCCAGAGAAATCATTGAGATATATAATGTTTGGTTATGAGATTGCATCAAATAGACGGCATGATATAGTTTTTTTAAAAAATAAAAATAAAAAAATAAGAGGATGAACAAGAGTATTTTTGTAAAATTAGAAGAGTGTTAAAAAAGATAGCTTGAACTCCGAAGACTTTAATTGCACTGGTGATTCTACGGCAGTGCCTGAAAAATGTATTATTCATGTTGATAAAATTAAATAAGATATTTTAGATGAAGAAACGTGGTTTGAAAGTAACAAATAAATTCGATTTGATTAAAATAAAAATTCTATTTTTATTATTCAAAAATAACTAATTATAATTATTTTTTTAATATATTATGTTTGAATTAAATTGATTTAAAAAACAGTTTAATGGTCGATAAAAAATAAAATATAACGTTGATTTATCTTAAAAAATAATATATTTAGTTTTAATTAATAAAAAAATAAATTGAATATATTTATATGAAAAATTATTGCGGTGGCGGCAAGTTCTGCGATAAGAAAATATTTTTGGAGATTTAAGCAGGATTGCAAGAGAAATGATTTGAGAAATTTCGGTTGGGTCCCAAGCATCGTCCTTTTCTTTCTGCTCCTCACAACATAGCCACCTGTACTTCTACGTTGCTTTCAAAAATCCAACATGATTTCCAGCAAATGATGAGGATATTTATCTACACTTGCACAATGATTCAAGTTTGAGACTTCATCTTCCATCCAAAGCACATGCGTGCCCTCTAATTTCATTTATTTTCTCTTTAATTTTCATAAAATCCAGTTCATTGATTTTTATTTTAAAATATAATCAAGAATTAGGAACTTGTTTTTTTATTTTGTTCGCAATAAGGTTTTTTGGGTTTTGAGTGATAACTATAATCTATTTTTGGAGAAAGCATCAAATTTTCCAAAGCAAAGTAATAAGAGAAAGAAATACTGAAATAATAATAATAATAATAATAAAAAAAACTAATCAACAGACCATCTTGAAAACGAAAATTCCAGATGAATATTTGCTTCTCTATCGTGCATGGATCAAAATGATTAATTTCCAACCTTAAAAACAATAGAATCAAGAAGTATCAGTAACCAAAACTTTGCTGCAACAACTACCGTATAGTGAATTTGTTCAACTCCGAAACCAAACTCAAGTGAGACATTTCTAATTTTCAAAATTTTTGTTAACTTCTTTATACAAGTTTTCTTCTGTGGTTTGAAGGCTTAAATAGATGCTTAAAGATTTTAAGATTGGTATTGCCAAATATTTATTGATCCACGATCAAAACCGTTGAAGTATGATGACATAATGATAAAAAAAGAAATGGAGAAAAAAGAAGAAGCTAATGTAGAATCCATGGTAAAAAGATTTTTTCTCCACATAAAATGAATTTATGATCAGATTACACAATTTTAAATTTTTAACTGAATCAATGTTTAATTTTGCATTTGAGCCTATTTATATTTAATGAATATTGTCAAAATTGCTAATATGTTTTATGTAACTGCCATAAATTCATGTTTTATAGTAGAATATGCTCTTATTTGTATTTTTTTATGAATAAAAAACTTTCATTGAAAAAAAAAAGTTATTGTTTTAATTTTCTTATAGCATTTCTTTGGGGAAAAAAATATACATCCACGATATAGATCGAGTATGCTTGACATCTATTTTTTTTTAAGGGATAGTTATTTTGTGCAGAATTAGGACTTGCAGGAATACATTGATAAAAAGGTTTCTTTACTCGATTCGTAAGTTAAGTTAAAAGATATATTTTATTTTTACACATATATATATATAGAGGATTAATCTGTTTATTATTTAAATTCATGATTTTTACAGGAAACATACAACATCTTTGATCAATTATCATCGTATCTTTGACATCAGTATTATTTAGAATTAATTTTTTTTTTGTCGGCAACGTACAAGGCAACAAGCACATCACTCAAGGTTTCCCCCTTTCTTTTATTTTTTTTATATTTGTAACAACCACCAATGCTTTACACGATTGGACTGTCTTTTCTCTCGTCGTAGAAACTAGAAACAAGCACATGAAATGAAAAAGCGTGGATCACATGGTCATACTCTCATTTTTTTAAAAAAACATATAATATATATTCATTTGTTAAGTAGCGTACCAAAACTAAGCCAACCTTTTCCATCTGCTCAAACAAATGCCGTTTACACTTAATTAGGAGTTAATTATATTTTTAAGTATATAAATTTGTCAATTTTTTTTTTAATTTAAACATGTATTTTGTAATCTTTGCTATTTTAAGAGACTCAGCTTGTATTTTTTTAATATATATATATATATATATATGAGTAATGCTGTTAAATCTTCCTTGATTTATCTTTTAATTGTATATGTGATATCATCGTGTGAACTCCACCGTTAAACACATGATAATCTGAACAAACTTAAACAACAACAACAATAATGATCCTAAGAAAAAAAAAAGATAAAAACAATAGGAACGGTTAAATGTTGTTTACACTACAATTAGGAGATTCAGGAGTGATGATGATCTATTTGTACAACAAGTACTCCAATTCAAATATTCAACTGATCCATTAATTTAGAGCAACCTTTTCCCGTGTAAAAAAAAAAAAAAAAAAAGGGACATTTTTTTCTGGTGGATATTTTTGTAATAATTTCCAAAATGATTTTGAGAAGAGAAAACAGAAATAGATGTCAACATTTCTCCTAATACATGTTTACATTAATTACTCTATAATCAATAAACTAGTAGATGTTCCAACATTCAGCCAGTCAAATTCTTAACCATGACTGGACGGTTCCAGTCATAACCGTATTTCGCGATACAGATCAACAATACCTTTGAAGTGGCTAAAAAATAAGATCACAATCTAACAACTTCGTATGGTATGGTACCCCCTCTCTGCCTCCCTTCCGAAAAAAGAAAAAGAGAACAAGATCCGCTGCTGGGACCAGTACCGATAGGTTAGAGGTGGGACCCGTGAGTTGAGCTGTCCCATAATTATGCTGAAAATATACAGGGGAAGTACTGTGCATGAGCTCCCACATTCACTGTTGAAGAAGAGGTGAGGCACAGAATTCTCAAACTGAAAATAATGCGCTCCAATGATGTATTTTGATAATGTTTGCAGTGACATGAGTATTGGAGAACCAAATTCCTAACGTGAAAACTCTAATGCTTTGCTTTTCGCTTTTTAAAGGAAAATCTTGTTCCACTTTGAGCAAGAACCACCTTGGACATGTCAACAGTAAAGTACCATTTAAGGAAATATTTTAATCCAAGGTGTTCCACTAGGAATATTTTACTCTCCAATTAGATCAGATCACAAACAAAATGGATAGTTTATTTATTATATATATGTTATCAAAACCTAAAAAATGCAACCTTTGAAAAGACTACATACATGTACTAAACCTTTTTTTAGAATATTGTTTGTTCTCCCAAGTTTTCATTTTCCTGAGTATTCTACTAGGTTCCCATTGCTTTTCTTGTGGTCAAACTGAGTGGCGTTTTTGTCAGGCATCGCTGCTTGCCGCTATTCAGTAGGTATTAGGTATAAACGCCCAAGGGAGTAGTACTTGAGGGTCTACAAAAATCGCTTTTTTTACCATTTGTGAAAGAGAGAACGAAAATGGCATAAAATATAAATATTTTTTTCAGAAAGTAAAGAACGAGAATGAGTTTTGGTATCTGATTGTCGTTGCCTTAGATCCTGCTGAAAAGGAAGAAACGAATAAAAATGTGGGGTAAAGTAGATGAATTCGATAGTTTATTCATTAGACTAGTGTGGTATTAGCATCACATTTCCATTGCAAACTTCGAAGTCATTTTATTACCATGATAATATCTCCTCGTATCTGCTGCATTGTCTGCACTACTGGCTAGAACCTAGTCTAAAGTCTGAAATCACGAATAAAGCATTACAGATGGATTTGTTGTTTCTACCTCCAACAGCAAGCAACAGGCTTGTTGCATTATACGACCAAACATACCAACATTCGATAAAATATCACATTAACTGTCTTTCCTTTTTTTTTTTTTTTTTTGTTTGTACCGGGGCGGCAGATTTTACTGCCAAAATCTATATTTTTTTAGTGAGGATGTGTGTATGTCAACGTGAGTTAGATGGACCTATGCTGTAACAAAATCCCACGACACCTTTTTCGACCCAACTATCCAAAAAAAGATTGTGCTGAGTGATAAAGCCCAAAATAATTGGCAGGCTACCCATGATTCCGTTAACTGGCATATCCAGTTCCTGTCTATTCGGGAGAGAAGAAAAACCAATAGAGGGTCTCCGATGACATACAAAACAGTTCAGTGGTTCATCTCTAAGGAAATCAACACCCCACTAGAGTAAATTTATGGTTTCACGTTCATTATCATTTACTGTGTCAGCAATACCAAGGCGGTCTACACCATTACACAAGCCACAACTAGTGGTACGACTTAAAACATTGGACACTACATGAGGCAAACTTTGACATTTACACAGCGAAAGAAAAATTAGGAATATGCACACAATTTTAATTACAACTACACCATGTTTCAGAACGACCACACTGCAAACATTCATAGCAATTCTTTGTATAACTTCATTCTACATAATCGACACATAATCTGAACGACAAACTTCAGATATCAACCTCGCCGAATTGTTGATAGTAGGGAACAAAATTCTTCCTGCTACAGGGCATAGCTTCTCCACATGGTGGCTGAGAATGAATGCCAAGATTTGCGAATGAAAGCATCTTGCACACTGACCTCAAGGCACACTGCACCCTGATCAATTACCGAGGGAGAAATGATGTTAATCTATATTTCCAAGTCAAAAAATTCTTAGTTTCTTCTGTTGTTAAAGATCCTTTTTCTTCAGCAATCGACTCCACTGCCTCGTCTCACAAAAGTGCCAGCAAGTCAAAACATTTCACTTCCTCCACTCAACTGCTTACCTTCTTCTGCCATGATAAAGTCCACTGCCTGAATGATGATATTGCCGGTAACGTGACCCAGTACCTCTTCCACTACTTCCTTCCCATGTGCTGCCACGGCTGGCAACTCTGCTGGTACCACCAGGCATCCAATTCAACGTCTGAATCCCCAACCCATTATTCTCCTCCTCTTCTCTGTCATTATACTCCAACACCAGTCTCTTGATGTCCTGTTTCTCTTCGAACTCAGCTGCTTCTTTCTGTTTTGTGCTCTGCACGAGAGAGCAATCCCTAGGAATGTACATCTGCTTTGTTTGTTGCTTATTCCCACGCTTCACAAGAACTTTCACCTGAACATCCTTGTTTCCTCCAGCTTCCTCTTCCTCATCACCACTTTCCCCTCCAACCCCCTTTCCATGATGATCCTTAGAGGACCCTTCAAACAAGTTCATGGGTATCACCATATTTAATGCAGGTCGACCACGGAGTTCCTGCCTGCGCTGCTCCATGCTCTCCTGCACTCGCAATTGATATAATATGTGTTACAAGGTTACCAATTAAAGCATTCAACAATTATAGTTGTTCTCACTTGCAGAATCAATTATTTGGAATGACAGCAATAAAAAATTCCTCAGCATCTCAAAGATTTCAACTATTGGCCTCACAGCATTCTGTAATTGGCCTAATCAAAAGGTACACACACAATATCCCTTACAGAATATTTCTGTCAGAATGTTGTAAGAATTTTTTTCAAACCCCAAAACCTATTTTTCATGTGTCAGCACACTATGCAAGTGTGCATATGTATATTGCATTCACTCTGGGAGGAAGGCACATGCAATTGTGAGCTAAAAAACAGCAAAAATCTGAATCTTGCCTGCATTACAGCCCTGAGCTCCTGTTCAAAACTGGCTACTTCAAGTGGGTCTACCTCTGCAACCTTTTGTCTGACATGGACTTCATCATCCTCATCAGAAGCAGGCCCCCTCCATCATCATCATCATCCTCTGTGTCACACCCATCTTCATCTAACTCTTCTTCTCCATCCTGGTCAATGGTGCCACTACCTGAATCAGTGTCACTGCCACCAACATCATCCTGCAAACCATTTTCCTCATTCCCATTCACAGTGCTTTGCCCATTTGCAGAGATTCTACTGGAGGCAGTCCTATTCAATGGTTTGTCAGTGTCGGAGTGCTTTTCACTATTGGCCTTGTCAGCAGAGACAGTTCGTTCGTTTTCCTCAAGTTCTGTAAGAGCAGCATTAACTTCTTCAATGGACGAATATCGTATCATATGTGGACGTAGTTCAGCAAATAAGTCCTGCAAATGCTTCAATGTATGAGCATATTACAAACAAACATGGTAGATGAAGATATTTAAATTAACTTCATAAGCATATAGAAATTAAAAAAAAAAAAAAAGAGAGAGAGAGAGACCAGCTTCATAAGCAAAGGAGTAACACAAAAAAATGTCGCAATACAACTAAAAATAAAATAAAATGGAATAAAAAGACAACTCTCTCCCAGAACTCAAGCTGAAGTTACTTACAAGAATCTAATTAAAATTCTGAACAGTTGAATAATGGAAATGCTTCTACATCTGGAGACGCTGGTCAATGCCCCATTCAGGCGCTGCTTAATTAACAACTAGTCTTGCCTGATCAATTTCTAACTTATTGTTTTGTTTCAAAGATGTTGCATTAGAAGCAGAATACCTTCCATTCATTTCTTTTCAATTAGAGCAGAAGTGTGAAAATTACATGGTCATATATCGATTCTCTCTATCGTTCACTGTATTTTGTTGGAGGAATACTAGGCATGTCAAATATTGCACAATTCCAAAAGCAAAGTTTAAAAATACATATCCATAAATAGGATTGCAATTAGTTCTAATCCACACAACTCTCAAGTGCAAAGTTTCCCGAAGAATATGTGAGTTGTGCTGCGCAGTTCTGTGATCGAAAAGTTCAATATCATGTCTTAGTTTGTACCAGTTGTATTCAACTAGAATTCATAATATTCTTGCATTTCATTAAATCTTATTGTGAGTCAAATGAATACATCTCAATGGCTGTCCCATCTTGCGTCAAATTAAAGTATACTGCACGAAGCATTTCCATTCCCTACCTGCACCCCTCGTAAGAATATTCTGGTATTATTTAAAGAGCAGTATCTACTGTAACCAAAGGCATAATTTCCCATTCCACAATATAGAATACAAACAATTTGTCAAATTCTATTTCCAATCCGGTTATATTACACGAACCTTACAGTTAAACAAGAAAGTAACCAAGCATAAAGATATATGTATGACTGACCTGTAAGTCAAATTCAACATCGAGCGGTAGTGCACCTTTGCTGAGAATATACCTCTGAAAGTGTATTAAAAATCGATTAAGTTTCCTCTTAGAAGAACCTCGGTCAAAGTAGTGCCCACAAGTCTCCAGAAGAGTGATAACCATCCTGATACGGAAACAATCCTCCGGTGGGTCTAGCACGCCTTGCTGGTAACATGAATAATCAAAAGCATATCATAATGAATGCGTAATATATACAGCAAAAACTACATCATAAATTTCACCACAAAAAGTAATTAAAAAAGAAGGCAATAAATTAGAAGTATAAAAAATGGAAGCATTACATGCTTCATAAATAAATGCTGTCAATTTCTCTCACAGAACTTTCAGATTATACAGTCCAATTTGAGCGTACAATGTGATTAAAATAATGCTTTCAATTTCATAGCCAGAACTTTTTCTAAGCATGCAGTTCCATTATGATGTGATTAATAACAACAGTGGAGTAGATACATGTGTTACTTCATTTGCATTCTAATAAAAACTGGTCAGATGATTAGTTGTCAGACAACAAAATCATGTCTTTCATCAGAGATAAACCTATAGGAAACTATTCATGCATATGCATAAAACTGGTTTTGATTGATTGGCCATCTTCTCCTAAAGCCTTTAGTTATATCAAGCGATGAATTTGAGCTCATACCTCTGGAGTATCATGACCAAAGACAAGGATCAAGTAAAGCGTGTCAAAAATCACAGACGAATCCACATGTTCATAATTGTATAGTTCCCCCAAGAATCGCATATGGGCTATGCGCCTCTGCTGCATCCCATAGTCATTTAATTCTAGCCCCAGCCTAATCTCCTCCAAAACCTGTATGCCAAAAGCAAATTGTTATACTTCCATTAAAAGTCACTGCACACATTCATGTGGTCACACATGCAAACTTAACAGCGTATGACAATATATCCATGGCCAAACATGCTGGTAAATGAGAATTCAGAACATTCCACATCTTAAAAACATCACTGCCATGTGAGATGAGGCAGATATGCAAAGCTGTCAACAATTCATTCCAGAGTGGGGATTGTAGAAGAAATTGTTTAAGTTTCAAAGACTAATTGCTATTTCAGATAGGCTAAAGTAATGGTGGCATGAATAGCTAATGGTCAACAAGTAATCATAAGAAAGAAATAAGAGAAATAAGATTGGTTTTTGAGGGAAGAGGTTCTGAGAAAACAATTTTATGGTGTCTTCCAGTAGCCATGCTCCTATTGATCAAATGGTGAAACAGAAAAAAATACAATTTGTGTGACAATTGACCCAAAATGAGAAATGAAATCTGTGGGAAATGAGTCAGTCTGCTGTTACAAAAGTCAGCCTTTCTTTTTTAGATTGTGAGAAAATGAGGACAGAAGCATCTACTCCTGCCATCGTCCGTCTGTGTACTATCGAGCATGACTATTGCTTTATTAAAAGATATCCCTAAAACCACTATGGCAAGTTATCTGTAACTGACTAAATCTCAGATATCAAGATTGTCCTACATTAGAAGCAAAAAGCTTTCGGTTCAGCAAGCAAAATTATTTCCGATAAAAGTACCACTTTCTTCTGTGACTATCCCTGTATTCAAAATTATTCTCCTTGTTCCATATTTATTGGTCTTAAATTCTCAAAAACAATAATAATAGAATTCAGATCCTTGTCTGTTATTTCTAAAGAAAGGCCATTTTATTTTATTTGTGTGTGTGTGTGTGTTGGGGCGGGTGGTGGTTCAATGGCAACAATTTCCTCATACTAGAATATTTCATCTAAATGCTGTAGCTCGCAAATCCAAACCATTATCACAATGCCATTAGGAAAAAATATAAAAAGCCAGCTGGCTATCACGCAAAAATGGGAGAAATGAAAAGCATGATATCATCTTTTCCATTAACAATAAAAATACCAACAACTCAAAACTTTCAAAATGAAAAAAAAAAAAAACAAACCTCGTCAATAACCGCCACTGCAAATTCATCATGATAACGGCTCAAGCCAGCAGTGAGAGAAGCAATCAAGTGAATTTGACTATACTTCCCTTTATGAACCTTCATAAAGCACTTTAAAAGGTATGCTTCACATTCGCTCCATGGTAATTTACGAAGCTGCCTGAGCACATGCTCAATGGAAGACTTGTCCAGATCGGAGAATAGTAATTTTCTGATATACTGCACAAAGAATTCATTGATTAAACATATCTAAAGTCAAAATAGTTGAAAAAAAGGCACTGTAAAATGATTCATACCTGATACAAAGGAGGTCGGACTTTGGACACTCGTGCAGACCTTTCAGGTGGTTTGCACAGATAGTAAGCATTTTCTACAAGGGTGCTATGCCGAGGATCCAAATTTTTTACATTTTTCAAGCGCATAAGTATCTCCAACATATTAGCCATGCGTACGGTAGTTTCAGGAGAACGATACAGGAAACGGCCACATGTCTCAAGTAGATTGCAAGCAACATCAATGTTATGGTGAGTGAAATCATCTAAACAAGCCTGTAAGAAACAAAAGCATCGATGTATAAACACATGGTCCAATAAAATGAATGATGAAAGTGCCACCTCAGCACCTCAGATCTCAACAGACCATATATTAATTTCAAATTCATCTTCTGTTAAAAATCAAATATAAAAAATGACAACATTGGATGTACTGTGGAAAAATACACTCCATTATAAATCATGTCCTAGTTCCACCTATCTTTCTAAACAAAAAGGCATCAAAAGCACTTGGAATTTTCACATGAACTCCAGCAAGGTAAACAAGAAAAAAAAGGAAGACCCACCAAAGCATAAGGATTGACATGGAGAACTAACAAAAGATATTGTTGCCAGGGAAAGAGGAAGACTAACAACATGGATAAATTTCCTGGGAATTCACAGAAAATATGTCTTGCTTAAAGCAGAATTGTGCGAGAATATTCAGATAGCCAACCCATTTAGCAACAACCACGGCTCAATAGACAGTAGAGTAGAAGACAATTAAAAGAAAAACTATAACTGAGAAAGCCACTACACATACCTTCAAGCAACTAAAAACAGTGGTTGCTGGTGCAATTTTGAACTTGCAGAGCTCTCCAATAAATCTAATATTCCTGATCTTTGTTTCAATGTTCATTTGGTCCTGCAGAAAATTTACAATTTGAAACTTCAATCATAATATGTACAAAATGAATGCAAGTACAAAAACAGACACAAATAACAAGCCATTCTTGCTTCAACGGAACATCTCAAAAACAGACCTTTTTGTTTATTAAGAAATTGAACTCCTCCTCTAACATTTGTAAGAGCATGGAAGAGGCATCCTTCATGCAAGTTGAGAGTGTGGCAACCATCCGTGAGTAGTATGGAAGCAGTTCCAGAGATGTCCTGGGTACATTAAATAATGCCCTTACAAGCTTTTTCCGATTTGACTTTGAATTTAAATAACAAAACTCTACCTGAAACAGAATATTCACAAAAAACACAGAACAATTAGATCTTTATTGTAAAGGTAGATAGTTCCTGAAAAAAATGTAAAGCACCAATTCAAAAAAAGAAGAGCCAGCAATGCAATTACAGTCAATTGATCAATTAGGTCACGGCTGACGCAACCAGGGAGCCTCTGTAACAAAGCATCCAAATTAGTCCCTTCGAGACTTTTGAGTTTGTCCTTCTCATTTTCTCCTTTTCTCTCAGCATCCTTTTCCTTTCCTTTCTCTTTTTCAGGATCTTTTACTTTTTCTTTATCTCTTTCTTCCTTATCCTTTCCTTTCTCTGTACTTTTTCCCTCCTGTAAAGTGCCAGACTCTGCAGAAACCTCTGCCATATCCTGGGTGGGTTGGCCTTGGTCCAATTCAGGTGTCAGCTCCTTAAAATAGATGAAGACATCAATACATAGATAAAGCAATAAACTGCTTTCATGTGATTGTACAAGTGACATTTTTCACAAAAGAACAAATACAACTCAAAATGCTTGTATTTTAAAGGACTTATATCCGTCATTGATTGAAAGACGTGGACTACATGTAAGTTTAGAAACAACAAGAGGCTTTCTGAGAAGAGGAGGTGATGGAAGGGCCCACGAAAAGACACTTACTAGTATAAATCATAATGCAACCCATTTAACCACAAAGCAAGCAAGCTTTAACGAGTAGTGCAAAATGATTACCATAATTCACAAGCTACTACAAAAATTCACACCGAAATTTATCTAATTTATTTGTTCATCACCAATTTTTGCCATAATTTCATAGTTAAGTTTGGAAAAACCAAAGCCTTTATAAAACATCTGAGTTTTTAACTCCTTACACTTGGTTGATCTTGAGTCTTCGCAGAATGCTCATTTGCTTTTGGCTCGGCCTCTCCCAATAATACTGCTGGAACAAATGCTCTAAAAGGAACATATAAAAGTCCACCTTAAGTGTCAAGCTGGCAAACTTTGTATATAACGTAACCAGAATCAAGTTTAATATAAAAACACATCTTTTTTAACTCGGTTGGAATAGTCTAGCCACAACAAACCTGAGATCTGGTAAGCATTCGTAGAAGGCTCTAGTATCTTCATCATCCCACAAAGCTTCAAGGACAGAAGAATCTTTTCCTGCAGCAGGTGATGAAGCATCCTCTCCGCTAGTAACCCTAGTAGTATGCCCGTCTTCTGGCATCAATGGAGGTTGCATATCAAGTGCTTCTGCTAAACTGATATAAAGAATTTATATGTCATTGGGCAAACTATCAGGACACAGTATCAGATGCAAGCTGAAGGGGCATTACTTCATAGTCTCCTAGGAACGCTTGGGACAACAAGAATAGGCTCACATAATACAAGTACCACTATGTGCAACCAGGAAGAATCAACCAAAGCATTTACCTATGCAAGAAAAAGAAGGGCAGCGCACTTAATTGCAGCTACAAATTCACCAACTATCCTTTGCATGTCATAAATTTTTTTTATCAAGCACCCATATTCAATTCTAAGGTCCATCATAGCAATGCCAGCAATTACACAATTCTCAGAATCAGAAATCCTCAACTTAAAAGTGTTTATTAAAATTTCTGACAAGTTGTAAGTTAGCTTACAAGCTTTCTTGAATGTTGAGATTGAGGCTATGAACCAAAGACAGCAGGCAACAAAGAATTTTCAGGCAAATATTTATAAATGAGAAACATGAACTGTGGCTATCTTGCTTTGCTGTGTTAGTTAAACAATTGACAGCAGAAAAATCAAGAAGTCCACTCTGCACACTGGTTTTAGCAGCTTCAAATTTTGTACATCCCAGTAGTGACTTTTCAGTTTTCTCACCTTCGACCCCTTAAACTTCATTCACCAAGTGTTCACAGCTCATTCATTTTACAAACTTCCATTTACAGTCCAGTTAAAATGAGTCTTTTAACATTTATTTCCAGAGTGGCATAGCTCCTTCAATCAGAATTAAACTTTTGACATATATAACCTCTCTATCTAAAATCATGGTTCATGAAATCAAGACTGTACAATAATAATGGTTGTGCTATTGAGTAATAAGGTAGGAAGGTGAAGGATTCAGAAAAGCAGCATGTAAGATGAGGAGGGGTGGGAGGTAGAGAATTCTGAAGGAAATATGGCATGATTTATGTATGTCCTGCTGTCAGAATGGAGTCTACTTATCTAGTCACGACAGAATAAATGCAAGAAGAAAATGAAATCGGCAAGCAAACTTACGATGACACATTACGGTACAAATGGTCGTAAGATTTTCGCAGCTTTTCATATGATGAAACATTTTCATCATTCAGCTCTCCTTTAGCATTCAAAATCTTTGCATTTTCATGTTCCATTTGATGAAGTGACTGTTAAGAGATAAAAATCTTACATTTACAGGCATCTTAGAAAATAAAAGTAAAAAAGAGATGAATGAAAAGAAACCAAGTTCCCCATTCAAACAAAAAGAGCCCAGAAAAATCAAGAATGCAAGGTTGGACTGAAAATAAACAGCTAAAGGCAGTAAAACTCTTACTGCATGCTCTGACTGAAGTAGTTCAGAGACAGCATCATAGTATGTATGAAAGGCCTTCTTGAAGATTTTCTTTTGATCTGCGGTGATGCTAACGCCCTTAAAAAACTGCAGCAATATGTCAGAATGCAAGGGATACACACAAACTGAAACAGGACTGAAAACATAATCTTAAAGGACCTAAACACAACAAATAACATGAATACTACATGTAAATGAGTTTGAAATTATCACAAAAAGAAGTGCTAGGCAAGACTAAGATAAATGCAAGCTAAAATGAGAGTGGCGGTGTATTTAAAGGACCTGAACAGAAAAACAAAATGCATATAGTAGTAAATGAGGTAGAAACAATCACCAAAAAAGAAGGTGCTAACAAGAGTAAGATCGACCCATTGAATCAGTATCATACAGCATATCTTTACAAATAACCAGGTTGGCCAGAAAGAATTAAAAGTGAAAGAACAAAAGCATAAGCAGCACCTCTTCCTGAATTTCTAGTCCAGATAGTGGAAGTCCCAGAAAAACTCTTCCTTGTCGAGCAAAACTAGCAAGGAGAGTCAAATTTGCCTGAGCAGTATCTCTGTCCTTTAAGTGTTCAACACTAGTAAGATCCTTAATAATATTAATGAAAATACTGCTGTCTTCTGTAACTCCAACAAAGTAAAGTTCCAAAAGCAGTTTTAAGGTGCTTCGCTTCTTCATAGCCTTTGAGTTCCTGTCCACGTCCAAGTCTTCTCCTGATTTTCCAGGAAGAAAGACCTTTAAGAGCCCTTGTACCAGGCTTGGTGAGAAGTCTTTGTACCGTTGATGGAGCAATGAACAAATCTTTCCAAGAAAGGCAAGTGTTAGAATAGTGCAGAAAGGCAGGGAGAATAATAAACAAGCCATGTTGACTTCATGCAAAAAGTTCAAAGAAAAATGCAGTTTTCAATACATAGAAAGTATAGCTCTACAAGCAACTAGTTATTGTCCCTTTAGAACTTCACAGTATGTCTGATAGCTGAGAATATTCACAGACATGACCCATCAAAATTTGAAGGTCTATGAAAAGGAGAAAGCAGCACTATGAGCAAGTATCAACTAACATATTCAGAAACTTGACACATTCAAAGAAATTTGCAAAGCACAGCAAAAACCTAATGACATTAAATTGCACTAATTTCAGATTCAAAACAAAGAAAAACAGGACAATTAAGTCAAATAAATAAGCACATTTTGGACAATGACAAGGCTGCCAAAGCGCTCTTTGATGATTGTGTGATATATAATTCAACAGCAAGCTTCTGAAAAACTTGCCGTTAGCATTCAACTGTTTTATAACATACCAATTACATATATTCATAATCTTAGGCATGCAATAACCCATTTCATAGTCCCAAGGAATTAAATGAATAAGCAATACCTTGAAGTCAATTTAATATAATTACCACTATCCCGCCACTGAAAAGGTTATTGGGGCTTGAAGACATGTAAAAAAAAAAAAATGTTCTGCAGCTAGAGAATCACACGCACACTCACACAAAAAAAAAATCAAAAAAATCAGTTTGCAACTTTAACAGCTACCTGAACAGCCGCTTGTATGTCAGAAGTTCTAAGTTTGGCATCACAAATGGATGTCACAGCTTCACTGACAAATTTGCTGAGGTTCACATTTCGCAAGTCTTCCATCAGTCCTTCCTTCTGTTCTTCATTTATCTGCTTTAATTTTTTAATAACTGCTGTATTGCGCTTAATGCTGGAATCCAATGTCCTGAGAAATCCTGAGTCTGGTAACAATGGTAAATTGTATCAATCTCTCCTGCATTCTAGAATTATGATAAAATTGTATTTTTTTTATTTGAACATAGCAGCATGCAGTAAAAGACTTGAATCACTTTTGAAAGGATGAAAGATTGTTAATCCAGCTGGAATCAAATGGCATTACATTTTCTTTATAATAAAAAAGCAGCTATATTTGGATTCTCAAAGGCTGGAGTCACCTTTATAATATCTAGAGGCTATCAGTAAGAACAGAGTGAATTGTCAAGGTCTCAAGTGTTTTTGAAAAACCAACCACAAGAGAATTCTCTCCTCGTCCAGTAAGAGTGCATGTACGTGAAGGAATTTCAAACAGAATTCACTTTTGAAAAAGATTCGTGAATTTGAAAATATCCATGTCTGAAGTGAAAAGGGGAAGAATTTATAGATATTTCACAGTTCAAACTAGAAAGCTTAAGGATATCTCCTAAGTCTTTGATTAAATTCAGTCCATGCTGACTCGTTTTTTAAAGTCCATTGGGAAAAAATTGCCAGCTGCCTTTACTACCATTTCTTATGTCCTGTAACGCCAGTATGGCAGCCAGATAAACTGCAGTGCTGTTACCAAAGTCTTTAAAATTGCTGTTGATACTAAAAGAAAGTTGCATTTCATGACTTGCTACCAAAAACCCAACGTCAAATCTATCACCACTACTAGCCATCCTTACCTTAAGAATCAGCTATTATAATCATCTTCATCACAGTGATTATCGTTACTTCCATTGAAAAACTGCCATGAATATTACCACCTCTCGCTGTCCTTAGTTCCTTGCCCTTTTCAAGCCATTGCTAAAATGCTACTATCATTCCTTAAATTCTTGATGGTTTTTCTACAACCAACTCATGCATGTAGCCCTAGATTAGAAGCAACAACCAATCTCCACCTGCATGAACATGCCCACTCTCTCCTACTCCATCCTATCATGCAATGTCATGCAGCATATTTCCCATCTTGATATTATGAATAAAAACATCACCCTCCCTAGATCTAATATATAGTAACAGTGCTAAGGATAAAAAATATTATGCAATCAGAATATAAAAGCCCTACCAAATTTGACATGTTAAAACATTTCTTTTTTGGATAGCCAAAAAAACACAAAATAACTATTAAATAGCCAATGCAGCAGGGTATTACCACCCATTACATCAGATAAAAACCAGTAAAAATAATAAATCAACAAAACAGATAGAGTCATCTGCAATTACAAAAGATTTATCAACGCACAATAAATGTAAAGTCCCAATTCAATTATATAACAGAGAGGAAGTGCGGAATAAACCGGACTCCAGACATGTGATTTTATTATCAGCCTTGAAGAAACCTTATTTTCCTGAATATTTTATCAAAAGCGTTATCAGCCTAATGCTTGTTGTTCCTATTTTATCAGGCCAAAATCACTAAACAACTAGCAAGCCTTTTTCCTCTTTAGTGGTAGAAAAAAGGTAGCAACACCAGACACTGGCAGATGATCTTATCCATTTTAGTAACCAATATACAGTTAAACAACCGTAAAACATTCTCATAACATAACCAACCAGGCCTTTCAGGATTCAAATTGCTTTGACGAAGAGCAACTTTTGCCTCAATAGATTTCTTCATTTCCTCAAGTCGAGCAACGGCTTCCTGACAAACAAACAAAACAAATCAAAACATCTTAACAACATTGCTTAAGAAAAACACAGGAGCGCAAATGACAAGAATGACTCCAACGAGTACTGCACATCCTAAGTAGTTTCATAACACCTAAACTCTCGTCCAAATTCAACTTGAAATCTTAAACTAATCTTTTTTAGCCAAAACTAACATTATTCAGAAATTTTAAAAATCACAGAAACAAGCACGCATGTGCTCAAGCTGATTAAAACACAGAGTAATAGAAAGAGAAAAAGCAATCGCACCTCATCGTCTTGCTTTCTAGGCGTTTCACTTCCACCGCGGCTCTCATCTTCATGGTGATCCATCTTTCTCTAATTAGAAATCTATAATTTGTCACCTAGCATAACAAATTACAGAATTTAATTCACCAATAAAACCCTAGAATTAGTACTAATAATCGAAAACTAAATGGAACGCAAAGAAAAAGGAAAAAGCGACCTGCATTATTCTATTCAATCGATGTTACTTTGTGTAGTTACATATAAGTACATAAATAGTTATTGAAAAGAGAACGGTTAGGGTTACCTGATCGGAGATTGAACCGGACAAATACCGGAAAAGTAAAAGGAATTTACGAGAGAGAGGGAGGGAGTTGGGGGGAGTGGGGGGTGGGAGAGAGCGCTAAGCCCAGGGTTTACTTGGGTCCGAGAAAAATGAACCCTTGAATTTTGGAACCGACTAAGTCAGGGGCCCATATTGGGGTTAGGGCACGGGTTAATCAAACCACTCCCCATAGATGATTTGGAAGGCGCGTCGTTTAGCCGTGACGAAATAATAAGATTGCGACGTCACGTTTAAGGTCATGTTTGGTTTAAATGATAGTTCCTTCACATTCCTAAGGTGTTTAGTTAGAACTACTTAGATACTCGCATTGCTCTACGATCGAATAACTGTTATATATATATATAGGTTAAGGATTCATATGGTATAGTACATATAAAAATCTTTTTTCTTATACTTAATGTAAATCGAATTTATTTGCCTAGCAAAATTGTTTGATTTATATAGACTTATTAATAAAATAATCAATAATATGAGCATAAAAAGTTGTATTTGCATAATTGAAAAGTTATTTCAAAATATTATTTCAATTATTTTATTTAAAAATATTGATTTTAAAACATAAAAAAAAATAATTGGTATTATTTGTATAAATGCATAATTAATTTCCAACAAAACTAATGATATATATTTCAATTATTTTATTTAAAAAATATTGATTTTAGATAATTAGTATTATGTATGCAGATACATAATTAATTTTCAACAAAACTAATGATATGTGTGTATATTATGATCATACTTAGTAGATTCAGAGTATATAGTATAATTTTTTTATATATAAAAAAAAGTCATCGAAGTTGTATGGAATACGTTAAAATTAATAAATTAAAATAAAAACTACTATAAAATTGGATCCTATAAATTTTACTTCTAAATTTATGACGAGAGAGATTTTTGAATTGCAAATTAAATTATAAATTAGCTATTCTCGTTTTGAAAAATTAATTAATTAATTAATTTGGCTTCAAAAATAAATTGTTTATTTTTTTAATCGGTGTTAACCATGACTAATTTATTTTTTATTTTTTAAGAGTGTATTTTTTCATATTTGTACTTATTTTTTATTCTTTCTCTATTTCTTATAACAAAAAATAAAAACATTGAAATAGCAAAAAGAACAAAAAAATTAGTTTTTGAACCGAATAAACTAATGGTGTCATATATGCGGATACATAGCACAAAACTATGTGTGTGTGTGTGTGTGTGTGTGTGTGTGTGTGATCATAGTATAAACAAACAATTAAAAAAAAAATCTAAGTTGTATAGAATATAATAAAATCAATAAAGAAAAATAAAAACTACTACAAAATTAGTTCCCATAATTTTTACTTGTTGATCTATGATGAAAGAGATTCTTGAATTACAAATTAAATTATAAATTAGTTGTTCTCGTTTTGAAAAAAAGAATGAATTAATTCTTTTGGCTTCAAAAATTAATTTTTTAATTTTTTAATTAGCGTTGACCATAAATAATTTATTTTTTATTCTTGAAAAATGTTTTTTTTTCATATTCGTACTTATTTTTTATTCTTTCTCTATTTCTTATAACAAAAAATAAAAACACCAAAAATAGCAAAAAGGACCAAAAAAATAGTTTTTGAATTGAAGAAACTAATGGTGTTATGTATGCGGATACATAACTAATTTTCAACAAAACTATATATATATATATATGGTTATAGCATAAACAAAAATTAAAATAAAAAACATCTAAATTATATGGAATATATTAAAGTCAATAAATTAAAATAAAAACTATTACAAAACTGGTTTTCATAAATTTTACTTCTAAATTTATGATGAAAGAGATTCTTGAATTGCGAGATTAAATTATAAATCGGTTTAGCTCGTCTTGAGAAATGAATGAATGAATTATTTTGGTCTTAATTTTATTTTTTAATTAGTGTTAACCATTAATAATTATATATATATATATATACATATATATATATATATATATATATATATATATATATATATATATATATATAAACTACTACAAAATTGATTCTCATAAATTTTACTTCTTAATTTATGATGAAAGAGATTATTGAATTGTAAATTAAATTATAAATTAGTTCATCTCATTTTGAAAAATGAATTAATTAATTATTTTTGTTTCAAAATTTTTTTTATCCATGTTGACCACAAATAATTTATTTTTTATTTTTTAAAATGTCTTTTTTCATGTCGTTACTTGTTTTTTTTACTCCTTTTCTATTTATTAAAAAAAAATTAAAACATTGAAATAAAAAAAAGTACAAAAAAAAAGTTTTTGAACCAAATGGGTTTATGGTATTATGTATGCAGATACATAATTAATCTTCAACAAAACTAATGATATATATAATTTGTTTATGCTATGTACTTTGAATATATATATATATATATATATTCAAAGTATATAGCATACAAAAAAAAATCATTTAAGTTGTATGAATATATTAAAGTTAATAAATTGAAATAAAAACTACTACAACATTGGTTTCCATAGATTTTACTTATAAATTTATGATGAAAGGGATTCTTGAATTGCAAGTTAAATTATAAATTAGTTCTTCTCATCTTGAAAAGAGAATGAATTAATTCTTTTGGTTTAAAAAATAAAATTTTTAATTTTTTTAATTAGCGTTTACCATAAATAATTTATTTTTTATTTTAAGAAATGTCTTTTTCCATATTTTTACTTGTTTTTTATTCTTTCTCTATTTCTTAAAATTAAAAATAAAAACATTGAAATAGCAAAAGGTATAAAAAAAAATAGTTTTTTCAATCGAAGGAACTAACGGTGCTATGTATGCGGATACATAAATAATTTTCAACAAAACTATATGTGTGTGTGTGTGTGTGTGTGTGTGTGTGATCACGAGTATAAACAAATATTAAAAAAAAACACATCCAAGTTGTATGGATTACATTAGAGTCAATAAATTAAAATAAAAACTATTACAAAATTAGTTTTCATAAATTTTACTTTTTAATCTATGATGGAAGAGATTCTTTAATTGTAAATTAAATTATAAATTGGTCAATATCATTTGAGAAATGAATTAATTAATTATTTTGGTTATAAAATAAATTATTTAATTTTTTAATCAGCGTTGACCATAAATAATTTATTTTTTATTTTATAAAATGTCTTTTTTATACATTTTTACTTCTTCTTTTTTAATTCTTTCTCTATTTCTTAAAACAAAAAAAAATAAAAACATTGAAATAGCAAAAAGAACAAAAAAAATTAGTTTTTGAAGCAAAGAGACTAATCAGTTTGTTTCTCAAAGAAAGGGGAAATAATTTATTATCGCTCTTAAATAGCAAGTGGTTTTGGCTTCCCGCCAAAAAAAAGAAGAAGAAAAACATTAAAAGAAGATAAGAGCTTTAAATGCTCAATCTGAAAAAAAAAAAAAAGGAAATGACAAAAAAAAAACCCAAAGAGAAAATTAAAAAGAGAATTAATCAAGGTTAAAAATGGAATTTTTCAAATCCATTGAGTGGAAAAGGAAAGAATTAATGAAAAGGTAAGGGCAAAAAATCAAGCAAAACAATGAATAGTAAATCTATATCTAAAACAATAGTAAATGAATAGTAAATATTTGAGTTCTTTTAGTTTTTTCCTACTAATATATATTAAATTAAAAATAAAAGATAAAAATTTTAGTTAATTTCATAATTTTTTACCAAATTTTTGTATTTCATTCGTGCTTCTTTATGGTTTTCATGGATTTTGTTGTTAAAAAACACAATTCGTTTTTTTTTATTCATTCGCTCTTAAATAAAAACCTACAACCATATAAATATAAAATTTTTTAAAATATCATAATATTTTTTTAAAAGATTACATCAGAAAAATATATCAACAATCACTATAAAAATTTGTACAAAATTTAACTAACGATTCATTTAAAAATTTTAAAAAATATGTACATTTGACGCGCGCGCGCACACACAAATAAAAAAATCAATAATATTAGGTGTAATTTGTGATTGTTTTGAAAAATATTAAAAATTATTTATTTGTTTATCTTGAGATATGATGTGTGTTGAAAATTTTGTAAAATACTTAAAAAATAATTATCAATACTTATTTCATGAATCCGTTTTAAAGAGAGAGATGAATAAAAAAATCATATCCGAACTCATTAAAAGTGATAATATTTTCATATAATTTCTTTTATATCTATCTTTTAGAACAAGTATTGCTAGTTATTTATTAAATATTATAAATTTTTTTGTATCGTTGCATCATGTATATTTTGTTATTATATTTCTTAAGGTGTTTGTTCTTCGAGGGTTTCCAACTCTATTTTTGTCAACAAATTTCAACTTATTATGAATTTTCATTTGAAAATCTCATTACAATAAATGCTAAATCACTAATTTCAAATGTTCCAACTTTGTTGTTATCAAAGCACCAATAATAAAAATCCTTCTTGAAACATTTTTTTTCCTTAAATCCCTAATCGGTTACCAGTCAAGCGTGGTGGTCATAGTTTTAAAAACCAAAACTATGATTCATCTAAGGGCCCTGACGCGTTGAGAATAAAAAAAGAAATAAGGATATTTTGAGAATTTTCTTTTAAAAGGCAAGTCGAATAAGTAATCAATAATTTCCAAAACAAGAAGAACTATATCATTTGTTTCCTGAAAATTAGAGAGTAAAGTATAAATTACTCTTAAACCAAGTTTGAAATTTGTACAAACATAAAATATAACATCAAATTATTGAGACATTATCAATTTTATACCTAAAATATTTTTGTATCAATTTTACAACTAAATTATTTTAATATTTCATTTTATGTTAGATTTAATCAACAAAAAACGTTAAGTTCCTAATAAATAAAGATGTTTCTTAAAAAAAAAAAAAGTTGGTATTTTCTCCATCTCAAAAACATCATCTACTTTTTTATTTATATATACTTTAAAATATTTATCTGATCAAAATGTTAAATGATGTATTTTTCTTAAAATACCTCTAATTAACAATTATTTTGTAAAAAATTGTCCAAATATAATTTTAAAAAGAGTAATTTTGAAAAGTATGAATTAATTAGTCATCTTTTTTAACCGACATACCTAAGACTCTCAATCTACCATGATTTGAATGCATAACCTCTTATTGTAAGAGATCATTATTAGTAGACTACAAGCTTTTTAGTTTGAAAAGCATGAACAAAATATGCTAATCCGATATAACAATAACTCTCCTTGTTCCAAAGAGACCATCTATTTTTTTATTTTTTTTATATATGTTCCAAAATACTTGTTTATTCAAAATTTCAAATGATATATTTTTTTAAATACTTCTAATTAAAGTTCAAAAGATCTAAAAAAAATGGTATTTTCGAAAGTATGAATAAAATACATTGATATGACATAACAATTAATAATTTTTTAATATGTATAAAAATAAAAAAATATTTGTTTGAATAAAAGTAATAATAACTTTTTTGATCTTTGTAAAAAGTTAAATATGACAATTTATCTAGATGAATAAAGTACAATTTAAATAAAAAAATATAGATAAAAAGCTTAAAAATTAGATGAAAGTTTTTAATTAACAATTTCTGAAAATTTGATAATAAAATTAATATAAAAAATTATTTGATAGTAACATTAAAACTACTTTTGCATTTGGATGATATTTTTGGGAATTGTACTTTTGAAATTTTCTAAATCTATTTTTGAGGGAAGAAAGGTCAAACACATTTTGTCCAATTGATTAATCATCACAAATTCGAAACCACTTTTTCCTACTCCCGATGGCTCTCTAGAGAACTAGTGACCCACCACCATCAAACTTCTATGCATGTCGGCAAGAGAGACTTCCAAACGAAACAAGGACACTCTATACCTGAGTCTCTCGTTTTATTATTTAGTTCCCCTTTGGTTTTCACCATCACACTTCGTTATCCTTCACACACCCAAAACTCATTTCGCACAGAGACCACTCAAACTTGCAATGTCCGCTGGCAATACAGAAATATCCCATGATTTTCCAGGCTTTTTCAAGGTATACAAAGATGACCGTATAGAGAGATATTGGAATAGTGACTTCGTTGCAGCAGGCGTTGATGCAGAAACCGGGGTCCAATCCAAAGATGTTGTAATCTCACCAGCGACCAATGTAAAGGCTCGTATTTTAACTCCCAGAAATCAACGACCCAGCTAAAAAGCTACCTCTCCTTGTCCACTGTCATAGTGGTGGCTTTTGCAATGGCTCACCATTTTGTTCTGCCTTCAAAACTTTTCTTTCAACTCTAGCCACCCAAGCAAATGTCATTGCCATGTCGATTGACTATAGGTTAGCACCTGAACACAAATTACCAATCGCATATGACGATTCATGGGCTGGACTTCAATGGGTCGCTAAGCACTCTGATGGGAAAGGGCCTGAATCTTGGATTAACGAACATGCAGATCTTGGGCGGGTTATCTTAGCCGGTGAGAGTGCTGGAGGCACCTTAGCCCATTACTGCGCAGTTCAGGCTGGCGCTGCAGGATTGGCTGGTGTGGCTATAAAAAGGCTACTAATAGTGCACCCATATTTTGGGGGTAAGGATCCAGATAAGTTGTACCAATATATGTGTCCAACAAGTTCTGGGACAAGATGAAGATCCAAAATTGAACCCGGCAGTAGATCCGAATGTGTTGAAATTCAAGTGTGATAAAGTGTTGGTCTGTGTGGCAGAAAAAGATACGCTGAAAGACAGAGGGGTGGCCTATTACGAAGCTATGAAGAAAAGTGGGTGGGGTGGCACTGTTGATTTTTATGAGAGTAAAGGGGAGGACCATTGCTTTCATTTCTTCAATCCTAGGAATGAGAATCTCGGGCTCCTTATGAACAAAATTGTTGATTTCATTCAGCTGAATTGATTTTTTTGGATTTTATTAAGTGGGAATAAGTTGGTGCATTCTCTGTATCTGCGAGAGAAGAAAAATAATGGTTCGAATAAAGGTTGTTTAGTTGTTTGGATTCTATCACGTTTTTCTTTAATTTACTTTTCTTTCGAGTGTAACTAATAATCTATCCCCTTTTATTCAAGTAAGGAATCTAAATATGAGGTTTAATCATCTCTTGCTTTATAAATGCATCATGACTAATGAAATACGATTACCAGCTAGTTCATTTGGTGTAATGTGCATCTGTTACGAAGTAACATCCTTTTACTACTCCTTTATTTCTAACTATATAGGTTGTCATCTTTAATTTTTTACACATAATAATGACGTTATTAATTGATATAATATGTCACTATATTTTATTTTAATTATAGATTTCTTATCAGGATGATTTAATTAGGGGTATTGTAGTAAAATATGAGACTTAAATGTTTTGACTAAACAATTATTTTGGAGATGAACAAAAACAACAAACCAAACAATCTCTTCAAGACGAAAGGAGTAATAAATATAAAAAATTGTACATATGATATAGTTATAAATTTATTAGCAATTTTATTGTAATATGTAGTATGCTAAAAACATTTCTTGAATATATATATCAATTTTCATATCAATTAAAACTGAACTCACAATTTCATGAGTAAAAAACTCATTTTATTCATTAAAATCAAATCAAAACAATACAGGTCTTTTTCATAATTTAATTTATAACATTATTATTAATCTTGAATAAATCATAAATTAGTCCCTCTTGTTTCAAAAATTAATTTCTTAGTTCTTAGATTAATTTTTTTTTGTAACTTAATCCTTTTAGATTTTTTTTTCAATTTATTGTATTTTTTGTTTTAAGAAAAAAAATATGAGTAAAAAAACATGTAAGGATCGATGAAAAACATGACATTTTTGAAAAAATAGTTTCATATTACATTATATATTTTTTTTACATTTTATTACTTTAGCATAATTTTGGCTTATAAGGGTATGTTAGATAGTTTAAATGAGGGTAAATTTTAATTTTTTTCTCCGGAGGTTTAAGGGTTTTCTCAATTTCTTCATCAAACTTTGATTCACATCAATTACTCTCCTGAAATTTCATCACAATTCTTAGGTTAATTGTTTTTTTTTTTTGGCTTAGTTTTGAATGCTACTGAATTAATTATTATTACTATTTTTTGCTAAAATATGAAATTTCAATATTAGATAGGTTGTCAATGACTTGTAAATCAATCAAGTGACATTAATATTTTATTTTTTCATAAAGTTCAATCTCTTCTTTGAAAAAAATAAAAAACATAAGATAGGATGAACTCATGCAAATTTCAATCCTAAAAAAATAATTATTCGAGATGTTAAAAAATTAAGATAAAAATCATTTTTGTTACTTCAACTTACATCAACTTTTAAGTTGAGATTAGTTACCCAAATCTGACGGGGAAAAAAAATTGTATTTTTACCCTAATTCTTGTCTTGAAACATAAATAAATCATCAGTTGAACATTTGTACACCTTTCGCAAATTACGATGAGGCAATGCTACCTGCAAGTCCACAAATTTGCGCCCCTGAAATGTGTGGTACCAACCAGAACAGGTTAAAATGCTCCGTTCGAATTCCCACGTCATAGAATTGCAAATTACAAAAAAATCTAAAACAGATGTAGATTTACTGTTTTTAAATTGTTTTTCTACACCTATTTGTATCGCGGACTAGCACTGTTGATTGTTTCTGTCTCTCTAATTTGTTTATGTTGTTGCTGTGTTAGCTTTGTCCTCCTTAATTATGCCCTTGAGTTGTTTGTTTAATTATTTCTTTGCCATTTTATTTTATTGGCATGTTATATTTATGCCCTCCTTTGCTTTGTTTTTTTCACTTATTTTGCTGCCATTTTCGTCATCTTCCTTATTGTTCTCACCAGCATTAAATGCTCTATGGTAATTCTGCTGTCCCGTTCTTTGTTCTCCTTTATTTTTTTTTTTTTATTTCAATGCCTCCACACCTAAAACCTCATGAATGCCTTCAAAAATTTGATGTCCCACCAGTTCATTTGTAATTGGAATTGCTATTTCCATTTGTTCCTCCAACTGAGGGTCCTTCTTCTTAGGCATTTTTTGCATTCTTTTTACTTTAGTATTGATTGTTGTAAATTTAATTGAATTTTTGTGTTATAACTTATATATTACTCTTATCATTTTTTTTTTGAATTTATCATTTTTTATAAAATTCTCATCTAATTAATTTTTTTTATGTAAGATTTTATTTACCGATAAATATAATTTATTTTCGTCTATGTTTGAATCTTATAATAAAATTTTAAAACATGATTGTTTTTTTTTAAAATAAATTGGTATAATATATATCATGGATTCTTAGAATTTTTAAATGATAGTTGCGCATATATAAATATATAATTATTTTATTCTTAAAGGTTAAAAGCGTATTTCAAATAATTTATCTTAGTTCACCGGTATGATCAAAACATATAAAAAACTATAGAATCATTGATTTTATTAAAAATTAATTGTACATCTTCCAACACAATACAAATTATTTACTACGAATATTTTTTTTAACATTATAAAACCAATGTATTTGAAATAAAATAATTAAAATTGTTTTTTAAAGGAATTAACAAATTATTCAAATATAGTTTTTTATGCTAATTTTTTGATCATTTTGTAAATAAATATATATAGATCTAATGCATATATTTGAAAAAAAAAATCTTCTCACTAACATTAAATAAGAATAAAGTTTCATTTTTTCATTGGTTAATTTTTTTACAAGTCTATACGTTAATTGTAACTTTATTTTTTGGATACGTGCTTATAAAAAAAATACAATTTTAAAGTAGTTGCTTTTGAATTCTTAATTAATATTTAAGATTTAAATTATTACAAGTTTTTATTTAAGAATCCTTAAATAAAGAAGAATAAATCATTTTTTAAGCAAAAATTTTATGAAAAAAAAAGTAATAATTACATAAAAAATAATAAATTTTGTTCTATCTCCTCGTAGCGTTACGTGAATAATTTCAAAAATTAATATTCTCAATAGCATTAAATAAGATTTTTTTTTCATTTGTTAATTTTTGTAAAAGTTTGTCTATTAATTATGAATTTATTTTTTTGAAATACAATATTATGAAAATTATATTTTTAATTATTGATTAATATTTTAGTTAAAATTATTGTATATTTTTTTATTTTAAAATCAATCCATAAAGAAGAATGATTTATGTTTTGTTTGTAAGCAGAAAATTTATAAAAAACATTACAAAAATTAATTAAATACAAAATTATAATTTAAAAAATTTAAAAATTTAAAATAATTTTTTTTTCTATCGGACTCGTAATGTCGTGCGGACAAACGACTAGTTGCTTTCTATATTTACCCGATAATTTTCATTTTTGGTAAGTTTTTTGATTGTTTGGAGTTAAAAAATCAATCACGAGCTTTTCACGTGCAACTGCAATATTATTTTGTATAAAAAACTAACTGAAAGATTAAATTTTATATCATTTAAAGTTTAGAAATATCCAATCTCAAATTAAAAGTTTAAAGACCGAATCCGAAATGATTTACAATTGAAAGTGTATGGGTACCATTTACCCCAGAAAATTATTCAAGTTGCTAAATTTTTATCGTGGAAAGTGCCCATCGCTTAGCATGGCCCAACAGCTATACACACACTGTAACCATCAGAAGGCCACGGTTCGGTCACCCCGACCCAAATCATTCCGAGTACAAGCCTGCTCCTTGAACAAAGGCCAAAGAATTCTTGGAAACAGAACCCAAAAGTCTTACACTGAAGCCCAGCTCCTTAAACAACAACGTGGTCGAGACTGGTTTCAACTTCCAAGTTGCTGTTTGTTTGACCTTATTCTGTCATGCCATTGACTTGTGGTTTTGCTTGAGGAGAAAGTAAGCAAAATGTATTGGATTATTTTTTGGATCTTCCGAAGTATGAAGGTGTAAAACTCTAGAATAATACCTTCTGTTTTATTTTATATATATATATATATATATAAACTACTCAAAGAATTTTTTTATATAAAATTTGAATTCAAAATCATTTGTTTAGACGAAAACTAAAATGTTTTTTATTCAAACTAACTTTTTTAAATAAAATGCATTGGCTTATTTGACCAGCAGGGAGGAAAAAAAAAAGAAGAAGATTCAATTCAAGATTTTTGTTCACTACTCATAATTTTTGAATGGTCTCCTTACAAGGAACCCGGAAATTTTAATTGCAGACAATTCAAACGTTGACTTGTCGCATGTCTTTTATACTGATTTTTCAATGCTAATTGTTCGTGGAAAATGAATCCACATTTCATTTGGAACCGGTACAGGTGCAGAAGGATGCTTATCCTCTCGATTCAAAACTTGCCACTGCTATATTATCCCATCCAAAAACATGGTCATTCTTTTTTCGTTTTCCTGTTTCCGGTTGATCCGATTGCCCTGAAATCCAATGCATCCATGATTATTAGCTTAATTGAAAACAAAAGGTCTAAGCTCCTCAGTTCCGTGGGAGTGCCCTTCTCATGCATCCTCGCTTTTTTTTTTCCTTTTTTGGAACAATTGTCATGCATCTTCGTTGATTGTGTAATTTATTGACATCTGAATCTAAGGTTCAAACTTCAAAGTCCCTATCATTTTGGTTACAATCCGTAGTTTCAATCTCTCCATCAATGTCAAAATAAAATTCTCTAGCTCACGTGATCCAAATTTGTCAAAATGACTTGTTGCTCTCATATCTCCAAGTTCACACTTAAGAACCAAAATGGACGAAAGTCATGGGATAGCAACTTGACATTTTGCATGCATGAACCTGGTGGCCATTCCAAGGTAACTGGAGACCTTGACCCTTGTTTTTTTTTTTTTTTTTTTTTGTCATTTTCACTCAAACAACAGACTTCAATATCTACTAGAAACTTGTTGATGCTTTTTCTTCTTCTTTTTTTTTTTTTTTTTGGCATATAATATGTTTTCTCATCATATGTTGGAGGTGGAATTTTTGTATTTCTGCAAGTATCCTTGAGCGCTTAGCCATTAGACCAAATGCTTAATTTGTTCTAAATGTCTTTTAGGGCCCTAAAGATTTTTTTTTCCTTACATTCTTTTCGACACTTCCATCACTGTAGTCATATCTAACCTTGACATGCAATTTGGTTGAAAACCATAAGCTTTGGAATTGTGTTAAGCTGCTTCTTCAATTGTTACAGGAAATGCATAAAATATATAGCAAGTCTTCTTCAGGAGTGTGGGAGCCAGGAACTGGTTCGATTACCACTATCAAATTCTTTGAAGTGATTTGTTTTCTAAAAAAATCACGTTGCCACTACTGAGACTTTTAAAAGCTGACAATTTTTTAAATCCAAATATTGGCTTGCCCTTGAATCTATCCATGTCAAATCATGACTATAAAATCATACAAAATTGAACAACACTGAAAAAAACAGCTGTCTAACATCAGAATTTCCACTTCTGTAATTGAATTTAGAGAAGTGTTATAGTCTATCTTATATAATATATAGTAGGAGAAATATTTAGTATATTCTAAAATGAATCAATTATGTTTATATATATATATGTTAAGTTTTTTAATTTATCATCTTGAAAATATTGTTTTTGATAATACCATAAAAAATATCACATTATTTGTATATATCAATACTTATTTTCAAAATACCCATCAATGACTAACCTATTGCTACCCTTTCTCACACTTTAGGCAGAATCTGATCGAAGAAAAACATCAAACGTATATATTTTTTTCTTTTTTCCTTTTCTCTTTTTCTTCCCCTTCATCTCTTCTTCCTCTATATATTTTCCTTCTTCAAAAATCTAGTCAAAATCACCCCAAAACAATCGACCCTACTATTTTCTGACCACCTCAAAATTCGATTTTTCCAATTAAAATCTCTATATGTCACTTAACATTAAGCCCTATCCCGTCGATCTACAACCTTGGACCTTAAAACTGATATTTTCGATCTTCTCTTCACCTTTTTTTCCATCAAAATCAAATCCTAATCAGCTGGCTACCACCAAAATTGCCACTTTCCTCCACCCTTTCATTTTTTCGACCATTCATTACCTAAAATGCCCTTCAATTATCAAAACATAAGTCTAACACCATAACTCGGCCACTTTTCCCCCAAAAAATTACTGGAAAACCTAAAATACTCATCTTCAATGTGATTTGCACACACTGTTTATTTTAGGGGTATTCAAAAAAAAAAAAAACATTATCATGTTCAAAGCTACCTGACATTTTCCAAAAGTTTTGTTAGAAAAAATCACCAAATAAATATATGACAAACTCATTTAAAATATACGAATATAATTGATTTATTTTAAATATAAAAATAGATTAAATACTAGTTCCATTATATAAGGATATAATTTACCTTTTCTCCTTGAATTTAAGTATTTATTTGTGCTGAGTTTTTAAATCCTATACATACACACGGTGTGTGAATCCTTTCGACCGAACCGAGTTAGGTCATGCCCCCTCAACTCTACATATATACCCCACCAGTCTCTCACCCCCAAGTAAACCCCTCTCTGTCTTCATCTTCTTCTATTTTCCAGTGACTTTGCAAAAAAAAAAAAAAAACCTCTCTTTACTTTCCGTTCTCTCTGTCAGGCCTAAGTTTTGTCTCTCCTCTGTTTGAAAACAGAGTTTGTGTTCTGTTTCTATTACCTCTTGACAGTTCAAAACAATGGCAGATAAGTATCAGGAGGCACCAAAAAGGCCAGATTTTGTACGAATTCCTCCACAAAGGGGTCAAATTAAAGCTAAGATATTGAAGGGGTTGGTACAGAAAGTAAAGAATGTTGTTTCAGTGGCTGGTTTGGCAAGGAGGGGTGGTGTCAATGGAAGCTCAGCTTCTACAAGCACATATACTTCAGAGGGCCATTCAGATTCTTGACTTTGAATGACCGGGGAAACCAATTCTTCTCCTCTGCTCCATTTCCTTACTCACTAGATTAAGGTTTGTTAACCTATGTTCATTGTTTTTTTTTCCCTCCTTTTCAATAAATTGACTTCGAAGCATACGAGTAAGAATATCCTCTTTCTTCATTTTAGCCGGTTGGAAGGAGGATTGGAGATGGACTTGGTTGATTAAGAATATTATTGTAAGTAGATATGGGTTATATGGTGATTGTGAATTTTTGAAATTCTGGGCTCATTAGCTGGATTCCCAGTTTTTTTATATTTCATCTATAATATAAATTTATCAAACTTGATTTTCTTTTTTGATGCCAAGTTTTACAGGATGGTTATAATGTTTTTGGAGCTAGAATGGATGTGAGTCTGTGTTGTTTCCGGAATAAAATTTCATTTATTTTACCGCGAATTTGTTAACATCACTAAAATTTTCAGTTTCTTGTTTTGCTTTCCTTTTCTGCTTTGCGGATTTGCAAAACCGTTTTCAGTTAACTATAGACAGAAGAGACATGGTGGCGGAATCTTTGAAGAATAATCGTGTCCTATTTCTTTATAAACCACAAGCCAACTGCATATATCCATCAGCTTTTAATGTGAGTGTTTTTTATATGATTGAGATATAAAGCTTATAGGGTTTTCTCGGTGATTCATATAGAAGCTTATGATACAAGAAAGGGGTGGGGTGGTGAGCTTGAGAATGATTCTTTTCTTTATTTGAGAAAATGATTCTAATATTCTTGAACAAGGGCTCTCCATAGAAAATACCATTTGGAGATCCTATCTATTCTTTCTCCCTCATCAGCAATTACAATACTTTTGACCTTTTAATTTGCTTGCCAACCTTGTAATTGCCACAACAGTGCGTGGTTTCTGTCAAAATGAGAGTAGCAAATACAGAAAGAGAAGACAAAATAGATCCTTCTAAAAACCCACTAACAGTGTGAACTCATCATAAAATACAAATAACAGGGAGTTGTTAATTATTATATTGCATGTAAATTAAAGCTTGATTCTGAACAAAGTATGTTTTAAGTATACACATGTGGTGTACTTCAGCAGACAATGAATCCCATAGGATTTTGTGTTTTGAGTACGAGTTATGACTAACTTTCGTAATTGATTTTGAATGTACCAAACTCAAAAGGCAGGTGCAGCCACAATTATATAAAAAGGCTGAGCATGCATTTATTTGGATTTTGCTTTGGGTGCAAGCAAGCATATGAGCTTTCCTTTTTCATAGAGTGTCAAGAGTTTGAATATGATAAGGAATTAAGAATGACCTTTTAAAAAGTTTCAGGTCCTAGCCAGTTTTGACGCCAGCTTGCAGTATTGCTAAAAATCTACTGACACGACACATGTACAAATATGTTAGGTTACTATGTTTGTATGTCTGCCACAGCATAGTAAGTGACTATTCTTTATCTTATTTAATAACCTGCACTTCGTTATTCTGTCAGTTCCTTTCATTATTTCCTTGACTTCGAAGATAATTCCAGAGAAACAGCTAACAGGCTCAGAAAATTTCCTGATGGATTGATTCCACGTCGTGTCTTCTTGGATGGTTTTGCCTAGTCAAATAGAACACAACCCCATCACAGGATGTCCTATTGCCTATATTTAACGATGTTACTATGCTTTCCCACTGCTTCAAATTTTGTGATTTTGGCTTTATATGCTCAACTACCAAGATATTGACCCCACCCTGTGGGACCATACCATCCCTTGCCTTGTATTTCTTTTTCTTTTTCTTCAGTGACTTTCAAAGCTGCTTTCTGGCCCACCTTTTTCCCTTGGAAACAGAGTCCTCTTCTTCTTTGTTTGTTTGTTTTTTTTTTTTTTTCCAAATCAGAAGCATGGACATTAACAATGGCACTCAAAAGAAAAAAGGAAATGCTACCATTCCACCGGGACGGGGTCAAATCAAAGCCCAAATATATGAAGATTTGAAGACATTTGTAACAGGAGGTTTAGGAAAGAAAAGCGAGAACGATGGTGACAAAAGCGTAACCTCCTTGCCAGCAAATGGCTCCTGCTCCCAGTAGCCAACGCCACGTTAATTAGAGAGAAGGTAAAAAATAAAAAAAGGGGGAAGGGGTGAGGTTTTTAGTAGATTGTGTTGTTGTTAAAACTTGTTTGGCAAGTTGTTACGCAAGTATTCTTCTTTCTTTGCCATTTCTTGCACTTATTTTATATGTGTAATGCATATATGCAGATTCCCCTGTTTCTTTCTCTGAACTTTTAGTTCTCAGTTGCTTGTTAACATCATGTCTAATGTGTGTAAATTCCATTATCTTCCTCTTTGTTTTGCTACGTTGTATATTCTTTGTTCTTGAACATTTTGGACATTAGAAAAACGTAGGATTCACTGCCTTGAGATCAATGATCATAAAGGAGTACTTTACATCACAACGCTTGTGAGAAAGAGAACGTTTTAATCAAATCTGGTCATAAAGCAAATAGTGTTGTAATTTCATTTTTTTTAGTACTTTGAATTAACTAATTAACATGTAATTACTGACAACCCAGCAATTTTGACAGAAAATATGGAATGGAAATGCTAGTGAAATATATTGCCAAAAGATGTTATATTGTCAAAGCAGTTGACATTATGACATCTTTGATTATTGACTAAGATGGTTCAGAGGAATGACTAAAACGCGTGTGGTCAAAACCATAAGGTTAAGATTTATGCACATTGCAATTTTCCAGTGGAAAGACATAGAAGAAGTGGCACTTTTAATAGTTATTTAAAAGTTCTATTTAAGATTAGAAAACATTAGAAAAACTAATCAAACAAGAAAATTGAGTAAAAAGATAAAAAAAATTACACAATAAATTTTTTTAGATATTTTGATAATTGTGTTTGCTTTATGACACATTAGAAGTTTTTGTTAGTATTTTCAATAGACTATTATAAATACGATAAATATTATCTTTATTTATACCATAGATATTTAGATTTATTTTAAAAAAAACCTATACAATTAGTGAGACCATTGTATTGATTTTACATAATATATTAAACTGCAAATTACATTTACATTAATTTTTACAACTTAATAAAAAACTATTGCGATGAATGTGCATAAATAATGGAGCATCTTCTTTACAAAGAAATGGTAAAGCAACCTTCAAAATGTCGTTTTCACCGAGTATTTTGGGACTCTAATGTACAAGAACACTTTACTATCTAATAATCTTTGTCTTCTTTCCTTTGTACCTTACTTTGAAGCCAAAACGATGAGGATTAATGCTCTCCACTGGCCTTCTCTCTACTACAAAAAATCTATCTTCCTGTGAAACGTGGAATACATCCACTTGAAATACCATACAATTTCTTGTGCAGATCTCAATATTTATTGAGAAGAATCAACGTTCAAAGGGGGATTTGAGCTCGACCAATCTTCTGTGGCTGTAAGGTGATGTAGCAACATATAGCAAAAAAAAAAAAAAGAGGGGGTGGTGGTGGTTTCAAATATCCTGAATAGTCACATAAACTTGGCTAAAATGATCATTGAAATGCTTTAACGCTTCCTAAACCAATCCAAAAATATTGTTCCATTTTCACTTCGTGGGTTCTATGTGAATGGAATTCGATGAAGTAATCTGATAAAGTTCTAGGCAAACAACGCTTTTCTTTTTCTGACAACAGGACTGTCTTGCATCTTCCACTTCATGTCAGCAGCACGAACCATGTCTCTAATTAACCACATTGCCCAAGACAAAATACAAAACAGGAGGCCTCAAACGGTCAAACCTTTTATATACCTACAATGACATTAGCAATTAGGATAATCTCTCTCTAGCTGTTTTGCTTCGAAATGGAGAAATATCCAAGTTTCCACCGATTATTGTTGGGCTAAATAAAGTCTAGGCTCATTGAATATCGGTCACGAAAGTATCCATTTCTTACTTCTGGTGTTTCTATCACCAAACTTCTGATTTGTGGCTTATGTTGATCACCATCATAATCCCTTTCATGTAATAAAAATAAAAATAAAAAACACGTATCATTCGGTACAATGTATGTGAACTTGAAAAGAATTTCCTCGTGTTTTGAAATCCAATTGATTCAAAATGCAAGATTCCATTTTTCTTCTCTGGCTGGTAACATGCAGACTTTCACTTTCATTGTGTTGCAAACTTTATTAACACTCACTAGCATTAATTTAGCCAGCATGCACATCCAATAATCAAGGTCAATTTTTTGACTTGGCTCTAGCCTAGCTAGCAACTGACTTGAAGTTGAGGAGGCCCTACATGTCAAAATCAAATCATCAAATCTTTTTTTATTCTTAGTTTATGCTAATGTAAAGTGCTAATCCTTTGAATGTTGCCTTAAAGCTTAAGTTAAGCTTTGACCTTCGAATTTTTCTTTTAATTAGTTGTGTCATTTAATTTGGTTCTATCTGTCTGTCAACTAATGAACACCTGAAAATCCCTATAATTTCTTCTATAATTTCAAAAAATTTCCACTAATCAGTTACGTGCTAACAGAACATTATTTATTCATTAATAAGCAGCAACCCCACATCATTGAAGAATCAACGTTCAAAGTTGGAATTTGAGCCTGACCAATCTTCTATGGCTAGAAGGTGATGTGTGTGCACTCTGGAAAATAAAATATGATATGATCCTTTGGGGGAGGGGACCATGTAGCTGCTTTGTTCATGTGAAAAAAAAATTCTTCAAATCCCAAAAGCACGCTTGCAGATTCCTGATAAGACCTATTATAATCGAAATCGATTTGTGGGTCTGTTAAAATTAATGCTTTTGCACTTTCTGATCTAATCCATTCCAGTCGAACCCACCGCTATTTTTCTGTGCGTGGGTTCTATGTGAATTGAGCTCCATGAAGGAATCTGATACAGTTGTAGCCAAACAACAAATTTTTTCTGACTTCATGTCTTTGCATCACCCACCTCATGTCAGCACAAGTCATTTCTTTAAAAACCCTAACCCATCTGCTCTGGCTTGTAGTGCGCCTCCATTGTTGTTTATTATTTTATTAATTTACGTACCCACTTCCCATTAATTTTTAGAATCCCAATCAGAACAACATTCTTTTATCTCCTAAAATATTAACTAACATTAACAAATACACTTGTCTTTTACGAGAAATTTTGGAACAATGCCTTAGCCATGATACAGATTCTAACAAAAAATTCAGGCTATTGGCTATTTAGTCACCCACTTATCTCTCAGTTCTTGCCCTTTTGCTTTTGTATTGATATCTCTAGCCTCTTTACCGTACCTGTATGATCCAATACAATGCATGTGGACCTGCAAAGAACTTCTCCATGCTTTGAATCTTGATTTTCAAATGACAGCATTTTTACTTTTTATTGAAATTACCCCAGCAGCATTATGATTTAGAGATTTATAATTATCCTAAGACTCGTCATTTTTAAACGTGATTGTTAAGGTATTCATCTTAAATTCTAGAACGAAAGGAATCAATTATCCATGTGAATTGTTTTGACAAACCTCTTAGTAGAGGCCAGCCAAGCAATTGGATTTGATGTTGAAGAGGGCCTACGTGTCTCCTGTCTTGTCATTCCCGTCTACATTAATAGATGGCAAGTTGCCCGTGGTAGAGTGCCAATCCTTGAATACTGTCTTAAATCTTGAGTCAACCTTTAATTTTTTTTTTCTTTTAATTAGATCCTTTCCTACGGCTTATTACACAATCGATAAATTACGGATGAAAAAAGGCATGGGGTGCCCTGAAAATCTGCCAGAGGCATAAGTCGCAACATTAGGGGAGAAGAAAAAAACCAAAGTCATGTAAAATAAGTAAAATTTTCAGACGTTTTTTCAGGTCAAAGAGTAAATCGGCAATAAGAGAATAAAAGAATCGAAAGTAGAAAATTGAACATATTGGATACGTCAATGACTACTGATCAACAGTGATCATCAATTTATTATCATCGATGTCGAGTTGTAATGGATGTCACCAACGCAGGTGTATTCTGTAAAAATCTATTCGCCATACGAGACCATGCCACTCATTGAACATGGGATTGTTTGTGCCAGTCCTGAGAAGGATCTTATAGCTCAGAGCTACTGCATAGCGACTTAGAAAGTTATCAAGCACAACTTAACCTGCCTCCATATTTAGGGTACTCCGATTTTCTTTATTTTTTTGATAATGAATTCCATCACAGAAGAGGAGCGCATGCATGAATGGAGGCAATTCGATTGGTCTTATTAGATCTCTGAGGTATTGATGGGGGAAAAATCCACAATCAATCAATATGGATAAAAAACTGACACAAGTGAACATAACAGGAAAAAGCCCCAACTTAAAATGTGGATCATTTCCATTGACATTGGTAGATTTGATGCTCGCACATTAGTCTCTCTAAAATCTCAATAGCAATTTGACTTTTCCCATCAACTCTCTCTCTCTCTCTCTTTCTCATGATGAAGCCTTAATACCTGGCTCGTGGATTTGAATAGATGTTTTTGACAAGCTTGCTTCAAGCTCATTTAGCTCATCCATATCCAGCTCGTCATCATCTTCATCCTCATCAGGTTGGGCCGCTTCTGTATCAGCAACTGCCCTTGCTGACATACTTGGTCCTGCTGCTGAATTGACCTTGGCCTTGAATTAGACACAGGAAAACCATAGACCATCAGACATCAACCTGAATTAAAAAAGCTCAAGATACATGCACTTAATCTGTTTCAGTTTTTTGCATTTTGGGTTTGTACACTGGAAATCTCACAAATGTTTGAGCACTTCCAGAAGCCTATGAAAGCAATTATGGAAAGGGCATACTAATCAATATTTGACCATTTCTTAAACATACACAGCTCACATGCCATGACGATAGGTCCTCACTTCACATTGACATAAGCAGTCAGGTCAATGCGCCAAATAAACTGGACACAACACACAAGTTCCACTCTCAGCGAGTAAAAATGCGTTCAGGGGAGGAAGGAGACACGGAAGAGCATGCCTTGAACTAACTATTCTACGCAAATTGATCCAAAAGTTGATGAAACCAGGACATCGTAAATTTTATTGTTCAAACTACAAGTGGCATTAACAGAAGTGAAACACGACTCTCAAGCAGGGACTTGCAGTTGCAGCCAGCAATGCTTTATGGCAGGAGAATTTGAAGGCAACAATAAGTGCATGTGATTATGCTCAGAAGAAAGGGAGTGTAGGTATTTCAAAGACCCAAGGAAAAAGGAAGATCCGGGACCTCATATACCCTAGCCCCTCCACAACCAAAACAATAAATAAATAAATAAAACAGAGAAAAAGGATTCAAGAGAGGCAAATGAAAAAGGACACACTTATTGTTCACAAAGTTTCAAGTCAATGAAATAAGAGGAAACAGAAACAAAGAAGACGTTTAAAAAGTGGGCGCAAGATTATCAAGTGTTGAAACAATGATTTACAATGCAAGAGACAAGATATAATACAGAAGAGTTTGAGATTCTGACAGTATTCTTTAGGCATGCCATAAGATGTCCGAATGGAAAAGCAAACCCTTCCCCCACCCCCCAATCAAGAGAAATGGAGTAGGAAGAAAGAATGCTTTGAAGTAGGATTCACTGACCAGCTTTATCATAAAGTCCCACAAATTATAGAAACCATAACAATAACTAAATAATAATAATAATAAAATTAAAAAAAGTGGCAGGATTACCTTCTCTTCAGTAACCTCAGGTTCTTCTTCCCTCTGGTAATCTTCATATGCCTCAGCATCATCCACAAATACACTTGAATCGGAGAGAAAAAGCTCCCGACCACTGATGTGAATTGTAAGTCATATCAATCAGACATATACGGCAAAATTTATCAGACTGTAAGATAGAAGAAGAATAGAAGACAATACCTCATCCTATCATTCTTAGCCCTTTCTGCTCGTTTTGCAGCCAAGCCAGCCTCTCTTTCTTCCACCTTTTTCTTCTTCCATTGCATAAACAGATCGGGACTCATTTGAGTTGAGGCTGTTAATTTCGCACGCTTCACAAATACCATGTGAACAACAGTAAAAACTCTGTGAAAAAACACCAATAACCTGCCCAAATGAACTTAAATCACAGGAATAAGATGGGACAAAATGCAAAAGCTGACGAAAACCCATATGATCATCACCTGATTTTCAATCTCTTCTTCAATAGGAATTTTGTTGGCTTCTTCTTCAAGAAGCGCCTTCATTTGAGATTTTAAAATATATCCTGGAGGAAGAGCATGTCTGTAGTGGCAGTCTTTACCCCCATTTGGGCAAGCCCAAAACCAGCCATATTGTTTCTTCTCCACTGCTTCCAGAAAGTATTTGCAAACCTGTGAAATGATATATAGAAATGAAAAATAGATGCCACATTAAAAGCAATAGGGTGACAAATCTTGGGTGGAAGAAATCTGAGCTGACACCACACATTTGTCTCTTTTATGTATATGCGTGTTGATTTTTCCAATTTTCATTGGGCCAAAATTAATCCCTTGAGACATCTTAAGAGTATATCTGGTTCTTTCAATCCATTCAACACCCCACAACTAAAATATAAAACCTAAAGGCTGCAGTGCCCTCCTCCCGCACCCCCCTTCTCCAATCAGTATCTCCACCTCCATTAACACACTACCACTAGCGCCCCCACCCACCTTTCTCTCTCTCACACGCATGCACAGACCTCACTTAGTTGATGAGAAAGGGATCGCAATTCTCAGTGGAGCAGAACAAGAAAGAACATTTTTTATGCTTGTCAAGTTATAGAAGATGATATCTAAGCAAAACAGAGAGAGCGCAGAACGAGCCAAGATAACCATGTAGAGAAACAACCACTGAGCCTTCTCATCACTTACATGGAAGAGGAGAAAAGGATCAGCAACATAGATGATGCACATAAGAACAAGGCCCATGTTTGTATTAGAAAATGGAAGAAAATAATAATTTGATGGGCATGCCAACTTTACGGGGGAAAAAAAAAATCAAAGGTGAAAAATAATTCAAAGGCAAGAGACAGCATACAATATCAGTTGGTTTGTTCTGGTTATATTCCATCTTCTTTGACTCCACAACCTTTTCCAGCGTCTCTTGATCCCAATCCTCCATGGTTTCTTCATTTACAACATCAACACCATAAACAACAACAACAACAACAACAACAACAACAAATCAGTATCACATTTACATCGATAACACAATGAGATTGAGAAATTCAAGACCGCACTAACATTGATAAAATATAATACAGGTAATGACATTAACTTACCTTCATCACGCTTATCACTGTAAATATCAATCTTTTCACCCTTCCTCTGAACATTCAAATCATGTGAAAACTTACACTTGAAACCTTTAGCACACTGCCCTGCCTTGAAAAATTCACATAATATAGACTTGGGATCGACACCTATCCAAAAACCACAATCCCATTTAAATGCCTAATCAATCCATATCAAAACAAAAATGAACCACAGTTTTAAATCACGAATACATACCGACCGGCACTTTAGGTTGACTAACAGCAACTTTAAACAAATCATTCAGCTCCTTTTCTCTTGCTTTCTCTTCCTCTTTCTTTTTCTGCTCCTCATTGATTAAATTTAATCAAAATCTATTCATTGTTATTTTCCTAAACCTCAATCTAAGATAACCAAGTCCAAAACAAAAAATGAAACATATCCACTAAAAATGAAATCTAACTAATTTACTACACAGTGAAAATTCTAAAAAGTGCAATAAAATTGAACAGAATAAAAGAAAATAATGATAAAACGGACCTTCGCGGCGATTTTACTCGGGTCTAGTTTGGGCTGGACGGCTTGTTGGAGGTTTTGGACGTATTTTTGAACGTTTTTGCTCTTGTTCTTGTTTTTTAGACCAAAAGTTTTATCTTCGACGATCTTTTGCTTCTTTGCCGCATCGGATTTTGATTGCTGCTTTGGAGGCATTTTATATTTTTCCTCTAGCAATATCAATCAAAATCTAACAAAAAGGAGGGATCTGAAAGATATTTTTTTGAAATTTGTTGCTGTTTTGGATGGTGGGTAGGGTTTTAGGCGGATTTATGAGAATTACTTCTCTCTCCTTATTGAGTGAGTGATAACCAGCAAAAGAGGAGTCTGGTTTTTTCAGTCTCTTTGAAAAAGGGTAGTGAGAGGTGAAATGTCGAGTTTGTCCTTACCAAATAAAACGTTTGTTATTCATGTAATTTAATAGTTTTTTTCCCTTAAGAAAAAAAAAAAATCTTATTTTTGCTATATGCTATTGAGATTATCACGAATCTGGAATGCGTATTTTGTCAAAATTTTCGTAAGTTCTTGTTCTTCGTTTTTTTTTTCACCCTATTGAGTACTTGCGCACTTAAAGATCAATGAATCTCTGAATATTCTTTAAGAAAACTAGTTTCAGGGGAGAAAAAAAAACTTAATTTGCTATTTCTTAAAGAGTGCAGGAACTTACATAAATAAATTTTATAATTTAGATGTTAACAGATGTCATCCTTTACACATTTTGATATTTTTCTACGTACAATTGTATAGGGTATACATATGTAGTATGGACATGGAAAAGAAAATGAAAAATCGAAGGTGGAGAAATCTAAAAGGGTGAAATTAAAGGATTCCAAAGTTTAGGATATGAAAATCAAACCCTTGAAAGAAAATGGGTGTAAATCATATTTGGCAAAAACCCGACCCTGTTTTCAGTTTTCTTCTCAGCACTACTATTCTCTAAGTTTGTGCGAGTGCTTCAGCAAAACAGCGACGTTTTATAGCAGCAAGGCTCCTCCTTAAAAGAGAATTTTAATTCCTGAATCAGAAGAGAGGGAGAAGGAGAGGAAGAGGGATGAGATTCCAAAAAACGCTAGCGTTTGGATTTCGCCAAATAAAAAACAAAGCAGCGCCATTTCTGTTTCAATCTCAAGCTTCACGTTGCTTCTCCTCACAGCTTCAATCAGAGCAGCAACGATGGTTCGTCTAATGATTTTTTTTCTTTTGGACAATAACAACATGTCAATTAAGAGGTAGTAATTTGGAAGTTTGTGTGATTACGATTTACAGGTCCTCTTTTGGAATCGCATTTGATATTGATGGGGTTATTCTTCGTGGCCAAGATCCCATCGGCGGCTCTCCTCAAGCTTTGCGTAGATTATACGGAGATTCTGGTACTTTATACGTATTGCATGTTTATGAATACATGTATTTTATACGTATTGTGCTTATATGTTAGTTGCATCTGATTATGATTACTGCCTCTTACTTTGCAGGAAACCTCAACGTTCCATTTTTGTTCTTGACAAATGGTGAGTTATTTGAATAATTTCTTCCATATTGCATCCACTAGCTTAAAAGTAGTTTATTGTAGCTAATTGTAAAAAGAAGATGACTGTTATGATTCTAACGGAATGAATTTATGAAAAAATGTAGGCCTTGATAGCTCGCTGCCTGTATTTATGTGTATTTGAGCAATATTTAGATCCTCTTTTAAAATGTATTAGATTTTTTGCTTGCGCTAAGCTGTGGATTGGTTAAAATATATAAAATTATTTAGAAAAATTATGTTAGTTTAATCCTCTATTTTATGGTGTTAATATATGAAAATATATGAAATCAAAGGTGAAAAAAATATATTTATAATTTTTTAATCAAAAAAATTGTTGTTAACTATTTCTTATTTGTGTTTTTCATAATTTTTCCTTTAGAAAAAAGGATTTATCCTTGTTAATCTATGGATTATTAACTAAAAAGAAAATTAAATAAAATTTTTTTAAAAAGCTTTGGTATTTCATAAGATTGTGTCAAAAAACAAAAATAACAATTATTAAAAGCTTATGTAGAATTGAACAAATATTTTTTTATTTAATGTTGATGAGAATATAGATTTTTGAAAAAAAATGTGAATTTAATTTTTATATATTTATTTTAAAAAAATGAATAATATTAAAATAAATCAAAACTGTTAGTAAACATAATTTTAAATTAGTTGGATGAGAATTTAAAAAAACGACAAATTAAAGTAGTAAATTTGAAATAATAAAAATAATTAACAAAAAACACTAAAACAAAATGGGGCTAAATCACAATACAATTAAAGTTTGAACTTGAAAAAAAAATGTATAGAAAAATTGAGAACCATATAATTTTAAATTAATTTGATGAGAATTTAAAAAAAATGACAAATTAAAGTAAATTTTAAATAGTAAAAATAATTAACAAAAAAATTAAAACAAAATATGATCAAATCATAATACAATCAAAGTTTGAAAATGAAAAAAAAATTATAGAAAAATTGAGAACCAAAGTATTATGAAAATAACAAGAATAGTGAAAGGAATAATGATTTGTGAGTATGTGAATAGTGTTATGAATAGTAAAATATCATTTTGCTTTAGTTTTTTTATAGTTATGATAATTAGCAGAAATATGCTTGTTAGAGTGATTTCTATATCCGGTGTCTTAGTTCGCACAGTGGAGCAGTTAAATGACTCGTCACATATACTTATAATCTTCTATTTTATTAGGAGGTGGCGTACTGGAATCTAAGAGAGCTAATCAGTTAAGTGAACTGCTTGGAGTAAAGATTTTACCTTCTCAGGTATTGCTTTGAGATTTATTTATTTTTAATCTATCCGTGACCATTATTTGACCTTGTAACCTTTTGCATAGCTGTCTCTTTTTCCTGCAACAGGTTTTACAGGGTCATACACCTTTTAAAAATTTGTTGGACAGGTATATGTATATTTATTGATTTTGGTCCTATCTTATTTTATACATGTTTCTTCAATTTCAAAAAAAAGAGATACAACTTACCTGTTTTAAATTATTTTCTTTTGTTATGGACCTCCTGTTCTCTTCATCCTCGACCTGGTTATCACGATACTGTGTCAATATACTAAGCACATCAATGTTATTGCAGATGTAAAATAGCATCTGTTTTAGGAGGTTTTGGAGTGCAATGACTGGCTGCAACTATAGAGATCAATATAATCACCTTCCCACTTTAATACACAACTGAACCGAAGTGTGAATTAGGGGAATGCTGCTAGGTTAGACAAGTTAAAGTGAGTCGTCTCAAAGAAAAAGGTTTCATTGACATAGTAGATTTATTTGACTTCCAGATTTGTTATCTGTATTGCAACAACTTCTCATATCTGATGTGTCAACGAAATCCAACATCTTTCTAATTTTTTAAGGTGTTGTGGTCAACTGAGCTCTTTTTCCTTTTTTCTTTTCCCCCTCAGATATGAGGATCAACTCATTGTTGCAACTGGAAAAGGGGAACCTGATGCAGTTATGTTTGAGTATGGTTTCAAGTGAGGTCCCTGTAATGTCTCGATCGTTTTGTTATACCATAGATTTCAAGACTTGTTCACATTCCATATGGCCTGATTCATTCTTCATGGCAGAAATGTTGTCTCATTAGACGATTATGCATCTCTTTTTGAGAACATTGATCCTCTGGCTCAATACAAAAAGTGGCCAACTAAGAGGAGTCTCCCCATGAGTGCAGTGCCAAGATATGATATTTTTTCTGAAAGAGTTCAGGCAGTATGTGTTGTTAGTGATCCCGTAGATTGGGGCAGGGATATTCAGGTATTTCTCCTTTTCATGTAGTCATTTAATATGAGCCAGTCAGTGTATCTTTTGAACTCAATATATTAGTTCCCTTTAAATTTGATTGTTCCAAACTCTATCAAGTGTTGTCCATGTTTTTGATTACTTCCTTCTTTACCATCAGTTATCCATGTGTTGTTTATGGATATGATCTCAAATCTCAAGTCTGCAGTTCATAAATTAGATATTGAATTGTACTATTATTGAGTCGGAGATATTAAAATCATTGTGGCTGACCTGAGAAGAGGCTCCTTTATATCACAGAATATTCTTTACATGTTCAGAAATGAGAACTCATGTACGTAATGAATTGGAAGAAATCATCTCATGAAATGCTGCTCACATCTAAAAATCTTATTATTGTAATATGTTTCTGTTAATAGTAACAGGGTTTTGTTTTTTGTTAACCATTCCATGCATGGTTTACAACTCTGCTGTAAATTTTGAAAAGTATGGAAGTTAATTATGTTTATTTAATTGGTGTTATGTGATAAATTTTCCTCAATGGAGTATTTTTGTTTTCGGCTCAATGCATTTCATGTTATTGGATTAGCTGCTTAACCATATATACCTGACAAAGCTATGCACTGACTATTGAATGGCATTAGGTTCTCTGTGATATTTTAAGATGTGGAGGGCTTCCTGGACAGGAGAATGGGCATCAGCGTCAGCCTCGTCTATATTTTGCCTCTGACGATCTTGAGTACCAGGTTGTTAGTCCTGCTTATTAGATAGTTGCAGTTGGTTGTAACTTGTAGGTTCTTTCATATAGCGTTAAGTTAGATCGTTTCTCATATTTTAAATGGACTAGGCAAATACACAACTGTTGGATTCTCCAATGCACAATTCTTTCTTTAGAACTGACTGGAAATGAATCAAAGCTTTTAAGCAAGAAGTTTTGCTACCTTCATGCTGAAAGATCATTTGATCAGTATGTTCCATTTTGAAATACACATTGCACGAGATTGTGACATCTTCTCAAATACTCTCCTTATATTTCTTGGCTTTTTATGAAGTGTCTTATATAGCAGTTTCTTACAAGTTAAAATTGCTTCTGGACCTTGGCTCTGATGGTTTTTATGCTTAATTATGGAAACATAGGATTCTATAATTCCTAATCAGCTTGTTTTATATTACAGGCTGCATTTCTTTCTCGTCGACTTGGAATGGGTGCTTTCAGAATTGCTCTGGAAAATGTCTTCAACAGGTAAGTTTAGTGTCTTTGGCCATTTAAAATCAATTTTCATCATAGTTCATTTTGCAATAAATAGGAATTGCATTAATGGGTGATCATTCAGGTTTTCGGTTGGGTTTTGTTTTTTTTTTTTTTTTTTTCGATTAACTGAGTACACTAAAAAAAAAAAACCAAAGCCTAATCGAGCTTTCGGTTAAAACCGGTTTTTTCTTCTTCTTGATTTTTTTCTTCAACCAACCTTGAAAGCCACGACTTGGGCCCTATTTTTAAAATACAATACATAAACCAACATCCAAGCATCATCCATAATTAAAATTCAATCCATAAACCAACATTCATAATTAAAATACAATCCATAAACCAACATCCAAGCATCATCCATAATTAAAATTCAATCCATTAACCAATATTCATAATTAAAATACAATCCATAAACCAACATCCAAGCATCATCCATAATTAAAATTCAATCCATAAACCAACATCCGTAATTAAAATACAACCTATAAACCAACATTTAAACATCATCCATAATTAAAATACAATCTATAAATCAACACTTAAACATCATCCATAATTAAAATACAATCTATAAACCAACGCCCGTAATTAAACTACAATCCACACAATTCATAGAGAATCATCCATAGTTTCAAATTTAAAATACAATCCATTAAGCATCCTTAAACCATAATACAAATACAAACATTAACTTTCAACTTCCAAATCTTAGCATTCCCTTAAAAAAAAAAAACTCCCCATTAACTCAAAATATCTATTAAAATATTCAAGTTTGAAAAATTAAAATATCAACCAAATAAAAATTAAAAACTTACTCATGTCAACCAAATGGCCAAAACACTATTAATCCATCATATATCTATCATAGTTGGTTCCGGAGAAAGTGTTGCTATATCTAAAAAATAAATCAATACTTTAACATTATTAAATATTAAACATCTTAAATAAAAAAAATGACAAATGAAAAGATAGAGTTAATAAAATTACCCACTTCAATTTTATTAAGATCTTGCAAATCTTCTTCAACATTAATTGGTGTCAATGAATTTCGAAGCTAATCTTGAGCACATATAAGAGACTGCACAATGTTAGGAGTTAAAGAACTCTTAAAAGAGTCAAGAAATCTTCCTCCACTACTAAATGAAGATTCTGAAGCAACGATTGATATTGGAACCGCCAACACATCATAAGCCATTTGAGAAAGAATGGGAGATTAAGCACAATTGTTTTTCCACCACATCAAAATATTAAAATCTTTATCCTTTTTTTTTACGGTTTCATCAAGATACCTATCTAACTCCGATTTATTTTCTCCACCTTTAACATCAATCTTGTATTTTTTATATTTTAATTTCATCACATAAACCACACCCATTGGCCCTTTCTCAACCATTTCTTCATTTGCATCTTTTATTCTCCCACCACTTTGGTCGATATCGAGTCTTGTTGACCCGTAATATAAATAATCATCATTTCACCATTCAAATCACCATACAATTTGTTTTCATTTTCTCAAAACATATTCAACCGCACAAATCTCTTCAAAGAAAGCATTAGAAGTGACATACAAAGAAATCGAAACAAGCAAAGTAAGGTCATAAAAGGGTTTCAACCGGTCACCATCTTCCTACAAGCCATCCAATCATTGACAATAGGCGGTCCAAATACATCTTCACCATCATCTACATCTAGTTCACATCCATATAAAGGATCATATTGTCGATATCTCTTAAAGCTCTTTCAAATTTTTGAGCTGCATCTAACATCAAATATGTTGAATTCCACCTCGTTGTAAATCTAGATGTAACAAACTCTTAGAATCAATCTTTTCAATCTAAATGCATTCCTTAAATTTTTTCAACCTAGTCGGAGATTGTCTCACATACCTCACGATCGCTCAAACACGAAGGATCAAAGGATTAACATGTTTTAATCCATCAATAACAATAAGATTCAAAATATGTGCCACACACCTCATATGAAGGAATTCCCCATCTAAGCTATTATGACCCCGGTGTCTAATTGCCACATCATTCGAACTTGCATTGTCAACCGTAATAGTAAAAACTTTTTCAATCTCATGTGTCAATTAAGCATTTCTCAATGGCATTGCCTAAATCTATACCCTTATGACCGTCAACCGGACAAAAATTCAAGGTCTTTTTATGTAACTTTCAATCATTATCAAAGAAATGGACCGTTAAACACATATAATTGATTGTTTGAATAGATGATCATGCGTTCGTAGTAAAACAAACTCTTTGAGAATTCGTTTTCAAAAATTGCTTCAATATTAATGTCTCATTTAAAGAAAGTTGATAGCAATCTGAATTTTGAATTTAGGTCATGCAATGGATATAAACTTTTGAAATCCCAAACCCTCCACAAATTTAAATGGAAGTTCATCTACAATGATCATGTAAGTTAAAGCGTTTCTAATAGCATTTTGATTAAACTTCCGTATGCTTGAGTGCTTTCTCCTTGAGCATTTGAGTGAAGGTTTAATTGAGTTTGTGAAGTCTCAATAATATAGGGATGTTTTATACTTATAGTCATATGAGACATAAGTGATGTAGCGCCATTTTTTATAGGATGAGCGGCAAGTACCTCACACAATAATTGCATCGTCCTTTGATTTCTTTATTTGCATCTTCAAACTTGGTGAAATGATTCCACATAATTGATCTTGGCTTCATTGGTTTTCTCTTTATTCTCCTATCATCTTATGTGTTTGTTTGAGCTACACTTGGTGGTTAATTTCTTGAACTCACAATTTCTTATTTTTTCGGGTTGCAACATCTACACAAAGGATAAATCGTTAAAAGTTGAAGTTTTTAATATATAGAAATGAATAGCCAAAGCACAAAAAAGAGAGGAAAAGAATGATTAAAAAGTTCTAACAAGATGTATATGCTAGGCAATTAAAAAAAAAATCACATTTCAACTCAAAGTGATATATTTCCACCTAATTTTTTTTTATTCTTCTCTGTTTCTGTGTGTATATTTGTCTCTCTTTCTCTCTCATAAAATAAGAATTATTAATTACGTACCATAAGATTTATCGTTTTAATCTTTCTCTCATAAAATTTTTTGCTGCAAATTACCAAACAATCAAAAGAAACAAATAACAAGTGGGCCTAATTTTCGTTGAAAAACAACTGAGCCTAAAATACTCTGGACCAACTTTGTGGACATAATACCGTTGATATTCTCATCAACAAAATGGGCCTTATGATGTATCAATGATCCAAATGGTTTAACACGCAAGCGAGGCTAGACTTGACTCTTGAAGGCTATTTATAATATGGTCCAATTAGAAAATAGCTAAACTTTGTGCAGCATATTTAAGTGTCATTCGGGCTGAAAAAGAAGAAGAATCCGTGGTTGTGTTATTTGTGGATGGTAGAGCCATGTCATTTAATTTGTATGGTGGGACATTGATTAAACTTTGTGACAACAAAGCAAGACTATCTAAAGCTTTTAAATAATAGACTACTAACCACAAGTTGTTGCCTGTTGATGCAATGGCTATAGTTGTTTCGAAGTAGGAAACGTTAATAGCCCATAAACATCCCCTGTTTGAAACATCAAACTACTGCAGTTTGCCCAGCTTCTAAATGCTCACAACAAGATATCCTAAGAATTTAACACAGCATGAGATGCTGCGTCCCTCCAATGAACAAATTAACATTCAATTGTAAACTGGTTTGTTTCAAAAATCAGAAAGGAAAAATGTTTGCTTCAATATTAGTATATAAGGTAGAATTGCTATTGTTCTTTCGCACCTTTGTAATTCCATCACCTTCAAAGTCAAAATTGGGTGGACATATTAAACTGTCTATAAAGCTTCTTATTTCCAAATATACTTATGGAGCATTTTCATGCTTTTTCATTCATTTTTCTCTATTGTTACAGGGCATCATAGCCCCTTTTATACATTCAAAATACCACATCTTAAACTGTGCTTTATAATAAATAAATAAATACCATTCTAGTAAAAATATGCAGCTTAGAAGAAAAATTGCAATCAATGATCAACACTTGCAATTACAATTACGAAGCTTCAAAAAAATAAATTAATAGGCTAATTTATTATGATACAAACAAACGAATAAATTACTTGAAGCAATAAGCCATTAAAGAATGAGTGAACACTTGCGTTATCTTGTTTAAGTCTCAACAGTCAACACCATTCATTTGTGGGCCTGACAATTTCTGAAATGATATCATTTTAGCTTAACCATATAGTAATATATGTTTGTCAATCCCACAAATTCCTCCAATTACTATACTTCGTTTTAAAAAATTGCACAAATGGCAGTGGCAAATATTAGAGAACATAAAAAGATACCTAAAAAGAAAAAGAAATCTTACTGTGTCCGTGGTCATGGGAATTGCCAAACAAGACTGGCAACTAGGATGTGGCCTTTGGCTGTGGGTGGAGGAGAAGGAGGAGGAGGAAGGTTGTGGGAACTGAGCTAAGGCCTGAGGAGGATTGGAGTCTGGAGGAGGAGGATGGACGACTGGAGTCTGGAGCTAGCTTTTGTTTCTGGTGGGCTGGATTGGGTGGTGGGCAGGGGTTGGGCGGTTGTTGGTGACTGGGTGTGGCTGACTAGCTGTTAGCTGTGTGTGAGGAATGGTGAAACGGGACTATGGCAGGGTTTTTGGTGTTTTGGCTAGAGAAAATAATAGATATTAGGGATTGAGGGGCAACTAGTAACGGACTGGCTGTCAGCTAACTAGTAAGGGACTGTTTGGCGAGTGCAAAATTCGGTTTTCAGAAATCGAATTTTTTTTAAAAAAACGAACCGAACCGAAATAATTTTTGTTTTTGGTTTCAGTTTTTTTTTTTGTTTTTCAAATTTTTTGAACAAAACCAAACCGAAATTGCTAATTCGGTTCGGTTCGGTTTTATCCGAATAATGCTCACCCCTAAATCTGAGTGGTTCATTAACAGATGTCATTAACGAATATCTAGGGTTTTACATGTCTAAATTGATCTCAAATTAGGGCTACTATAAGCTTTGTGCTGTACTAGGTCATGATTTCAGAATGTTCTGTTGTTGTTTGCTCATTTTGTATTTCTTAGTTGAGTGACTATTTTGAGAAAGAGAAATCAGGTAGTTTTCGCAGAAAATTCAGAACTATAATAAATTTGGGGAGAATTATGAATACAAGGATAAGACATTTGAAGGTGTTGTTTGGATCAAAATAGTGAAGGAAGAAACACAATCCTAGCATTGACCATGTAAACATGTTTCTTTTCATGGTGCTCGCAATAGATAAAAGATAGAGCTAATACAATTTTTCGGTTTTTCTCTTTTACATCCTCGAACCCTTTTTGCCCTTGGAAACAATTTTGTTGGTTTCTTATCACCTAAAATTGCTTTCACACATTTTGCGGTTTCTGTAAGACAATAAAAATAAGAGATTTTGGATGAACAACTTGGAAATCATAACACGTGATACTTGATGAGGAGATGTATACTGTTGAAGCTGCTGAAACCCTTTGTAATTTAGAATATTCTCATCTCTTTTTTTTTTTTTTTTCCCCATAATGTCTGTTAATTGGTATTTGCTTGCAGTATTCACCATAATGCTCTGGAGTATGTTTCTTATGGGAAGCCATATCCATTTGTATTTAAGCATGCCGAAGCTATGTTGAGGCAGCTTCAGCCATCTTATCAGTGTGTTAATTTTAAGGAATCTGAAGATTCTGGTTTACAATCATTCAAAACCATTTATATGATTGGTGATAATCCTTCAGTTGACGTTAAAGGTGCACGACAGGTTTGTCCTACCTATTCCTTGTAGTTTTTACTGGCAGAGCACGTTTATGTGCAATTTTTCTTAGGCATTCCCATCCACATGTTGAGAATGAAAGAAAACTTGTTTCGATTCTCTTTCAGACAGGACCTCCTTGGTTTTCTATCCTGACAAGGACAGGTGTTTTTCGCGGAAAACAAAACCATGCAGAGTTTCCTGCAGATTTGGTAAGTAGATTGTTGAAACTTTCTGCATGCTGTAAATTAATATTCATAAACATGAGGAGATCACACATTTCCCCCTGATAGATTACCCAGCGGTTGAGGATGACCAATCTCAAGAATTGCATCTACATTTGTCTTTTTTTTTTTTTTTGAACTCGTGTACATTTGTCGTGCCTGACATGGTATTTTCTGTCAACTGTGTAGGTGGTTGATACCGTGGAAGAGGCAGTGGACTATATTCTTAGAAGGGAGTGTATTTCATAGGCGTCCTGTAACTTTAACGTGCTCCATTTTTCCTTCGAAATCAATCATTTCAGAACGTTTATTTTAGAAATTAAGAAATGAAAATTTTGCAGCTCTTTTTTATGAGAAAGTAAGTTTTAGGCTCGCAAGTATGCTGATTTCATTCCCGATGCATTAGCTTTCTACTTGGATGATCCGGAAATTCTTTTACCATTTCAATGTGAAACGATATCAATATTTGTTGCAAGAACCTTCTACTTCTAACCGGCACATTATATGCATGGTTGGCTTATGACAGACTTTGGCTTACAAAGTCTCGTTTTACGATTTTTATCTCGTTTATCTCATGATGTTTTTGTCATTTTCAAAATTTATTCCTTCAAAATTCAGATTAATTATAATAGCTGGATGACCATATTGTCCAGGCAGGGAGTCTATTTCCATGCACTTTGTGTAATGCCTTGTGATGGGTGATTGTCCCATCTTATTGGCTTGAAATGGCCGATTTGTAAAACCTCCGTGAAATTAGCTTTAATAGGCAAGCTTTCCGTTAAATTCCCGTAGCTTGAGCGTCAACTTTTTATAAACTATATGGGTAAGAAATGGTCCCAACTCCCAAGAACCCGAGGCATTTGAAACAGAACGCGGTTGGTTCGACAACCAAAGGGCCGATAATACCAATGAAATGGTCAGATGACTCTTGAAAGATACCATCTTCTGTTACGGCTCTCTAAGATCAGATTCCTTTTAAATCATCAAAAAAGCAAATATTATTCTCATCTAATAGTTTTGGATGAATTTATTATTGTTGCGAGAAAATTACAGAGATAAGACTGGCTGTGATGATTGATTGGGAATCAGATCTGGATGCCTGAATGCTCCATTTTTATCAGTTTTTCACTCCCAAGTATAGGAAAACTAGTTCTTTCCTGTTTTTATTTATTTATTTTGTTACTTCTTTTTAACTTTAAGTTTGGCTGAAAGCTTGATAAATTGCTTATAACATGATAGTGCAGGTTGCATGTGCTCTTTTTTTTTGGTTGGAATCGATGCTTTTGGAATCGATTTGCGAAGGCTCTTCAACAGGTAAGGTTTCTTGTGTCATTAATGATCACTGGCCAACGGTGCAATATTGAACTTTTATGGATTCATAGCTTTTAATTCTTGGTAACAAGTAGTGGTTAGTGATGTAAGTTAGCTTAGTTCCTCTCTCTGTTTTTCTTATAATTTTTTTTCCCTAATGTGACACCAATTGGTCATGTAAACTAAAGATGTATTCGCCTAGTGCATTTAAAGAAAATAAGAAAAAATAAGCTAAAAATATTCCAGTACACACTTGTGAGGCAATCTTATTTATCCATTATGATTGGGCTCGTCATGGGATGGATGGTCAAGATTGTCCCACGAGTGTGTTGACTGATTGTACTCTAACATTGTCACCTACATGGCTACATTGAAATTTAGCCATATTTCATACTTGTGAATCTAGAATTCTGCATTTGGTGAAATGCCGATATTGGTTAAGCCATTGGAATTGAATGAAATTGAAATTTTTATTATTTTATTCAAATCCAATGGTTTAACTGGCATGGACATTTAATCGATGCCAACGTTGCAGTAAACTCCTTTCATAAATAGCTATGAACGTATAAAAGTATCCTTGGTAATGATTATTAATGAGTGATATAACACCAATTTAACTAGTGGCTGTTAGCTAGTATATATCATCTTACGAGAAGAGAATATCGTATTCTAGATCAACCTGAGGAAGCATGTATAAAACTATTTGCCCCTAGGAAGAATCCTAGAATTCAATTTGTTTTCTGATTTGGAAAAGAGCGGATTTTCAAGAAAGAGAACCTTATGATATGTTGGGAATCTCTTATGATAATCATGTCTGAAGTGTATCCTAACGCCGGAAAGTTGGATAGGGTGGCCTTTAAATAAAGATTATATTGCTCCCATTTTTTATGAAATACAAGATGCTCATTGAATAATAAGAAACTAATCTTTAGTGTTACAATTCCGTGTATGGTTGGATTTTATCTAATGTGAGAGGTTTTTATTAAAATTGAATCATATTCCACACATATATGGTATGCCAATGATTTGGTGCTGCTTTGCTAGTTATATCAATCATTAGCTGATCAACTATGCACCACTTATTGTTAGTAATTACCGACTGTATAGTTAATTAATTTGTTATACCTATCATGATCTATCATCTTAGGTATGAATTAGATTTTAATGATTCCTCAATTATTAGCTTATTGGAAGCAACCTTTCATGTCTGAAAAAAGGGAGGGGAAGCTCCCACAGCATAAAATAGAGAATTGCTACCCTCAAATGTGTTTTTGTGGTAACATAATTGTGGGTAGCATCTTTCACATAAGATTTTCCTCTTTGTTCCAATATAGGCTGCAATGGTCTAATCCCAACATGCCGTTTCCCATCATGTTGATCTAGACTTATTGCTATCCTTCTCATTACTTGCCATGGTGTTTTAATTACTAAGGAGGTCTAGACTTCTCAACTGCCCAAAACTAGAAGTTCGGCCTTCGATAATTGGCTGATAAGATGATAGACTAAGTTATCTGAAGTGTAGCCAATACACCTTTTATTTAAAAATTATCAAATGGTTCGTTTTGAATTTTAGTTGATTCATAGATAATTAGTGATTAGTGATATGCGTTCAGCTCATCTTGTTTCTTTGTATAACATGATAGGTCGCATGAGCTAAAATCTACTCATACCATGTTATAGCAAAGAAATGCAAAAAATAGTTGTTCATGCACGCGTGAGGCAATCTTGTCTGTCCATCATGGAAAAAGCCATGTGGTGGACGGACAGGATCGCTTCACATGTGTATGACTAACTATTCTAATCATTTCTCACTGTGGTGTATATTGACGATTGATTTTATGCCACTTTACTGGTCAATAAGTTCTGCTGAGAAATAGTGCTTGAATTTTAGTTAATTCATCAGCCATAAGTTTCTAATTACTAGTGACTGTTCAGCTAGTATTGAATCAACCATCACTAAGCTGTAAATACATGTGGAATGTGGCTAGATTCAACTAACATGACCTATCATCTGAGGTGCTAATGTAAGAGGAGTCTAGTTGAACACCTTTCACTTTAGTACCTAATATTGAACCATATTAGTTGAAGTTTAGCCATTCTTTACATGTTTAGGACTTAAAGTGTCTTAATCCAGTATTTATCATATTAGGATTAGTGTGGTGACGCCAATTTATGGTTATCTATCATCAAACACTGTATATGCTAGGTTTTTAAGTAAAAAATCATGGCTACTTATTGCTACTTATTTACTTCTAGATAATATTTGGAGGACCATATTTAGTACTTGATTCATATAATGTTGGGATTTTTTAAATTGTTATTGTATGCACTGCAAGTCTTGGACGAGTGTCTAATACTTGAATTATATACGTTGCATGTTAAGGCCAAGTTGGGTCCTTGTGGTAATGTACTTAGGCTAACATCCCTTATACTTATTGCTACACATTTTTTGTTTCCTGCTACATTTTATTGAAAGGAGGTTTAGAGCTGCCAACCACCCAAAGCTGACGATGCATATTCTGAAATTGGTCACCTTCCATTTTTGGCTGGACCCATGCTTCCCCATGTATCTTTGGGACCAAGCTGATGATGTAGACTGATCTTCACCGTCCAACTTGGGGTTGCTTCAAGCCATGTTAGCCAGTACTTGAGAATGGTAAAGTAAAACTTCACTATCAATGATGCAGTGGTATCCAACTGCCCAAACACAGCTGAAAAACACTCGGGTTACTACAACTAGTGCATGTTTGAGTTTGCACCTGATGGTGCACGCTGGATTGAAATGTGCCACAGGAACCATTCTTGAATTGTCAGATTGAGTTGCTTAGGCATGTTCTCATCCATGAACTGGAAACCTTTCTAAAGGAACTGCACAAGATTTGGACAGGGAAACCAATTGCTTTGGCCATGCTTTTGTTGAGTTAAACGGAGTTTGAGGACTTAATGCTTGATCTGATTATTGTGATGATTGCAGGGAAGAGATTCTTTGGTGCAAGTGCCATGGCCTGTGGATGATGAGAAAGAAGAGGCAAAGATTCGGAAGACAATTAAGAGAATTCTTTCATCTTTGGGCCTTTCTGGGCATGCGAAACCATAAAAAGAACTTCTACAGAATTGAATGACATTGTTGAAGAATGGTAGGAGAAGCAAAGAATGAAGAGAGATGCTGGTTAGGTGACTACTACTAAACTGCTAGTGTTCCTGGATGTGATGCTTTTGGTCATTGGGGAGGATGCCATCTTCGGCTCACATTTATTTATTTATTGTGATATAGAGAAACAAACCATCTTAGGCTTGCGTTTATTTATTAATTGGGGAGGATACCATCTTCGGCTCACATTTTTTCGTGAGCCAGTCCTCTCCCTGGATACATCTTCAAGTTTAATTCCATCTCCGTCCTATTGAGGCAACTATTTTACTTGGATTTTGGGCGATACTAATACCGCCCAAAATAAGAAAGTGGAACTATGGAAGTGTGTAATCATTTTGGTCTTAATGCGTGAAAATGAATTGATAAAAAAATTAAGCATTCACCTAAGTGATTATTGGATAGAATTAAGAGGTTAACTTATTTAAGTTCATTTTCACAATCTTTCGTTTTTGTTCAAAGTAGTCTATACAACTTTTGATGTTGTTTCAATTTTCTTTCACTTTTTTTTTTTTAAGTGTGCAAATTTCAATTTCATTTTTGAACTTTATGAAATAACTCAATTTTATTCAAAAATATTTAAAAAAATTAATATAGGACAACAAAAATATATTTGCTCCTTTTAAGGTATATCCATCAATAAATAATATTATCAATAACACTATCCGAGATAATAACATTGTAAAACTTAAAATACTACTATCGGAAAACTTGTTTGAATTCACACATCACTCTTTTTGGTTCATGTACGCTTTTTCATCTAAATTACCATTTAATAATATCATTTTTACATCCCTTTCATGAAGCTCTAAATCAAAATGAGCTACTAATCTTGTTATGATTTATATATTTTTTATTATAATAAATACAATAAAAAAAAATGAGTGAGTGGGTTGGTTTCTAGAGAAATTCTCAAATTCTACCACCTACAATTTTTACTTAGTAATTTTTTTTGTTTTGTCAATAATATAGTTAAATGAATGTTAAGATTCAAATTAATTTAACTATCTTTTTTAATTTTTTCGTAAAAACTTTTATCCTTATGATCTCTCATATCTATCATGTTCCTTTTTATGCGTGCAAATAATTATGTTTTAGATGATGTCAGAATCGTTCTACACTCAAGCTATCATTTCTTTCATATGGATTTATTTATTTATTTTTTTTTTTTTTGGGTTTGCTTTAGAATTTTTGCTTAAGATCTTAGTGAAAAATTGGATAAAAAGTGTAAACATGATACGACAATGAAAAAGTTTACAAGAGGCAGCAACGATGGCCGTGATACGTTTTACAATTTTTTTAATTATATTTGTTTTGGTTTAATCTTATTCTTCTTTTGTGATGAAAAAAATATCTTTTATTATATTTTTTTGTCTAATTTTATTCTTCTACTGTCAAAAGACTGTTAGCCAGTGTTAATAGAAAAAAATATATATTTACTGGAAAAACATGTTTCTTTAATGATCTTTTCAATTTTTTTTTTTTCGTTCTTGTCTTTTAAGTTTTATCGAGTTATTTTATAAATTTTAAAGAAGAAATGGAAATTTACCTAGAGTAGAAAAAAATAAAAAATATAAAGTCTAATTAAAGCAAATAATTTTTTTAAAATAAATTGAGAAAACACGTAAAATTCTTGGAGGATAAAATTGAAATCTATTCAACTTTATTTGTTGAAAATTGAATTGATATTTTTATTGATTCAAGAAATGTTATTGCTTCTTGTTTTCTCCTTACCATAATATCCAATAGATTTTAAATGAATACCTAGATGGTTTGCATAGTCGAATGAAATTTGAGTTTAAAAAATCTTTCTCAGTAAGTTATAGTTCAATTAGTATTGGTATATTTTTCACAAAAGATTTGAGGTTTCCATGATAAATCTCTCATTCAAATGTTTTTATTTATACCAAAAGAAACTTTTAAAACCCTTCAAGCTTGATTCGCATGGTACTTAAATTTATCCTTCATGTAGTTTATTTAGTTAAATGGCCGCAGAAGGTTTAAGGTTTAACAAAGAGTGAAATTCGGTTCCTAATGCGCAAAAACTAAGCTAGAAATAAATTTGTCACTATAATTAAAAAAGAAAAATATAGCCAGAAGTAAAATTTAAAATTAAAATGATTTCATGAAAAGAAAACACTATTGTTTAATGGCAAAAATTATCCCCGTTTTATTATAATTTGACAATTTCAGATATTTATTATTGCATAATTTGAATTTTAAAATATTGATTTTTGAATAAATGCTATTCAAATTTTTTTTTGTTTATTTGTAACAGATCAATCCAGATTGACCATTAAATAGAACGCTTAAACAATATCATCTAAGCATTCCGTTGTAAAAATATTTTTCCCACTCGTTAAGTGTTTTTTTAAAAAAGGTTAAAAATTGCTCAAACAACCATAGATTTCAAATTCTTTAGATAAGTCAAATTTTTTTTATTAATGATTTTTCTCATTTTTTCAAAAGAGATTTTTCTTACATATAAATAAATAAATAATTCATTAAATTTATCATTAAACTTTCTTTTGGTTCACCCTGATTTTTTTGGACCTATCTTTAAAAAACAATGTTAAAAAAAATGGTTTTCTAGCTCTAATAATTTTAAATACATATTATATATTTAAATCAATTGCGAGAATATAAAATCTTATAAAACATATGAATATAAAAAAATATTAAATAAATATAACTACATTTAAAATTTAATAATTGAAAATTATAAGAATAAATTTATTGGCATGAAAAAAATTCAGTTAAAATTAATTATTTGATAATTCTAATTGATCAAATTTAATTATTAAAAATTCATATTTTATTTACTATAAAGTTGATTGTTTTACTTGGATAATGATACTAAATAAAAATTATTTTTTTAAAATTAAAAAAATTATATATAAATAATAATTTGATCGACTATAGAAAATTATAGAGATTAATATGTAAAAATTTTAAATAGAAAGAATTAAGTTATAATTACATCGGAAAAAAATAAGAACAAGTTGTTTTTTTAAGATAATACTGTAACGCTTAAACAATGTTTTTTAAGTTGACAGCTATAAATAATTACAAATAAAAAAAATTAAACATTATTTATCTAAAAATTAATATTTTAAAATATAAATGATGTAAATTGATAATAAAAATTGAATGTGAAATTGCAACATAAGTAATTTTTTCCGTAAAACCAAAATAATACAGCATCCGGTATCCCCTGTCAAAATTACCCTTCTTTTACAAAATTTCACCCTCCGTTTTTTCTCCATCATCCGCTGTGCACCAAGCTCACAAAAACACACTTGACGATGATAAGATAAGCCACAAAAGCACTCACTCAAACTCTCCTCCTCTAATCTTCCACCACCGCCATGGAAACAACCAGTCTCCTGTCTTTCCCCTCCTCGAAGCCTCCTTCTTCCCAAATCCTAACACGAATCCATTTTCGCCTTGCAAACCCATTTTCCCTTTCCTTCCCCACAACCCACAAAATCTGCATTTCACACAGACCCATCACCATCAAATCCGCAATTTCCCGCACCAAAAAAGAAGAAACAGTAGAAACAGTCAAAACGCAGCTCGAAAATTGCTACCTCTTAGCAGCCATAAAATACACAGGCTTCACAGTCAAACAATTTCAAGACTTGAGAAGATCATTACCTGCATCGTCAAAACTCATTGTAGCTAAAAACACTTTGGTTTATAAGGCCATTGAAGGTACTCCTTGGGAAGCTTTACAACCTTGTATGACAGGAATGAATGCTTGGCTTTTTGTCCATACTGAAGAAATACCTGAAGCTTTAAAGCCTTATAGAGATTTTCAGAAGGCAAAAAAGTTAGAGAATGATTTTACTGGGGCTGTTTTTGAAGGAAAGTTTTATGGACCTGGTGAATTTAAGCAACTCGAAACTATGCCATCTCGAGCTGAGATTTATGCTAAGATTTTAGGGGCTTTACAGGGTCCTGCTCTTGGATTGGTGGGTACTTTACAGGCGCCAGCGAGGGATGTTGTTATGGTTTTGAAGGCTTATGTGCAGAAGCTGGAGGAGGAGAGTGGTGGCCAATAGTGGAGATGCAATGTAATGTGATGTAAGTGTATTGTTTGAAACTCCTCCATTATGTTGTTTTTGAATTGTTGTAGCAAAATTAATGATTAAATGTTTTATTTTTGGATACGAAAGTGTTAATGATATGTTATTTTGGATACGAAAATGAAGTTGTAGAATTGTGAAATCGGAAACTTAATAGTTGTCTTGAAGTTTAGTACAAGGTTGTTATCTTCTTATGGGTTTTACTTTGATGAATTGTGTTAGGGGATGTTTTAGCAATGTTTTTCTTGTAGTGAGTGTGATTTTTCATACCTCTTTTGTACTTTTGGAATGCTGGCCTTTTCGTGATTTTTGGTTGGTTATTTGAGCAAAATTTATGGTTATGGCTATCTATATACGTGGTATATTGGGGAAATGTATATACATAATACTTTCTGCATTTTACCTGGTTTAATCACAGCTGCCCAGTTGGGTGATTCTTTCTCAGAACCCATGTGTGTTTCTCTAGGTCTGACAGTAACTAGTTTGTTAAGGGAGTATATGTAACTATATTTCTCACCATGGTGCATGCATTTTGTGGAAATGTCTAGAGTGTGATTTTTGTTTAGATGCGATCCAAGCAAATACAAGTGCCTGAAGAGCATATGTGCTTGAGACAAATGTGATAGCCTTGATAAGGTATTCCTTCAATTCTGTTTTATGGTGTTTAAGGAATCTAGTTCTTTGGGGTTATAGGAGCATATGCCATTAGATTTGACATCTGAGTGTTGATTATGTTCATACGAGGCACTTCTGGCTGTAGTGATAGTTAGAAGGGTTCTTCAAGTAATAAGAGTCACAAAGGCAACAATTGTTTTTCTGTTAATTATATAAATCCTTCGATTATAGAAAATAGATGAAGTGGTTACAACTAGCAGACATGATCGTGTTGTGCATTGACTCTCACTCATGTGTAGAAGTATGCTAGTGAAGGGTTGGAATTGCTTCGAAGAGCACAGTATAGTTAATTTTGCTGATAAGGATCCACACAGTGACTGCCTGTGTTCAATGAGTCAAGTTAGGGCATCTTTTCTCTTAATATATACGGAGATGAAGTCTCGGACCAACAACATTTCCATTGCATCGTAAATTTAATTCTTGGGACAATTTGTTTTTGGAAAGAAGGGTCATATCTATTTCTTGAGTTTCTGCATCAAGGAATTATAGCTGTGTCTCTGTGAATTGCGATGCATGAGTGTATCTTTCATGGATCAAAAGAGGCATTTTCTTATAAATGATGCGAGGAAACCATTCAGTAGTTGTCTTGTGAGACTTCTGTCTCCCCTTCTGGTCATCTTTAGTTTCACTGTTAGAACCCGGCATCACCACTGTCAAATCATCTTTTGTGATGCCTGTATCTGCTTTGTTCTCTGCCCCTCGGGTTTTCTGCAAGGTAGTTACTTTCAAATGTCAATGGTTTGGCTTGCATTACTCCTCCATCCTAATCCTCGTATGCATGCTTAATTCCCTTTTGAATTGAAACAAATATTGTCTAACAGTTTGATTGGGTTGAATTAGTTTGTGCCCAAGAAAACATTTGCTGACAAATTTATAAATTTATAACTTTGTTTCTTAAATCTGAGAATTGTTATGAGATGCATGCTGGGACAGAAATTAATCAGAAGCGCTTAAAGGAGAGGTGTGACACTCAAGAAATTGTTCGATGCAGCCTTCATCTGTATAATTCACTGGGAATCAACATTACTACTTATTTTCAGAGTTGTTAGAGTTATACTATCATTCTTTATGGGCTGCTCTGTCCTTCGTTACTGATTATAAGTCTTTACCAGGTATTTGTTAATTGCCTGCTTCTCTCATTTTGCTTACTTTGCTTTCATTGACTGCATGAAGCTAAGTAGCATTGATTGCGTTGTCCTTTTCTTTTTCCTGCCTATAATTAAGGAAATTATCTTCCAATAGCCAGATTCTAATGTGAATTGATAGCAGGGGCCTCTGTTAACTCAATATTAATTTTCTCAAGTACACCTGCAGACTCTGAATTCATGTTAAGCACACGCGAGGGACCATTTTTTTGTTGATTGTTGACAATAGTATAAGCAAGCTGCAGATGAACCTTGGCATTACATCCTTATATGCATTTACAATTATGGAATGCAAAACTGATCTTGAATCATGTCCGAAATGTCCATTCGATATTAGGTACCTTGTATTAGGCATCCAGAAAGTGTCATTCATTTTCTTACCCCAGAAAGAATGCACCTTTTGCATTTTCCTACGGCCATTGGACAAGCTATGTAACCTGGAAGGTTGGAAGCACTCGTTAATTTAATTACTGCAAAAATGGCTTCGCTTAAGCATACAAGTGAAAATGAATAGAAAAATGGAAAACAGCTGCATTTTTTGTGGTTCTAGCGATTCTCCCTTCCTCTCTCCTCGACGAATTTTAAGAAGCCAGTTTTATTCCTCAGTTTTATCTTGAATCGAAAGCCCCCCAGCAGGGTGGAGTCGTTCCTTTTGCTTGTCGTTGGGACTTGGGAGGCCTCAGCTTATACGACCTGTCTTTCGCATCTGCCTGTAGGATGTCGTTCAAAAAAAGACAAACAGTACCGTAATTGCGTGCTGTTGACTGACTTAAGTCTTGAAACCTTTTTGGTTTTTTCAATGGAGTCCTTCCTTCTATTCTCCCTCCAAATTTAAAACAATACCCAAACAGAACCAAATCCTTCCTTCTTTTCCTTTTGTGATTCCCCAAATCGTCCTTTTCCCATTTCCCTCAAAAATCAGATTCCTAAAAAAGAATCAAAATTAAAAACCCCCATTTCTCCCCCTTTCATAACACGGAACCCTTGATCTCCCCTCCAATGGCACCGATTGATCCTCACTCGTTCACCGATTCAACTCACCCCTTAACCACTCACGTCTCACTCACCCTCTACTTCCACTTCCCTTCCTCCACCATCCACGCCACCGCTCTCCTCACCCTCCAAACCCCACTCACTGGTCCACTCTCTCTCGACACTCGCTCCCTCAGCATCCACAAAATCCTCGACCCTGCAACCCTAACTCCTCTCCCTTTTACTCTCTCCTCCTCCGCACACCCAATCAAAGGCCGCCATCTCACCGTTTCCTTCAACAACGACGATAGAGATTGATGCGTTAACGTATCTTACTAATAATATCCGACATGATATAATATTTTTTATAAATTTATTAGGAAAATATAATTTTGTTATCTTTAACGAACAATTGATATAAATTTATATTATTTTAATAAATCAACGATAAAATTAATTAGTTATGCAGATGTAAGTTATTTATTTGATCTATATAAGCTTGATCACAAATTAATTATATATTTACAATAAAATAGGCTAATGTGGAGATTAATGTGTATAAATATTTTTTTTTCATTAGAATTTTTTCCATACTAAATTTTTTTTAATAAAGTTTTTTAAGAATGAATTCTATGAAATAACGAATATTCATATAAATGTTTATATGTTTTTTATATCTTTATTATTTATAATTATTAATGTGATTCAATTCATCTTTCAATATAAAAAATTAAAAAATAACTACAATTGATTCAACAATTTATATACTTTAAATTATTCGTAATTCATTTTATTTTTTTTTCAATTTTGAAGTCTACAAATCATTTGATTGTTCACAGACTCATTTTCTTATTATTTTTTTATTCAATTTTTTTATTATTTCTATTATATATATATATATATATATATATATATATATATTTCCTTTTATGAAACCTTAACTGCTTCCCTAACCCACTCACACGGCCGCCTCCGTCGTCCTCCGTTTTTTCTCCACCATCAACTCTGCACCTAACTTACAAGAACACACTTGATGATGATAAGATCAGCCACAAATGCACGCACTCACACTCTCCTCCGCCTCTTCCAATCTTCCACCACCGCCATTGAAACAACCAGTCTCCTGTCCTTCCCCTCCTCGAAACCTCCTCCTTCCCAAACCCTAACCCGAACCCATTTTCGCCCCGTAAACCCATATTCCCTTTACTTCCCCAGAACCTACATTTCCCACATACCCATTGCCATCAAATCTGCAATTTCCCGCGCCAAAAGAGAAAAAACAGTCAAAAACCAACTCGAAAATTGCTACCTCTTAGCAGCTATAAAATGCACAGGCTTCACAGTCAAAGAATTTCAAGACTTGAGACGTTCATTACCTGAATCATCAAAACTCACTGTAGCTAAAAACACTTTGGTTTATAAGGCCATTCGAGGTACTCCTTGGGAAGTTTTAAAACCTTGTTTGACAGGAATGAATGCTTGGCTTTTTGTGCACACTGAAGAAATACCTAAAGCTTTACAGCCTTATGGAGATTTTCGGAAGGAAAAGAAGTTAGAGAATGATTTTACCGGGGTTGTTTTTGAAGGAAAGTTTTATGGGCCTGGTGAATATAAGCAATTCGAAACTATGCCGTCCCCAGCTGAGATTTACGCTGAGATTTTAGGGGCTTCACTGAATCCTGTTATTGGATTGGTGGGTACTATACAGGCCAGCGAGGGATGTTGTTATGGTTTTGAAGACTAATGTGCAGAAGTTGGAGGAGGAGAGTGGTGGGCAATAAATTGATGAATTATGTAAGGGGATGTTTTAGCAATGTTTTTCTTGTAGCGAGTGTGATTTTTCATACCTCTTTTGTGCTTTTGGAATGCTGCCCTTTTCATGATTTTTGGTTGGTTATTTGAGCAAAATTTATGGTTATTGCTACCTATAAACATGGGATATTGGGGAAATGTATATCCATAATATTTTCTGCATTCTACCTGGTTTAATAACAGCTGCCCAATTGGGGGATTCTTTCTCAGAAGCCATGTGTGTATCTCTAGGTCCTTACAGTAACTAGTTTGTTAAGGGAGTATATGTAACTATATTTCTCACCATGGTGCATACATTTTATTGAAATGCCTAGAGCACTGCCATTTGTGATTTTTGTTTAGATTCGATCCAAGCAAATACAAGTGCCTGAAGAGCATATGCACTTAGACAATGAGATTTCCTCTATAAGGTATTCTATCAATTCTGTTTTATGCTGTTTAAGGAATCTAGTTCGTTTGGGTTATAGAAGCATATACCATTAGATTTGACATCTGAAGATTTGACATCTGATTGCTGATTGTGTTCATACGAGCCACTTCTGGCTGTAGCAGTAGTTAGAAGGGTTATTCTAGTAATAAGAATCACAAAGGCAACAATTCTTCTCTTTTAATTATGTAAATCCTTTGATTTTAGAAAATAGATGTAGTGGTTACAAATAGTAGACATGATCTTGTTGTGCATTGATTCCCACTCATGTATCGAAGTATGCTAGTGAAGGGTTGGAATTGCATTGAAGAGCACAGTATATTTAATTTTGCTGATAAGGATCCACACGGTGACTGCCTGTGTTGGATGAGTCGAGTTAGGGCCTTTTTTCTCTTAATATGTACAGAGATGAAGTCTCAGACCTACGAAATGCCCATTGCATCGTAAATTTAATTCTTGGGACAATTTGTTTTTGGAAAGAAGGGTCATATCTTATTTCTAGAGTTTATGCAACAAGGAATTATAGCTGTGTCTCTGTGAATTGCGATACATGAGGTGTATCTTTCATGGATCAAAGAGGCTTTGTCTTATAAATGATACAAGGAAACCATTCAGTATTTGTCTTGTGCCTTTGAGACTTCTGTCTCCCCTTCTGGTCATCTTTAGTTTCACAGTAAGAACCCGGCGTCACCTCTGTCAAATCGTCTTTTGTGATGCCTGTCTCTGATTTGTTCTCTGTTCAGCGGGTTTTCTCTGAGGTAGTTAATGGCAAATGTCAATGGTTTGGCTCGCAGTACCCCTCCATGGTTATCCTAGTATGCATTTATAATTTCCTTCTGAATTGAAACAAGTATTGTCTAACAGTTTGATTGGATTGAATTAGCTTATGCGCAAGGAAATACCTGCAGACAAATTTATAAATTTATAGCTTTGTTTCTTAAATCTGAGAATTGTTCAGAGATGAATGCTGGGACCGAAATTAATGTGAAGTACTAAAAGGAGACGTGTTCCACTCAAGAAATTGTTCAGTGCAGCCTTCATCTGGATCCTTCACTTGGAAACAACATTACTACTTATTTTCAGAGCCGTTAAGAGTTCTACGAGTTTCAAGAAGCCAAATTTATTCCTCGGCCAAACAAGCACGTAATCGAAAGAACCCTTGCAGGGTAGAGTTGTTACATTTACCTGTCGTTGCCAGGCCTCAGCTTATACGACATGTCATTCGTATTTTGCCTATAGGATGTTATTCAAGAGAAACGACGAATAGTATTGTCAACTGTGTGCTGTTGACTGACTTGAGTATTGACACCTTTTTTGGTTTTTTCAATGGAGCCCTTCCTTCTATTCTCCCTCCAAATTTAAAACAATACCCAAACAGAACCAAATCCTTCCTTCTTTTCCTTTTGTGATTCCCCAAATCGTCCTTTTCCCATTTCCCTAAAAAATCAGATTCCTCAAAAAGAATCAAAATCAAAATTAAAAACCCCCATTTCTCCCCCCTTCATAACACGGAACCCTTGATCTCCCCTCCAATGGCACCGATTGATCCTCACTCGTTCACCGATTCAACTCACCCCTTAACCACTCACGTCTCACTCACCCTCTACTTCCACTTCCCTTCCTCCACCATCCACGCCACCGCTCTCCTCACCCTCCAAACCCCACTCACTGGTCCACTCTCTCTCGACACTCGCTCCCTCAGCATCCACAAAATCCTCGACCCTGCAACCCTAACTCCTCTCCCTTTTACTCTCTCCTCTTCCGAACACCCAATCAAAGGCCGCCATCTCACCGTTTCTCTCAACAACAACTCCTCAGTTCTCATCCTCTACTCCACCTCCCCTTCCTCTTCCGCCCTCCAATGGCTTTCCCCGCCCCAAACGTTTAAGAAAATCCACCCTTTTGTTTACACCCAATGTCAGTCTGTTCACGCACGTTCCGTTTTTCCTTGCCAGGATACGCCCGCCGCGCGTGTTTGTTACTCTGCAAAGTTGAATGTTCCACGACAGCTTTCTGGTGTTATGTCTGCTAGGCATTGTGGCCGTCATGACCCTGTTGGTACTGATTTGGATGGGGTGTTGACGAATGAGGAGTCTGGATTTGGATTTGATTTGAAGTCGTTGTGGTGTGAGGAAGGGAGGGTTGTGGAGGAGTTTGTGATGGAACAGCCAATTCCGCCGTATTTGTTTGCATTTGCTATTGGGGAATTGGGGTTTAGAGAGCTAGGGCCGAGGACTAGGGTTTATTCAGAGGCACTCGATGGGGTTTTGGATGCGGCTGCTAGGGAGTTTGCAGGGACTGAAGAGATGATTAGGCAAGCGGAGAAGTTGTTTGGTGATTATGATTGGGAGAGGTTTGATTTGTTGGTATTGCCGCCGAGTTTTCCTTATGGTGGAATGGAGAATCCGAGGATGGTGTTTTTGACCCCCACAGTGATTAAAGGTGATGCAAGTGGCGCGCAGGTTGTGGCACATGAGTTGGCTCATAGTTGGACTGGGAATTTGATTACTAACAAGAATAATGAGCATTTTTGGTTGAATGAGGTATAATGAGCTTTTGCTTTTATTATTTGATTTTCTTCCCTTCTGATTCAGTATCAGTTTAATGGCCACCTCAAATAGTATCTCTTTCTCCGTGTTCTTATCTGCTGCACTAATTGCGTTTTCCTCTCAGAGTCTCAGTGTCTGTTTGTCCACCTGTAAGTAATGAGTTGGCTGTGTTTAGAGTGATGAATTGTTTGCTTTTGTTTACTTGTTTCGTATGATTGTCAAAGTGTGTAAGAGGTCCATGGTTTGATTCTCGGTGCTGGATGAGGGAAAGTATGAGCAGATGTTTGTGGATATTTTTCTTTCAGGATACATGTCTGTGTGTTGTGCTCTTGAACTTCCAAATAGCCCATGTTTAGTTTTGTTTGTGCTATGCTGCGGTCAGCAATTATTGCTTTTTGTGAGTTATAAGTTTCTGGTTCATGAAACTAGGGTTTCACAACATATGCGGAGAGGAGAATTGTTGAGGTTGTGCAAGGCGAAGATATAGCTGCTTTGAATAGTGGAATTGGTTGGAAAGGTTTGAATGAGGAAATGGAGAGGTTCAAGGACAACATGGAATTCACTAAGCTAAAAAACAATCAGGAAGGAGTGGACCCAGATGACATGTACTCCCAAGTGCCATATGAGAAAGGTTTCCAGTTTCTTTGGCGCATTGAACGTCAGGTACATTAATTTATTTCTTATTTGAACTTGAAGATAATTCAAACAGTAATATTCTTACCTGTTCTATTTTTACCTTTGAAATTCTTAGATTGGAAGACCTGCATTCGACGAGTTCCTCAAGAAATACATCGCCACATTCAAGTTCAAGTCAATTGACACACAGACATTTCTTGATTTCCTGAAAGCCAACATTCCTGGAATAGAGAAAGATATTGACCTTCAGCTCTGGACTGAGGGCACTGGCATCCCTCCAGATGCTCACGAACCAGTTTCAAAATTATATATAAAGATTGTATCACTTGCAAATGATTTTAAGCTTGGGAGGATGCCGAGAGAGGATGAAGTTGCTGACTGGAAAGGGCAGGAATGGGAGCTCTACCTAGAGAATCTGCCCAAAGCTGTTGAAGCCTCGCAGGTAGTGACTTGATTCTTTTATCATTTCCCCATCCTAACCTCATCTGTTCTTTTTTGGCTGAAAGTTTCACACCTGCAATGATTTTAATTTCTTCACCTGCAGTAATTTTAATTTCTTGAAACTTTATTTCCTAATCACTTTTGTCTTTCCATATCTGCATTCCTTTCTCTCTCGGCAGTAACTTATGTTAAAGACCATTTGGATTCCTGAGTAATTTCTTGTACATCTTTGCTTGGTGTATGTGACCATTGTCAAGTGTTGCCTCGACATTCTTTAAGTTCAAATAAGGCACCCATGGGTTATACAAGTGAAACTTACTTTTTTTATCTTACAAATTGTTATAATTCATCATGCAGGTCTTAGCCTTGGATGCACGCTACAGGCTGTCAGAATCAAAGGACTATGAGGTGAAAGTGGGATTTTTCCAACTTGCTATTTCCTCCAGGTGTAGAGATTACTATGGCGAGGTGGAGAAAACTTTGAAGGAAGTTGGGAGGATGAAGTACCTTCGTCCACTCTACAGTGGTCTTGTTCAAGGCCCTGGAAAGGAAGAAGAGAAAATTTTGGCCAAAAGAGTGTTTGCGGAAGCTCGTGAATGTTATCACCCTATAGCTCAAGGTGTTGTTGAGGCAATCTTTGCTAAGCACATGTAGAATGGGTATACCACAATATAGTATCTGGACCTTAACCTTTAGTGTCTCCGGTGGTTGAGCGTACGTATCCTTTGATGTTTAAGATCTAGGAGGCCAATAATATGACTTCTGATTTTGTTAATTTTGACACTTTACTCTTCGGTAATTCTGTTGATTTTGCTTGACTGCTCTACTTGGGCTGTGGATAATGGATATGGTCTTGTATATTTGAAACGGTATCCTCGGTTTATCTGCACACTTGGGCCGCGAAGATATTTTGGGGGATCGGAATTTTCTGTTTTATTTTTCATAACAATCCTGAAGGGTTTGTTCTTGCTGGACCATGCTAGAAACGTGGCATGGATTTATCCTTTCAAAATTTTTTCCAGAATTTTTCAATAATTCTTAAGACAGCCCTTTAAATTCTTGTTATTCATCAAAGAAAAAGAAAAGGAGAAAAAAAGGGCCTTAAATTCTTATTATCAGAGAAGAAAACTTTCCCTTAATGATATAATTTTCTATCTGTAAGTCATAGGCTGGAAAGTGGGAACATGATAGCAAACTTTTAACGTGTATTAAAAGCACCCACTAGATAAACTTTTTTATATTATATTATTATAACCCAAGAATTGGTGTCCCAAAATGATGAAGAGGTGGAGCCAGGGGCCCACACAGAGCTTAAAACGATACATCCTAGTGCCGTCATGGGCTGCATTGGGTGTGTAATTAAGCCCGGCAATATTGAACCGAGGCCTGTTATCATTTAACATCTTTATAGTATTAGTTATTTTTTTCTGATAATTTTTTATAGTATGATTTAATTGGTGAAGGCTGAAATCTATCCAAAATGAAAACACTCTTGTGAGTTTTGTCGTAAAAATTTCTCATGTTCTATTACAATTTAATAATTTTAAGTTTTTATTATCGATTTATATAATTTAAATTTTAAAATATTTATTTTTGAACAAATCTTATCCAAATCTATTAATTATGATAATCAACTCGGTTGATTGATAATTTTTTTCTATTGTTATTTTTTTATCGTTAATTTTTAAAAAAATGTTAAAAATATTTTTCTCATATTTTTAAGAGAGATTGTTTTCCACCGGTTTACCTATAAATAAAAAAAAAGTTCATTAAATCTACCACTATTATTTTTTTTTTTTTGGTTTTACCTGAAAAGCAACTTTTACTTTTTGAACCTAACTTTGAAAATTTTAAAAACTTTTAAAAAATGGTTTTCTAACTCTAATAATTTTAATTATATATTATATATTTGAATCAATTGTGAGAAAAAAAATCCTATAAAACATGTAAAGATAAAAAAATATTAAATAAATACAGCAATATTTAAAATTTAATGATTAACAATCACAAAAATAAATTTATTGGCATGACAAAAAAAATTCAGTTAAAATTAATTATTTTATAACTTCAATTAATCAAGTTTAACGAATAAATATTTATATTTTATTAATTATAGAAATTGATTGTTTTAATGGATAATGATACTACATAAAAAATATTTTTTAAAATTAAAAAAATATATACATATAATAATTTGATTGACTATGAAAAATCAAATGGATTAATATGTAACAATTTTAGATAGAAAGAATTTCTCTTGAAAAATAGAGGAAAGCATTTTTAATATTTTTTAAAAAAATACTAACATAGAAAGAAAAAACAGCATAAAAAAAACTAACGGCCAACTTATAAGTAATAGATTTAGCAAGATTTGTTAAAAAACTGATATTTTGGAATTGAAGTCACATGAATTGGTAATAAATTAATGAAATTGCCAGATGGTAATGTAACGGTTTAATTTTTATCATTAAACCCATCATTACGAGGTGTTGAACAATTGGTTTAATCATAATTCCAGAGTTAAAAATATATATATATATATATTTAACCCCATAATTTTGAATTTTTTTTAAAAATGTTATCATAAAAAAAAAAAAATTGGCAATACACAATTTTAGACATTAAAAAAAACATTTTATAAATTAAAATGAGCATAAATAAGAGTTCACCCTCCTAATTTTATAAAATATTTATAATTTTTTTTTAAATTATGGGGGTTAAAAATATTTTAAAATGTTTATAATATTTTATAAGATAAAATTTTAAAATTAGAAAGTTCAAAAATATTTTTAAAATATTTTTTTAAATAACATAATTGATAACAGAATATCAAAATAATGCAGATTTGTATTTAAAATAACGAGTCAACTAAATTGATCATTTCGGATGATAGAGATTAAACAATTTAAATAACATTTATCCCATATTCAATATTTTAAGATTTAACTTACACATTTTGCTATTATAAATCTGAAACTACTAAATGACAGTAGAATAAGACAAAATTTATCATTAAACCTATTAAAATCTAACTATAAAAAAATTCAATCTTAATAAATGAAAGTTGATAGAAAAATATTCTTATCTTAAAAGTTTTTTTTTATTTTTTTTTCGCTAACGCTAAAAAGTTGGTACATGTTTTTGCCATTACAATTCGTTTTTTTTTTTTGCTTTAGATTAACGATGTATTGTTTGCATTTGAATTTTAGACATTTTTGTCTTCTTTTATGCTGGAACTACTTTTTGTCTTATAATTTTAACTCCACCAAGCGATAAATCCACTGGCAATTGATTTTTTGCAAGGGACCAAATTAATTTGGGAGGTTTGTCACAGAATTTGAGTTCACAAAAAAATTATGTTGTAATGAGTTACGTTACTCACCAACGAGTACGACCCACAAACTCAAACCTCAGATCCTGACATGGACGACCCAGATCCAACCTTCAGTTCCATCACTGGACCCTACATTTACCATAAGGAATCCTAGTTCCTTTTCGTATTATTACCCCCCACCTCCTGCCTGAAAAACACCCCTCTCGATCTCTGTTTTATTTCTCCTAGAATAAAAATATATATTTTTTTCAAATAGATACAGTGAGCAGAGAAGAAACAAGCTCACCATCCCTGAAAAAATGGACGATTACACGAGAGAAATGATGGACCTGAAAACACTCGTCACTCGAACCCTAGAGAAAAAGGGTGTCCTTGCTAAGATCCGGGTAACAAACCTTTCCCTCAATATTCTTTCTCCTTTTCGTTTTATATTGATGATAAACTGAAAGCAAAAGAATTATTTTGATTGTAAAATTTAAATTCTGTTGTCTTAAGCTAATTAATTGAGAGCAAAGGTCCTCTTTTTTTGTTGGATCTCGTTCCGTGATAAAGAATGGAATTCTTTTTTGTTTAATTGGATAATTGTTTTTGCCCCAGATCCTGTTTTGTTAGTTTAAAATTGAAATTATGTCCTTTTGTTTCTCTATGTGGGTGTGAGGAGAAATGGGTAATTTCATATTCTGTAGCTAGGGTTTTGTGTTTTGTGCAAGATCAAAGCTTTTGTAGCCTAATGTGAAGCTCAAAGTGTCATTTTTTTTTTTTTAGCTTTTTTTTTTTCAGTGAATTAGAGGTTTTTCCTTTTTTTCTTTTTTTGTAAAATTGCAGTTATTTTTGCATCTTATCTTTCGTTTTTTTTTTTTTTTGGTGCTGATATTTGTTTCCAGGAAGTGTTTAACGAAGCACTTCACTCTCTTTTTATCCTGAAGTGTGTTTATTGAGTGAAATTAAATTGAAAATGTAATCAGGCACAGTAATCCCTACTGGGTTGGTCTTGTTTCTTCATCGTTGATATAGTTTGTAGTTTCCTTTTTTACTACTGTTATATCTTACTTGTTTACTCTATTGTTAGGCTGAACTCAGGGCAAGTGTTTTTGAAGCAATTGAAGAGGAGGATAGGGTAATTGAAAAAGATGAAGGCTTACCTCCTGCATTGTTGGGTAGCTGCAATGATCGTGCTAAACAACTTCATGCTTCTCCTTCGGGTCACTCCTTGAATTCAGTCTTTTTCATCTTTGTCCTGCTAGTTTGAAAATGTTGAACCTTTTCTTTAATTAATGTTTGTTTAAATTAATGTAATCCTTGATAGTGTGTTTATGTACACATTGGTAGCATTTTGTTGGATTTATGAGAGCTTGTGTAAGGTCTTGAAATAAAGTTGGACTGCTCTAAAAAATGAGGGGTAATTAACTTGACAATTAATTATTCTCATGGACCAATACTTACGTTTCAAATCAGTCTATCGTGGTAGATAACAACTTTGATCTAAATAAATTTATTCTCCGACCAAAATATATATTTGAAATATCTTTCACAGGCGACAATAACTTTGAAGCTTCGTGAGTGGACATGCTTTAGATTGGTTTAGGTTATAGTCCGTTAAGTTTCCATGTTAGAATTTTGAGGGTATAGAGGACAAAACAGGACAGTTGGTCTTTCATTGGATGTTGGTGTTTGATATATAGGGTATCTAATAGTTATTCTCCACCTCCACAGTCCTAAAAAATGTGTGTCAAGTAGTGTGCTTGTGATGTTTATAGTTTCTAGTGATTTAAACATTTATGCACGTGTTTTTGGTCCTGGTAAAGGAAGAAGTTCATAATCGTTTATGTACGATCTGTTGATATTTCTTCCAAAAAATGCAGGGAGGCTGCTAACTGCATTGATATGTGAATACTTCGACTGGGCACAGCTAAATCATACACTAAAAGTTTATCAACCAGAATGCAATTTGGTAATCATGTAATTTATCAACGTATTTTTGGAAGATTTTTTAGCACCTTTTGTATGGTGTTCATTGCACTTAATTTGTGAATATTAAGCAGCAATCTTTACTTTCCATTGCAGCAAAAAGATTCTTGGAAAGCAGAGTTGAAAGAATTTAGTAGCAAGAATGGATATGATCTGAACCGGAATGGAGATAGTGGCCCTTTGCTTTTGGATGTTCTTGAAGGATTCTTGAAATTTGAGGTTTGTCCTTGTCTGTTGCTGCATATCTACATATAAGACTAATCTTAGGGGAAATAAAACTGGCAATATGGTGTAGTACTTCAGGCTATAAATGTAATGGAGTACTATCTCTTTGGATATTTGATTATTTTTTAGACAAATCACACATCTTAAGGGTAGTGACTGATAATTTTCTTTGGTGTCTCAGTTTCATGCATGATATTTGGCAATATGGTGAACTAACATGGATGTTTTTTTTTTTTTTTGGCTTGTCTTATCTCTCTTGGTTGATGGAGTAGTTTTGCTATCTGAATTTGGGGCTGAAATGAGCTTGCTAATTTTTTACAACCGTATAGCATTTAAAGTTATGTTCTTAATGGTCTAGTCACAGATAGCTATTTCTTATCTTTATATATTGTGTACTGCAAAAGCTTAGGAGCTAATTTTCAAGTAGAGTACTTGACCAATTTTAGTTATGAGAAATTTTGGTTCCTGATAAGACTAGTGACTACACTCTATCATATGGTTCAATGTTGATTGGAAAAACTTGAATTCACTGAGTGAGGACAAGTTCCTGCCAAAAGGACTCGGGGAGGCTGAAGAGAGAAGAAAGGAATGTGTAAATGGGATGAATATGTTAAGGTGGATAGATCTGCATGCTTGGCAGATCAGATTAACATTTATGAGAAAAGCTTGTTTCAGTTTTAAAGCGTAAGAGACGTGAATTGGAGATTAAGTTCTCAACTCCAGTGAGCCTTAGTTCTTACAAACTTAACTGGAGGATATGATGACCTATAGATTTCTATTTAGAATGAGCTGAAGTGGTAAAGTGCATAAGATGAAACTGATTTTGAGAAGCCTTTGCTCATAGATGGAGCTAAGTGGCAATTAAGGGTTTATTTAGTTAATTCCAAGTGGCTGTGATGTAAGGTTTTTTGTTTCGTACCTCTTCTTCGGTTTCAGTATTGGTTGATGAACAAGAAGAACCTATCGCCTTTCATTGATCTCATAGTCTATATCTGGTAAGGACATTTGAGGCTGGGGTTGAAGCTCAGTCTGCTGGACTTCTTGCTGCTGAAGCTGCGAATTCGCCTGTTTACCCGTCTGAGTAGAGGCTATAGGCTGGCAGTGCTGAACTCTTGAAGGTCTTTCCTTTGATGAAAGGGATTGATTTGTGACATGGGTTGACTCTGATAGGAGAACTTTCATATTCAATGTTCATATTTAATTAAAAACAATATGTACTTTTTTGTAGGAGATATTTTTGCTTGGACGAAGAAGGTTTAAAGTTTCATCCAAAATTTCAACTGACAATATTGCTTGTTAATAATTTTTTTCTCCTGATAAATTTTCTAATATCATTCACTATTAATTATAAATGAGAATCTTGTTTTGACAGAATTTATCCCAAGGAAGGGGTACTGGAAGGAGAGTACCAGAGACCGAATCCTTATCCAATGTAGAGTCCAGGAATATGCGAAGACCCTCTTCATCATCTGTTGCTGGTGGCTTACCTCCATTAGGAAGGTTCTGGGCCAATTTTAACTTCTAATTTTTCTTTCCTTACCTTTCTTTTAGATGGTGTCTTGATATTTTCTTCCCTACACTACTCATCATTGTTTACGTTATGCACATGTTTATGCAGACCAGCTTCTTCTCAGGCATCTGGTGAGTGATTAAAATATGCATAATTTGTCCTACCATTTCTTTCCTTCTTGTTCCCTGTTTCTCATACTGTCTATTGTCCAGATAGGAGAGCAGGGTCCTCCATGTCTGGTTACAGGAAAGATGATTACAATTGGAGATATGACAGTGACGAACTTCCTGAGGATGTGATTCGAGCTTCTGCTGCCCTGGAAAACCTTCAGTTGGACAGGAAAGCTCGGAATCTTACTACATCTTGGAGGTTAGTTCCTCATACTTGCTTCTACATAATTCTTCCATTATGTACTAGTTAAAATGTATTTTGGATGTGTTTTGAAATCATTTGCTTCTGGAGCATTGCAAAAAGGACTGTTGTCACAGCATGTATAAAAATTCTGTTCAACAACGGGGAAACTGGAGATTACCCTTTGTTAAAAGTTTGCCGTTGGGGGGGTGGGGGGATTAGATTGTTGTGAAGTACCTTTTCATACTGAAAATTGGCTTATCTTGGAGGCCACACCCTTATGAATCCTGAGACTATATGTTGATTGGTTTCCCCTCAGTCCTGTCTTGTATAGGCATTCTGAAGTAGTTAAATTGGTGGCTAACTAACTGGCAGTTGTGTATGCTGCAAGTAGATCTCACATAATTAGAAGTCTTATAACATCACTCTGATGAACGGAAGCTCTGCATTGGTTAAAATTATCTACATGACCATTGTATTTGTAATTCTAAAGATTCAGTTTAGCAAGGTAGCCTCATGCTTGTGTTTGTTATCTGATTAGCAAGAAAAACTCGTAACCGTATGCATTGGGTTTGGTTGCAGGCATGCTGGGGATGGCATCAGTGATGATGATGGGAGGGTTGACCATATTTAGCCGAATGGCATCCTCGAATGATGCAGACGTAGCTTAGTGTGCATTTTTATTTTTATTCATTAATGTTTTATTATCAGCAAAAAGAGGGTAGTGATTTGTGCAATTCTAATTTTTTTTCCTTGGTTAAATATATTGTGAGGTGTTCTAGTGTTTTGATGAGTTTTCTTCTCGTTTTTCTTTTCTTTTCCTTTTGGGTACATTTTGAAATATCGATTAGTGATGGTCAGAAAACTTTTGTACATAAATGCCTTAAATTTTCGAGTTGATGCATTGATTATTATGTTATCAGGAAGGCTGAAAGATCAAACCCGTTAAAAGATGCCTTAAGCTTCTCTCTCTACCATAAGGGCATGGATAATTCCAGCTTTTAATTCGTTATACGAAAGAATCTTAGATAATGGCAGAATCATTTGAGAGCGTACGCCATGTTGCTGGCCTCCTTGATTTGGAAGAAACGAAGCCTGGTATAGAATCCTGGATGATTCCAGTCGTTACCATCTTTGTGACCAAAGCTTTCTGTTTAAAATTATGTTTTGAAAATCGATGTTTTCTCTGTGAAAGGTTTATTTTTAATTGGAGTTTTCTGGAAAGGTGAATTAAATCGCATGCGTATACGTATGTATAACACAAAAAGATCATTTTCATAATGCAAACCGAAAAATAATCTGCAATGTTAATTCCAAGCTTCCTTAAATTAATCTCAATGTTAGGTTCGAAAAAAAAAGAAAAAGAAAAAACCAAGTAAGTATTATTTGCAAGCAAACTTTCCCCTCGTGGAAATTTCAACGTCAGCTTTAAAATCACGTGCTGTCTCTCCCCTCCCTTCGAGCATGGAAAAAGGGAAGGAAAAAAAAACCTAAATCCCCCACGCCCTGCTTATCATCAATCAAACACAGAGCCTCCTCCTGCTTTCCACACGCCCTCCCTTCTCTCTCTCTCTATTAGCCAAGGGAAAAAAAAAAAAAAAAAAGCCGATCTATCAATGGCAGTTCTTTTAAGAATCCCTAAAACCTCAACGACATCATCGTCAATAAAATCACTCTCTTCTTGTATATCTCGAAGTTTTTCTTCAACTGCATTGAATTCCGAAACTGACCTCAAAGTACCTTCTTTTCTTTCCCATAATTCTCTGCCTCTCCGTCAAGAACCTAAGGATAGAAATGTCCAGTGGGTTTTTCTTGGTTGCCCTGGTGTAGGTAAAGGTACCTATGCTTCCCGTCTTTCAAATTTTCTCGGTGTTCCTCATATAGCCACCGGCGATCTGGTTCGCGAGGAGCTCAATTCCTCTGGCCCACTTGCTTCCCAGGTACTCGCTCTCTTTTTGGGGTTTGAAATTTTGTGTCTCTTACATTTTTTGGCCTTGATTGTAAAAAATTTGAATCTTCGCAGTTGAAATTTCTGGAGGAATGAATTGCATCGTAATTTTATTGGTTTTTTTAGAAATTAATTGCGTTATAAATTTTATTAATTCTGTTAAAGACTGCATTTTTGTGGAGATTGTGACATTGACTGTTACCGTTTGATATTTTGCTTCTTATTCTGGAAAAAACTCTGTTGCAATCATAGTTGGGCCCCACGTGACAGGATTAGCAAATAATGGAATCTGAACATTTTTTATCCTGATTTGTAATTTATTTTTTTTGTCAGTTTATATGTTTGTGTTGAGCTGATAATGTTTTCTTGTTGTACTGCAGCTTAAGGAGATTGTGAATCGAGGGAAATTGGTTTCTGATGAGATTATTATAAGCTTATTGTCGAAGCGTCTTGAAGCTGGAGAAAGTAAGGGTGAATCTGGTTTCATTCTTGATGGTTTCCCGCGAACTATTAGACAAGCTGTGAGTTATTGTTATTATTGATTGGTTCTGTTGGCAGTTGTCTATATACTTCCCATGGATATTGAAACTGGTAAAAGATAAGTCTAGCTGTAAATGATTAGTTGGTTAAGCCCTTTGAGGTTTCTCATTTGCATATTTTGAGTTAATTTGTTATGTTAACTACTTCATTTTTCTTTTTCTCTTCCCTTTTGACAGTTACCCTGGTGTTTTTTAATCTATCTGATGTTCATGTTCTGTTAATACTGCAGGAAATATTAGAGGGAGTAACAGACGTTGACTTGGTGGTGAACCTAAAGCTTCAAGAAGAAGCACTGCTTGCAAAATGCCTTGGGAGAAGGATTTGTAGTCAGTGTGGAGGAAATTACAATGTTGCTTGCATTGACATTAAGGGTGAGAATGGGAAGCCTGGAATTTATATGGCTCCACTCCCAGCTCCTGCACAATGTGTTCCAAACCTTATCCAACGAGCTGATGATACTGAAGAAGTTGTTAAGGAACGACTTCGTATTTACAATGAAATGGTATACTGCATCTTCATTTTTCTGACTGGTTTTTTATTTTTTTAGTGTAATCGTCATATGAACTTGTGCATATAATTGTGAAGTTCTATAACACGACATCTGTTGATCAGCCACATGTAACATGTAGGATATCATCTTCTCTTGATGCTTGTTGTTCCAGATGATTATGTTTTATAACCCATATTCAGAAAAAAAGTGAAATGCAACTTCTGTCTTTTGTCTTAGACCATTTGCAGATTGATGATGAAAGAGAAGTATGATAATCCCCCCATCCATCCAATCTCCCCCTTCCAAACACACACACCACCACCACCACCAAATAAAAAAAATTAAAAAAAAAATTAAAAAAAGAAAAAAAGAATCTCAGTAGATGCGAGATGATAGATAGATCTTAAAAAGCTTCAGTATGTCTGTTCTGATTTCTCTCTGAGTACATCACTTTTGGAGAGATAATAAGAGGACTTACATAGATGTCATGCATCAGCTTGGAAAAATCTGTTACTAAAATGTTGATTAAAATATGGTAGCATGTGGTGAGCTACTACAAATAGTCTTACTATTGCAAATGAATTTGCGAGAAACCATTGAAACATGTTCGCAGTCAAAGCACATGCACTTTTTATCTGACACATAATAAACTAACTCCACATGCTGATATCCACTCATAGTATATGGTGACTTACATTCATTGAAGACATCTAAGGCACCTCATCACAGCTTTTCTCTTCTACACTTCCCTCATCTAAATTTCCAAGCAATTAATTTTTAACATGACTGAAACTATCATAATTTTTTAGCAACAAACTCAAAAAACATAAAGCAAGAGCATTATTTATTTATTTATTTTTGTAACTCTGAATTCCAGGATGTTTGAAATCTAAACGTTTAGATGTTCTCTCTCTCTCTCTCTCTCAATCTATCTCTTTCATTCTCTTTGTAGGTCTAAAAGACTAAGATTGGCCTTTGTTGTTTTTGGTGTCCTTTTTTTTTAAAAAAAAGAATATATATAGATACTGTTAAAAAATTCTGTTAAAAAAAAAAAAAAAAAAAGGTAGCAGAGGACTAACTAGTAACTGCATTCCTGGTTGATTTAGTAAATTCACCAGTAGGCTCCCTGCATATAGATTTTGAGTACTATTTGGTACTATGCCCAATTTCAGTTCTCATCTCCATCAGTTCATACACAATCAAGAACTTAATGGTTTGTCTCGTACTCAATTATTTATGCAGTTTTTTATTGTTATCATTGTTCTCACTGTCATCATATCTAGGTGTTCCTAAGGTGTATTTTTTTGTATCTCAGTAGTGGTTTATGCTTACTAGAGAGATGGTGGTTGGAAGAAATGGTAGTTTGTCTTGATATACCATGGAAGAAAAGGTAGTGTATCACAGTTTGGCATTCCTGAGATGCATATATAGTGCAGTTGGGTATATTTGATTTCAAATACATTTTGTTCTATTTTAATGTGTTTCCATGGGTGTTTGCTTAACATATAAATGGCAAAAATTTCTTGTCAATACACGAATGGCATGCTGCATGTTTTCTCTATTCCCTCCACCTCCCTTTATCATTCCTTTTAAAGTAGTAGATAGTAAAAGATTGTTGTCTTGGAATTGAAATATTAGGCACAGAAGCGCACAATCATAGTTATTAGACAATTACCTTCTGGCATAAAGAAGTTTTTCTTCGACGATTATGACAATAACAACTGTAATTGTCGTTTGTTCTGCAATTGGTGACCTGTCATCTGCAAATCTTCTTTTTTCCTGCAGAGTCAACCTGTTGAAGAGTTCTACCGCAGTCGTGGGAAGTTGTTGGAGTTCGATCTTCCTGGAGGGATTCCAGAATCCTGGCCAAAGCTGCTGGAAGCTCTGAATCTTGACCACGAGGATAAATGCTCTGCAGCAGCATGAACCCCTATAATTCTGTAACTTATTCTCAAGGTAAGTTAGGTCATTCTTCATGTGGGAGACTGCATGCATTTATTTGGATAAAAGGGGGTTAACGAGTTATATGAAATAAGCAAGCCTTGACTATTTGCAATATATTTTATTGTGTGGAGAGCAAGGAGGCCTTGTGCACTGCTGGTGGTGGTGTTGTTTGTTAGCTGGATTGGGCTTGTAGTGATTAAATAGTGGACAAACGTCAGTGCCATTCAATTTTGCTCGAACATTTCTTTTTGAAATTTGTATTCAACAGTTCTTTGAACAGAAATAGCTAACAATAGTTGGAACTGAATAAACTGCTTTACATGACACAAAAAGGCCGCGTGTCCCATTTTCTAGTTTTATTTAGACATGAGCACCTTTCCTTCATGTTGTTTACATCATTGTAAGGTGCTACCTGCTATTGCCTATTGCTGTTTCTTGCATGCGTTGAGATTGGATGAGTAGAAGTTCCCATGGATAACCCTGTTCTTTGGTAATTGAATTTCTACACAAAACATCAGTATTCTTGTTCACCTAAATGTTTTTAAGAAACAAGATACTCACCTATCTTCTTAACTTCTCATCCATCAACATTCTTTTCCATCTCATATCTCGCAGGTTTTCTTTCTCAATATGATGGTTCTCTCCTTTCAGGTCAATGTGAAGCATCCATAAAAAATTGTGTTCTCTGCATATTGCTTATATTCTGTTTTTTTTCCTCCTGTGAATTGTTTTACCCTTTTTTTTTTTTTTCGAATTACAATTTCTATAAAGCGTCCATTTCCTACCTGGGGTTCTAAGGACTTAGGACTTCTTTTGCAGCTGTATAACTGATTTAGTTTGCGTTGTTGCGCATGTTGTATTTACGATGAAGATAAACTATGTCAGTGCAGTAAAATTTAGTTTCCATTTAAAGTAAATGCAAATTGAAGGCTGGTTGGAGCCAGTTTAGCGCTCTAATCATGCATGGCAAGACATTGTAAAGGTTCAACGGGAGCATCAAAATCTGTACCGTTACATGTTCTGAACCTGTTAAAAGCTCTATAAATTCGTCTGTTGTCGTGCCTAGATTTTGTTGTCTTTTAATCAGTGAACTGAGTGTTTTTATCAATTATAACCCCGTTGACCAGATGCCTAGCCCCAGCTGTTCCAATGCCTGTTTTTATAGGGATAGGTTGGGTTTCAGAAGCCCATTTTATAATAAGAGTTTTAGCCATACTTGGAAAGAGCCCTCGGGCCCACGAAAGTCACCTTCCACTATCGACCAGATGCCGAACCCGAACTGTGCCACTGCCCATTACCTTTCTTTCGGGGTTGCTCGAGTTGAAAAGGCCCTAATATCAATCACATTTTGAGGCCCTGCAAGTTAAAGAGCCAGCGAACCCATCAAAATCTCATTCGATGGTCATCAATATGGTCCATCGAGTACCCCATCATAACTTGAGAAATCTTTTTTTTTTAAAAAAAAAAAGGTGGCCATGCAAATTAGACAGAGACATGTTATTTTCCTATCATTCATCGCTTTTCCAAGTACAATTGTGTTATGTAATATATGTAAACACAAATTTTTCCTCATTAACCTATGCTGTTTAATTGTTTGACTGCTCTTAAGATAAAAAATTTTCTTCACGTATTTTTGATTAAATTCCGTTAGGAAGCACCAAGGCATTGGTTTTGTGCCTGTGTCAGAAATTTAAAATATAGTAAGATTGAAAAACTGCAACTCCGGATGATTTAAATAAAAAATGGATAAGAACGAGAGACGATTAAAAAGAAAGTTTCGTGGAGAAGTAAAAGACAATAGTTGTCCAAGAATTTATATTATAACGCCTAAAATGACCGAGTTGAAGTAATGAGGAGATTCCAAATCGACTCTGTTAGATATCAAGATACGTTTAGGAATCACTCTCGTACCAAAAATAAAAATTACTTTAAACATTAAATCAAATTTGAGAGAATTCAGGGGTTGTACTCTCATCAAAGATTTGAACTTTTTTAATAATCCTCTGTCATCCTTAGATAGTTCTCAATTATATCCACATATGATGAAACCAGACATCCAAATCCCAGGACTAGATTAGTATGGGTGTTGACTAAAGCTCGAGTACGACACGACGGAGTTAATTTCAAGTAATAGTGGAATAAGTGTAGTGTTTTAAAGGAATTCATGTACAGCCCACTAATTGTATGCGTATATATAAAGTCTTTTTTCTGTCAACCAAACCGCAGATACTTTGATCAGTGAAGTATGTTTATCAGCCTACAATGCTTTTCATTTTGTTTCATGTTCTATTGTTGATTGGAGAGAAAATTGAAAGTCGATACATACATATATATATATAGATTAGAGGTTAGGCAATGAAAAAGATTATATTGCTCTAATTAAATCACGATGGAAACAACGATCTATTCTAAGCAAAACTGGTAATACATATTAACGGTTGATCATGGCATCTCCTGCAGCATTAAGGACTTGATGGTCTCATCACAAATAAGGCTTGTATTGACGTCAACTTCGGTTGATGATGTATATGGTGGTTTTTCTCTTAACTGGTACAATGAAAGAGTTTGACCTTATAGGCGAGCTAATTGTTATATCTGTAAAACAAGTCATTTTTGGAGGGTAAAAGGACTCTCATGACTGAGTATTTTAAGAGACAGTTGAAGAGAAATAGTAGGCTCAGTATGTTTATAAATAATAAGACAAGTAGTAGAAAATGATGAATAATTGTTGCTAGAACCAGCGACTTTAAGTCTTGGTGTTGTTTATATAGAAAAATGTTTTATCAAATTGCATATATTAAGGGATATAATGATCTTTTTTTTTTTTTTTATGTCATATGTATTTGTAGTCAATTATTCAAGAGACAAATATCTTTTATACTGAAATGATTTGTTTTGAAAAAATATCACAACTTCATAATTATTATTGTCAAATATAGTTACCTATTCTCATTAGATAAATGCTCAATCCATCTTTTTTATAAATGAAATTATGATTAGTTATTCAAGATGAGACCTTTTAAAACACTCGTGAAAACATCTTAACGTAGGTTTATAATCATATTTATAACCAGAATGAAATCCTGTTTTTTTTTAAATATCATTTGAGTAGGAGTCATATAGGATCCGTTTAGAATTATATGATGACACATATCATTTGAATATATTTAGTGTATGGTCATAAATCTACACATAGTTATAATTATTAGTGGAATATTCATTTATTGTTTGGTAGATTTTGAATTTAATGAAATAAATTTTCTCATTAACTATCAAGATTCAAACCTTAGTCATAAAAAATAGTAAAATTTTCGTGAATCTTTAAATTTTAAATTCATTAATTTCAATTCATCAAAATGAGTTTAAAAATACCGTCTAGTCGTTAAATCCAAAGTAAAAGAGAAGAAATTAATTGAAAAAACCATTAGTTTGTGTATCGAAGCCGGTAAGTAGGTGGAAGACTAAGCCAATTGTCGATGGCGGGGCGTCCTACCTTGGCCAATCGATTAGTCACTGCCCCTCACAGGACAACATTCTTGTCCCACTTTAACTTTAATTGGAACACGGTAGAAGGCATCCTTCTCAAGTATTTCCTCTCTTCTATTCTTTTACCGTAATGAAATTGCAATTAATTTTTGCATAAAGGAAAAAAAAGCATGTATACTCAAGAAATTAAAATGGTATTACTATTGTTGAGAGGATTGTTTATATATATATATATATATATATATATATATATATATATATATATATATATATATGTTTTTTATTCAGGGCAATTAATTTTAGAATCCTCATCACTTTTGGACATGTTTTATGAGAATTTCTTGTTCACAGAGGACAAACTATTCAGCTTCTTTTTTTTTTTTTTTGAACATTATACGTTTTTTTTCTTATTAAAATTATAATAATGAACAGATGTATGTGTTCCACTATTGTTCTCTTCTTCTTTTTTCCTTTTTTTTTTTTTTTACCTGTTTTGGGTATATTATGCCTGCGTCGGTCATATACTCAAAAGTCAAAAGGCCAAAAAGAACCAATGGGATAATTCGAAGTGTCAGTTGGAAATATTTAGACCGAAACAAGAAAGAAGAAGGTTATCGGTTGGAATTTTCAGCCCTCTCAGCAGAAAAGAAAAGGGAATTAAAGAAAGAAGGCTATGACCGAAATGGTGGACTCAAAAAGGGCAAAAAGAACGATAAAGGTTGCAAGTTTTCCAAAGTGGAACCAAAAGAGCCTAGACAAAAGCAAAGTGGATAATATTATCCAGTAACTTTTTATGAAGATTCCTGAGAAGAAACGATGAGCAATTGCACTTTTTTTGGGCCGCGAGCTGGATCAGTCAGGAATATTCAAGGATGGGATTGTGAGAAAAGCCAGCCCGAGCCAGAGCCACAAAGAGGGCATACGATGCAAAGGTAAATGCAAAAAGAAAGGCCTAGTGTCTCGTGAATGGCGTTCTTTGATCCCCACTTCAACTTTTCACAGGAATCAACTACGGTAAACATGCATGAAAAATGTCCGATGCTATTTGTTCTTGACGACTCTAAAAGCTATCTCAAGGAGCGAGACTTTTTTTATATTTATAATCAAATATCCGGCTCTTTTTATCATTGATATAGAATAACGTGATAATCTTCATTTTAATACATTGGGCTCTAAATTTGTCGTTTTTCATCAACTTGATTAACATCGGTAAATGAAAAATTATTTAACTTAAACTCTGTAATCAATATTAGGTGTTTAGTTATAAGTATGAGAAAAAATCTGACTCTTTAAGCTATTTTTTAAGATCGACGAGGCTAATAGCATCCAACATTGATAACAAAGATCATGTTAAAATAATTTTTATATGCTAGCATCATACAAGTTGATGAAAAATAGCTAACTTAAGGTCCAATATATAGAGAAAAAGATTGTTATTTTATCTCATATTGGTTGCGGAAGGGACTGAATGATTTGTTATAAGTGCTGTTGAGTGCTATTAGGTCTTCTTAATTCTAAAAATTAACTCAAAAAATGAGACTTTTTCTCATATTTATAACTAAACATTTAACTCTTTCAACAACGAAGGTCGGATAATACAAAAGAAATTAAGGCAGAGAAATTGATTGAAAGTTCCATTTCAAGTAATTAAAGTCATACAGGAGTGGAGAAGTAACTAATTCTTAGAGAAAAAAATATAAGATAAAAGTAACTAGATGTTGTGTTATCCACCTCGGTTTTGAAAGAAATTGAGTTTTTTTTTATTATAACTTAGAGGAAAAACCTCACTCCTTAAGTTAGATTTTAGAGTAAAAATATTGCAGTTTTTTATTCGAAAAACAAGTCGATTTAGTAACTAGTTATTGATATCTTTGTACTGTAAATAAATAGATCCATAAAAAGAATTCATCTACAATTGCACTTGTATATTTATTAGGCTACTAAAAGTTCATCTTTATAAACATTTTGGAGAGGAGTGTTGTCTTCCAATGCGAGATAATATTCCCTCATTCCTATTAATATAAACCACACTAACACAGATGAATGAATTAAAAAATATATGCTTATTCTATGCACTTAATTCCCCATTTATATATAGCCTGTCACAAAAAAAGCGTGCACACGCACATATATATATATATATATATCGCTTGCATTTGTACGTTTTTTTTTTTTTTTTTTTGGATAAGCTAACATTGTATCTAAATTTTTTAAAACAATCATTTCTGAATATTATATATTCTAATATTTTTAAGCGAAGACACGTATTGTCATGACAACAAGAGGTCATGAGTTCAAATCCTATCATACTAATTATGTTAGAAGCTTTACGCGTATGAGTAAAAAAAAAAAAAAAAAAGAAGTGATAATGAAATGAAAAATAAAAATAAAAATTACATATAGCTTTATTCTCATGTGGAATATGAGGATAAAAACAAGAAAGTAGAATAATTTTTTTTATTTTCAAAATAATAATAAATTATTTTTATTATTTATTATGTATTAATTATTTCTACTCGCCATCATGCATAACTACTAACACCACCATCTCTATTGATGGTAGTGATAAAAGAAATTGTTATTATTATTATTTTATGACCATTCTTTCATCATCATCACCATTATTATCATTTTATTATACCACCACCACTATTCTTTCTTCACTACCACTTTATGTAGTGAAGGTATCAATTTTTTAAAATATATTATTGTTATTAATTACTATATTGCTATTACTATCATCCCATCTTCAACTATCCTCCTATTCGTACTCCATCGTTACCAACTATGGCAATCACTTTTATTATTTTTATTATTATCATAGTTGATGAAATTATTTTTTTAATCATTATTTTTATTCATAAAAAAATCATATATTAAAAAATTAAATTAAATTTTAATTTTTTATTAGTATTCCAAATATAATATAGAAATGTAAATATTATTTTGATTTCACATTTTTATTTCAAACCTTTTATTCCTAATAACCAAACAACGACTTAGTATTGTTATTAAAAAAATAAACAGATCGAAAAGGAAATTTCTAATAACAAAAATATATTAAGATAAAAATCAAATATTATATTTTGTGATACATCATTAATTAAAAAAAAAACAGAAATAATTATTCTCTATCATCCAAAAAAATTAGAATATAAAATTCAATTTGATCAATAAAACCAATAACATAGAAAGTTGAATTAATTAATATGGAGAATGACATCACCTTGGCAATGTTGCTAGGAACCTGAAGCACTGATATGAAAACTATTCTCATTAGCAGCACCGTTGCGTATTTATGATTTAAAAGAAAAAATGAAAACAACAAAACAAAACAGCATCATATATTTATCCAAAAAGAAAAAAATTAAGAAGATTACGGTTCAACTTCTAAACAGGCCGAACCTTTTCCAAGCCGAACTAAAATCTCAGCCGAGGCCCATTTTTAAACTTTCGCGCGAGACCGAACCCGGTAACCCGGCCTTTTACAGTATGACGTCACTGAAGAATAATTTCTTGCTCGCGTGTCAGCCCCTTGTTTCCTTCCTCAAAAAATTCACCATTCTCTAAGGGCACCTTCGTCATTACGGAACAACGTCAAATTGCATCCTCCCCTTTCCCGACTCACTCCTTAAGATTCTCAAATACGAGAATATCTATAACTCGTTCGACACCGTGCCACGTGTCTTCACGTGATCCACGATATCTTCCAAGATCGCATCTCTCACCATTTACAGCCATTAACCCTTCACATCAGCAGATAAATTCCTGTGCCCAAATCAAGTGGGAACATTTTTATTTTTTCTGCTTTTTCTAATGAGAAATTAGAGATTCTAATTTGATCCTTTAATTTAAATAAATATTTTTTTTACGTTGAATACAAACACATCACTATAAAGTTTCACGAGCCTATAATTTATCATAATAAACATATTAGTTAAAATAAATAAGAAATTGTATGACGTCACTGAAGAATATTTTCTTGCTCGCGTGTCAGCCTCTTGCTTCCTTGCTCAAAAAGTTCACCATTCTCCAAGGGTACCTTCGTCATTACGGAACAACGACAAATTGCATCCTCCCCTTTCCCGGCCTTTTTGAATCGCAATAAACAGATTCTAATTTGTAACCCGGCCTTTTACTGTATGACATCATTGAAGAATATTTTCTTGCTCGCGTGTCAGCCCCTTGTTTCCTTCCTCAAAAAATTCACCATTGTCCAAGGGCATCTTCGTCATTACGGAACAACGTCAAATTGCATCCTCCCCTTTCCCGACTCACTTCTTGAGATTCTCAGATACGAAAAAATTTTATAATATATAATAATTAATTAGTGGCGTATACATGTAGTTATTTTTTAGGTACATTTTGAAGAGAGAGATAGACACATAAAAAAAATTACATCTATATCCATCAAAAGTGATAAGAAAATTTCTACGTCTTTTCAATTTTTTTTATTTTCTTTTTCCTATTTTTCTCTCTCTTTTGGTGTGTCTATCTATCTCTTCAAAATAGGTCAAACGAATAAGCTATTATACATGCCATTGAGTTCATTATTTCGTATTATAAAATTTCTCTTCAAATACGAGTATATATCTGGCTGGTTCGACACTGTGCCACGTGTCTTCACGTGATCCACGATATCCTCCAAGATCGCATCACTCGCCATTAACAGCCATTAACCTTCCACATCAGCAAATAAATTCCGGTGCCCAAATCACGTGGGAACATTTTTATTTTTTCTGCTTTTTCTAATGAGAAATTAGAAATTCTAATTTGATCCTTTAATTTAAATAAATATTTTTTTACTTTGCATGTAAACACATCACTATAAAGTTTCACGAGCCTATGATTTATCATAATAAACATATTAGCTAAAATAAATAAGAAATTGTCCTTGAACTGATCATCATTTGTTAGTTAATCTAATTTCCTCCATGTAATTGACAAAAAACTCCATTTAATTTAAAAAAAGAAAATAAAAACGTCAAGAATTTAGACTAGACTCAACTCAATTTATTTTAATTCTTGTAAAAAAAAATAATAATCAGAAAATAATCATTCAAACAAACAAGAAACCGGTTGGATATTCGATTTTATCCTCACTAGCAAACAAAATAATAATAATAATAACAACAGAATCGCCTTAGATTTCCCATATCGAGACAAAACTATTCAGAGCACGGTTTTTGATCTCGTGCCAAGTCAGAAATAAGAATCCTACTCGGCAGTGCTGGAACCTTCATTTGTTGCACGTCAATAAGAGGAGAAAACGGAATGATAGCATAATATATTTTCTGGTGTGTTTAGAGCTGCTTTCTCTGCATGTGTTTGTTAGTTTCCAGCTGATGCTATATTTCAACCTATCTTTTTTAGCCGTTTCTTTTTGCAAATCATGTTAGAGAAGCCATAGGGTGAAAAACATAGATCTTTATATTGTTATCTAATTTGTCAAGGTTTGGTGACTTGAATTTTCAAGGTTAATTGGTGAGACTCACTGGATCGAGAGGGAAGGGAATTCATAAGGTATATAATCACTCAAAATTTGCTTGAAAATGAAATGAATTGTTTTTGCTACAAATTTTGTTCTGTTCAAAATTTAGTTTCTCTCTTCTTTTTGGTTTGTGAAAATTTTTATCGCTCAAAATTTGCTTGAAAATGAAATGAATTGTTTTAGCAACAAATTTTGATTTGTTCGAACTTTAGTTTCTTTCTTCTTTTTAGTTTGTGAAATTTTTTTAAACTGTCTGTCGGTTGCTGAGAAATTGAGAAATTTGGCTGATCAGGTGAAGTCTTTTTTATGGTTGAATTTTTGAGTTCCTATTCTACTTTTCTGTTCTTCTCATGCGTTCATTTTTTACAGTTTGGAAGCCATATTTTTTGGTTTACCAGGTCAACGACGGACAGTTTCGGTCTTTGTTACGATCAGTTCGACCTTTGATAATTTTTGGTTTTGAAAAAAAATCTGAATTAATTTTTTTCCCTCCATGTTCTTATCAACCCTGCCAATAGGAATTGATCATTTTCTCTCTCAAAAAACTAAAATATGTAGCATAGGTTCATTAGAGTTCAGAGGATTATGTATTATATGTGCGTATGTTTTTGCTGTGTGGTTAATTTAACGTCTTCAATCACCCAAACAATTCAAACATAAATGATACAAAAGATAGTATTTCCTTTTCTTATTTATTTTGTATAATATTCTCAGCTATCAAAATTTGAGCATTCAAAATTTTGTATCATTTATTGGGATTCTGATTTGTGATGAAATCTAATGTGTAATTTGTTTATCCTGTGTAGGACTTGTTGAGGTATCGTGTTTGCTAGTTGCACTTGGTATCTTGTAGACACAAGAATGTGCCATTGCACTTGCAGGACAAGGGATGTTTTCTCAGCTACTTAATCTGGTGTATTCCTCGTTGTTGTCTTTTCGAATCTGATTGATTTTGATAGTTCAAACGAATAATAATGGCCAATGATTTTGCGGAACGAGATCATAAAGTAGAAAATGAGCAGAAGGAAATAAGGGGTGGGATCATGGGTGAGGGCCAGGAGCTCTCCGAGGAAGATGATGAGTCACAGATTAGCAAGGACGGACAGTTGGTTCAGGTCCAGACTCATGGGAATGGTGTCATGCAGAGGCAACAGCACCGGTCTCAAGGGCCTTCGGTTCACTGGGAGAGGTTCTTGCCTCTTCGGTCTCTAAAGGTTCTGCTTGTGGAGAACGATGATTCAACCCGCCATATTGTCAGTGCATTGCTTAAAAATTGTGGATATAAAGGTAAATGAGTGATGATATGTCGTTAATTTAAGAGTTTTGGGGATGGATGAACGATGAGTTGAAAAGTGGAATTTATGAGAGAATTTATTTTGAAAAAATAAACAGGTAAGTGGGCTGCGCAGAGGGGAAGCTAAATGAGGGCGATTTTTATTTTCATTTTTTTTTTTTACAATCGATAATAATAGTTGATAATGCAAAATTAACCAGGAAACGCTCTCCTTCTTTCTCTTTGGTATCATTCTTGTTTCTAGTTTTATATTTTCAGAAATCAAAGATTTTCTTTTGATAAAAAGAAAAAAAACCATTTATGTTGTTTAAGCAAAAATAAAAATCATTAAAGGTGGAATCTTTTGTTTTTATAACTTGCTAAAATTTTTAATTATTTTTAAAATTTATTTGAAGAAAAGGATGTTATATAAACTTAATTTAAATAATAGGAAAACTATTAGTGATAATGACATATTGAAATTATAGTGACAAGATGAAAGTAATAAGGCAAGGACTATTACGTCACAATGATAATTAACGAAATTGGTGGTTGTAAAACGTAATTGATGAGAATGAAGGGTGAATGATCGATTTAGAATTATATGAAGAAGGTGAAAAGTATAAGGACTAAAGGCGAAGCACAAAAAATTAAAAAAAATCGTTCCCCTTCCCTATTGCCTAGCGCTTCCCTCAAGGATATGTGTGGTATTAGAATAAAAGGGTAGGTTGTCTTTCCACCTATTTTAATCGAGTTTGGTACAATTTGTGAAGGACGTAAAAATTTCGGGATAACATTTAACCCGAAAAGAAGTTAAATGTTAACCTAACAGTGGGATAAAGGAGCTTTAGGAGGATTTTGATTTTCTTGTCGTTCCCTCCCTCCTTTTAATTTAATTATTTTAGTCTTTGTCTCTTTGGCTTTTCATTTCCGACCATAAAGTATTGTTTATTTTCTTATAATTTTATTTAATTTAAATTTTGATGATTTAATTATATTGAGAACCACTATTATCCTTCTTTTTTTTTTTTTTCAAACGTAACCTGAAATACTTTTTAGTATTAATTATTATTTAAATAATTTAAATAATAAAAATATTTTCATGACAGTTTACGCATATTAATATTAAATATTAAGAAATTAGTTTCTTACAATTTTTTTTAGGATTGGAATATCCTAGATGATTAATATAGAGAGAACCAACCCATTTAATTTACGAAACTAAGTCTCCAAGACAGCTTTTCATTTCACGTGGAAAGTTATTTATATCACAAACAATAAGGCATAAATCTATTGCAACCAAAATATTAAAATTTATAGAAAGTTCTAAATTCATGTAAATTTCTGGAAACACAAATTTGTAATAGTTTATCTCTTACTGATCTATTTTGTGTCAAATTCGAATAAACATGTTCCATATATATATTTCGTAAATAACATATACTGTTTTTTAAAATCCTTCCAAGTTATATAACCGTTTTGAGAGGTCTTATTTTTTTGATCCTCTTTTCTTGAAGTTCTAGGTTCGCCACACGGGTATGGGTAATGATTGAAGCATTTGGGTATGGCAAAAACCACCTCGTCTCTTTTTTTGTGTTTTTTTTTTTGTAAAATAACTTCTTTTTTTGTGATTTTATGTTTCTTTCATTTATTTAACCGTAACTTTTTTAATAAAAGATCTCTTAGATGTCATATAAAATTAATGATTGGTAATGGAATAAAAAGTTAAAACTCTTTGAAGTATCCTAACAAATACATGGAAAATCTCCCTTTTGGTGTCTGTTCTTCCCATTTATAAAGCTAAATACTCTCTCTCTCTCTCTGTATTTTTCGTTTTTAGTTACGGCTGTAGCAAATGGTGTGCAAGCTTGGAAGCTCTTAGAAGATTTGACCAATCACATTGATCTTGTTCTAGCTGAAGTAACCATGCCTTGCCTATCGGGAATTCACCTTTTAAGCAAGATTACGAGCCAAAAAACTTGCAGAAATATTCCTGTAATTAGTGAGTACATTTTCACTATTTCTTTCTTGCATATGGGACTGACATCGTTTTACAACTTTATTCTTAACAAATCGATACTTGTAAATGCTACACCTGCTGAGTTTTTTGTGCAGTGATGTCACCCCATGATTCCATAAATATAGTCTTTAAGTGTTTGTCAAAGGGTGCAGCTGAATTTTTAGTGAAGCCTATTCGAAAGAACGAGCTTAGAAACCTTTGGCAACATGTTTGGAGGAAGTGCCACAGCGTGAGTTGCTATAGTTATTCTGCCATTTTATGTATCAATCTATAACATGGACCATTTCTGGATTCTAACTTCACGTCTGTCTTACATATTGCATTTAAATATCAATTGTTGAGAATTTCCAACTTAAAAGGAAGATGTCAATTTGCTTGGAGCACCACCATTGATCCTAATTCGAACTATTTATATTGTGGAAGCTTTGTACGGATGTCCGTTGGCGTTTTATGTTTTCATAATATTTACCACCTGAGTGGAATAGGATTAGAAGAAAGTGCAAAGTTTTGCAATTCTGTTTTGCGTTCACCATTCATCATTTCATCAGGCTAGTGGCAGTGGGATTGAGAGTGCTGTACAGACTCAGAAATCCACTCAGTCAAAAAGTGCTGAGGAGTCCGATAACAGCAATGATGAGGATGGCTATGGAAGCATCGGTTTGAATGCAAGGGATGGAAGTGGTACCCAGGTATTCATTTTTAAATGGACAAGCAACTATTTATCATTTCCCAGTCTTCATGTTGATCTTTCAGATTGTACAACTAACTATTTCTATTTTCCTCCAATTTCTTTTGATATTCATATCACCTCGGTTGACTTACGTTCGTTGTATTACTAAAGAAGCGTGATCTTGCATCCATTTAGTCTAAATTAGGTACACGGTCGTCCCGTACACATCCACATGCATAATTCCATGTAGTCTGCATACAAAACATATGCAGAGTAACAAATGACACGGATCTTCTTATTGAAATGATCTTTACAAGATCGGTAGCTTATGGCCATTGAGTTTATTGCACCTCTTTCTACCAAAGTAGAAAATTTATCGTGCAAGCACAGAGATATTTATATACTTGCTTGTATGAGCATGTCTTCACTCTTAGGATGGATCTCTAAGAAACTACTCGACTTAAAGACATCAACAAGCATGTCTTAACTCTCAGCGGGTAATAGACAAATATCCTGTGTTATAACAACTAGTGACTGAAACTTCAGCACTGATATATATTGTGCCCATAAGGAGTTAGCCTAGAAAACGAAGAGCTTGGATTATGATGGTGAGAAAACACAGGATAGCTTTGATTTGAGGCCACATGATTCATACCAGCTAGAATAACTGTCCTGTATTTGTCTGTGGGTGTATGAGTGTGTGCGTCCACGGGCGAGTGTCTTATGTGTGTTTACATAATGCACGCATAGGTACTTTTAGCCAAAAAAAGTGTACCTTAATACATTAATGGTGATACATGGCAGATTTCTTATAGAAGGTCCGAATCAAATAAATAATAAAAAAATTAAAAATTAAGCCATCCTGAAATATTTGAATGAGCATTTATGTTCTAGCAGGTTCAGATCAGTATGTTAGCTTCTGGTTTTGTATTCGTCATTTCCTTTACTTCATTTTTAGTCTTCTTTAGCTTTCTAGTTCTTTGATGGGCATGTATTCTTCAATGTTTGGTCTATATTATAGGCTGGTATTCATGGAATCGGTTACCTTACCTCCTGAACTCTATTTTTCATCAACATAATTTGATCACCCAAAAAAAAACCTTGTTTAATATCTGAATGAACACTTGTCTTCCGTCCTTGTAGACTTCCTGGACAAAGGAGGCGGTTGAAGTTGACAGTCCCAAACCAGTGTCACCATGGGACCAGGTGGTTGATCCTCCTGATAGGACATGTGCCCAAGTTATTCATTCAAAGCCCGAGGAGGGTGACAACAACTGGGTGCCTGTGGCTGCAACAACGAAGCGTGGAGAGCAGGATGATGAAGTTGGTAAGCATGGGTCTGTATTAAATTAAATAATTGAGCCTTGTGGATGTGAGCCCTTTATCAACTTTATATAATTGTTTATTTATTGGATGTAAGAAATGTTTTCTAACGGTCTGTTTGCAGCAATTGTTTCTGAACTTTCACTCTCTGATATCCCCTCATCTCTGTCCTTTGCTTTACCTCTGATTATAATTATCCTGCATTCAATGTTTAGAAAATATTGCCATGGGTAAGGAATTCGCGATGGGCGTACCTAGAATTCCAAACTTGCAGCTTAAACATCCAAGCAAAAAGGTACCGACCAAAAAGGCTGGCAATAACGGAGAGAAATTCCCTGAAATAAAATCAAAGCAGGACGGTGGGCAAATAGAGAAGGGACAGCTGGAGCTCAACCGTGAGAAACACAAAGCAGAATTGAGAAATCAAGGCAATGATAAAAATGGTGTCATCATTAACGATACTAATCCTCAGATTGAAAGTGTAGTAGACATCCCAAATGGCCTCTCCTCTTGCAAAAAAAATGAAGCCATCTATGAGACCAAGGAGATGCCTTCTCTGGAGCTGAGTTTGAAAAGGTTGAGAGATATTGGAGATACTGGGACCAGTTACCATGACCGAAACGTTCTGAGACATTCAGACCTATCAGCATTCTCAAGGTAGGATAAATTTGGATTCTGATTACAGCCATCCTTTTGACCTCCTATGGAACTACATTTGAAAGTTGAAGAATCTTCATTACGGTGCAGGTATAATTCTGCTTCAGCCGCTAATCAAGCTCCCACAGGGAATGTAGGTAGCTGTTCTCCACTTGACAATAGTTCAGAGGCAGAAAAAACAGAATCAATGCAAAATCTTCAATCTAACTCAAATAGCACGCCTCCTAATCAGCATTCCAATGGAAGCAGTAGCAACAACGATATGGGCTCTACAAATAATAATGCGTTCACAAAACCATTAGTAATCAGTGACAAGCCAGCACCCAAATCGACAGTTAAATGGCTCTATCCCTCTTCTGCCTTCCAGCCAGTGAAGAATGACCATGCACCTCTTCCTCAGTCCATACAGGATAAGAGCGATGCTGCAATCAGTAACGCAATTTCGATTCAATCAAGAGGCAAGAACCAGCAAGTCCAGGTGCAGCACCATTATCACCATTATCATCATTACCATCAACATGTTCATAACTCATCCCAGCTGCAGAAGCAAGCCAATCATGATGATTTGTACTTACAAAATATGGCGGCGGCAGCTCCCCAGCATGGATCATTCAACATGTTGAGCACGCCCTTGGAAGGTAATGCTGGTAATTACATTTCGAATGGACGTGTCTCAGGAAGTGACCATGGAAGCATCGACCAGAATAGAAGCAGCACCGCTTTGAATCCCAGAGGAATAAATATGAAGAACAATAACGGGGCAGCTGGGGAGGGCGGAACTCCCGGAGCAAGTAGTGTAATTGGGAGCAGGGCTGGAGTTGGTCAAAACCGCTTTGCACTGAGAGAGGCTGCTTCGATCAAATTCCGCCAGAAGAGAAAAGAGAGATGCTTTGAGAAGAAGGTAATGAACTTGCATAAAATAGCATCATTACATAGAAAGCAACGAGCTTAGAATTCATTTATTTTTCACTTAAAAATTCTAGTGGCAAGATTCCTAGCATATACCGGTCTTGGTGAAAGATGGGACAATTTGAACATTGACATCCAAAAAGATCCCTCAATTATTAACTTTCGTATGCATGGATAAACACCCAAAAATGCAATCAATCGACATGAACTTGCCAGGCACAAGAATTTTATTTAGCTGTTATATTCACCAATGAAAACATTAGCAATCCCTTCCTTTCTGATAATAACAGTCATCTAAGTAAATTTGTGAAACTCAGAATAGTGCTTGTATTATGATGTTTTCTGTTGTTACTAAATTGTAGTATCTAAACTTCTCCAGTTCTCCAATGTTACATATCTTTTCTAGGTTCGATACCAAAGTAGGAAAAAGCTGGCAGAACAAAGACCCCGGATTCGAGGACAATTTGTGCGACAAGTGGCACATGAACATAAAGATAAAGATGATGATGCCCGTAGCTAACACCACACAAACCCAACTTATTCGCGTGGAATTTTGTCAATGAGATTGGTTGGATTGTGCTTGGCAGAAAAAAAGCTACAGAACTGCTGTTATGGAAGACAATTTCATTCTATAATTTTGGACTGATATAGACGTTGCTATTACTTTAAGAGGGACTTAAACTTGAAAGATTCACCCTGATCCGTTGTCGCATACATAATACCTAGTGCTCAGAAGTTCCTTGACAGGGAAACCTTCTCTAATAAATGAAATCTTCAACTTAATGTGCACTAATTTAGATGTTGCTAGAATGTAATACAACAAGAACATAGAAGTTCCTTTACAGGGAAGCCTTCTCTTATAAATGAAATCTTCAATTTAATGTGTTGTACTTTATTGAAAATGCATTTGGTATGTTAGACAGAACTGAACTAGATATGATAAACTGTAAAGTGTTTGATGTATGTATTGGATAGAATAATTCTTATTTTATTTAAAATTGTTTCTGAAATAAATTTTTTGTCCCATCATGGGGGTGGAAAACGATTGTCAACGAAATCATTATTACTCAATTTTTTATATTAATCATTATCTATTTATCATTCATTTATTTTTAATTAGATTGACTAGAGTTTGACTAGATTTATCTATATTTTATTAAAATGAATCTTTATATATAGAAGCTTAAATGCAATTTTTTTTTTTTTAGATTTATATTCCAGATTGCATATACCAAAAATCAGAGGAAAAAGGACTAAAATGTCTTGAAAAATAAAATATAAGGCCTTATATAAGTTGTTGAAAAATTCTAAGGACCAAAATAAACTTCATCCACCTTATCATGTTAAGTTTACCAAATGCAGGACGAGAATATGTACTTGTTCAGTCAAATCTCATCTATTCTCCAGTTTAATTATATTTATTTCTGTTTAATCTAATTTTATTTTTCTCATTCTATTTAACATACCTAACACATCCTATCACCCCGAACTTAGTTCCACCAAAAAGGTGCTCGAAACTTGAAAGATTATCAAATGGTTTTAATTGCAACTAAATTCGCTTCAATAAAATCACATGTAAGATAGAGTAAATACCTAAATATATAATTTTAACAGAAGTTAATAAGATGCCTATCTCTTATTATGATTGAATAAGTTTTTAAACAATTATCCAAAAAAATTAATACACTCAATACTTGGATGATATAACACTTTACTTAACATTTATATGATTAAACTAGTAATCATTTATTTAATCTAATTCTGTATTTTCATTCATCATAAACGTGTGTAACTCACTATTAGAGTCTAATGAACTCTAAACCTTTTTATTGCCACTTATAAATTTAAAATAAGATATGACATATAGATTATGTTAGGAAATATTTCTTACATTCTCATACTTATTTTATATTACATTACATGAAAAGTGAAATTTTCTTTTTATATAATCCTGAATACCAATAAATAGAAAAATCATACTTAGATTAAGAATATAACATATAAATCACAACAGTCATACTTTATAACGAAACACTTTATTTCATGTATTACAACCTATTACAAATATTTTTTTAAAAAAAAAGCTTTATAAGTGAACTTTTAATAATTTATCCGGATCTAATTTTATGTATTCTAATTAATCCAAAAAAATTATTTATGTGCATAAAGCTTACATTAGTTTCTAAAATAAAATTGATGTTAAGAAAAGCTCTTATTTGGAGTTTTGGAAGACTGAGAATTGCTGGAAGGATGCGTACTTGCGAGATTTGCGTAAGATACGATACCTTTAAATAGCCATACTGCAATAAAAATAGAAAAGGCAGAAGATAGCATTGGATATGAATGTTGCATCAATCAATTTCATTATCTGTACGAACACATACTTGGATGGAAATGGCTCAAGATTTTTATTTTATTTATAAAAAAATGCTAGTTACTGAATTGTAGCTCAACTGTCATTTGAATCCCTCTGTTGCGAATGACGTCAATGGACACTTAGCCCATTAATTCAATCTATTACCTACCCTACCATTAAAAAATATTGTTCCCACACCCATTGAAAAATTACCTTTCAAGTTTATACCCAGCTCATTCATTACCCATTTAATCTAAAGATAATTTATCAAAATTTTCATTTTAGTTCTTGTATTTTTAAAAAGTTATATTGATCCTTGAAATTAATATATTTTATTTCGTCCTTTATTTATTTTTTGTCCTCGTAGTTTCATAAAAAATGTTTGGTCCCTATTTTACAAAGTTTATGCTAAGTCTTTGAATGTTAATTTTTTTCATAAAAAAAATTAATTGGTATTAGTAGGATATAAAAAAATGCACATATCGAAAAATCATATTAAACGATATATATATATATATATTCAATTACTTGGTTTATTATCATTTATACTTCCTCTCATCATCAAAATATCTTAGTTCGAATCTCTTCTTTATAACCAAAACAAAAAAGAGTCAATACCATTTTTGGCGCATATGATTGTTAGAAAAAAATTTGTATCAGCATACAAACAGTGTTCACATTTCCCACGCGGCCATTCTCTAGCTTCATTTTTGGATCTTAACATCCTGATATCCACTTTTCAAAAACGAATGGAATCGAAGTAAATGGAGAAGGGGAGAATAGGGGTTGTTTATGGATGAATTATGGCAATAAAATTATTAGCAAGCAATAGCTAAGTAATCTTATCCTTTTATTTTCAACCTGTGAAAAAGTTTTCCTTATTTGTTTGCGTCCCTTGCCATGGTGGTTAAGAAGATTTGGCAGTCCTTGCCATGCTCAGAAGGTTCAGCAGACTATGGATGCTTGAACAGGCCCCTGGCCCAAGTATCCGGCAACTCCAGGGCTCAGATTTTCGACTACGTTCGGCTGCGATCGTAGGGCTAACCCCAAACTTTTGTGTGCTACAAATCAATAAATATAGTTCACGGTGAATCGATATTTATATATCAAAAAACGCATTACAGAAAACAATTTTCGTTGAGGATGTTTACATTATTCGGTTAAAATCGAAAAATCAAACTGAATTAAATCGAATTAGCAATTTTGATTCGATTTTTAAAAGAAAATTGAAAAACAAATAAATAAAAAATTGAAATTATTTCGGTTCAGTTTGTTTTTTTTTTCAAATTCGGTTTCCACTGAAAATCAAATTAGTTTAAAAAAAAAACTCATACCCAAGCTCCTTTTTAAAAAAATAAAAAATAAAAGAGGCATCCATGGGTTTAACTAAAAGAACAATAGTTTTAATGATTTTTTTCTACTTAAAATAAAAATATTTTTCATTAATTATTTATTGAAATAATAAAATAATTGATTATATTATATTGATTCACAAACAAATAAAAAAAAAGACTATGATAAAGTAATTCTTGATAAATACACAAGTTTATGTGTCGGGGAATCCTAAAACCTCATAGAAAAAAAACGTCTCGTTGTATTAAAATTAGCACAAAAATGTCCCCTAAAAAATTTATCCGAAGCCACCGCATTTATAATAGTACTATAGTAGTATTAATAACAACTAACAATAATAATTTTTTCACTATTTTCATGCTTATACTAAAAATAAATTAAAAATTAGATTTTTCAGATTATCTATTCAATAATAAAATATTCTCAAAATAAGTAGATTAAAAAGAATATAAAAAATTAACAAAAAACCAATTGTAGCGTGAATGAAAAAATAATGAGAAACTCAACCAATCTAGTTTATAATATAAATAGAAATAAATTTCGTATAGAAAAATAATAATAATCTTACACAATTTTCTTATAAAATGAAATGTGAAATATACAATCTTTGATTATGCAATATTGATATTTTTTAAAAGCAAAATAATTCAGGTTTTAGAAAAAAATGTAAAAAAAAAAAAAAAAACAAGTTTAATTGAAAACCGAATCGAAAAATTCGATTTTTAACCGAAAAACCGAACCTCAATTCGATTCGATTTTGATTTTTTTTTAATCAATTCGATTAATCGAAAACCGAAAAAAATATCAAAACCAAACCAAAAACTCGCATGATCAGCTCTATTTAAATTCATGAGTTCGAGACTTCGACGATCATTGAGTTATCGCTTCTTTATATATATATATATATATATATAACAATAGGTAAAGTTCAAAAGGCAGTTCGAAAAAAATTATTACAATTTTACAAATTTTTCATTTCAATTAGACTTAGGATCATGTGTTTTGAAAAAAGAAACCAAATTAGTTTTTGAATATTGAGATAGAACAAGAATACTGCAGGACTAGAATACTATTATTCCCATGGTAACCAAGATAACATTTTAATTTTTTTTTATTAATTTTTTAACTATCAATCACCAAACTTTAATTATGATAATGAGATGTTGAGTTCCGATTTTAAACGGGTATACTTTTGATATTGTTATTCAGGATTTGATTTTAGAGGAAAAACATAAGGGAAAAAAAAAAAAAAAACTTCACTCTGATAGATTTGTTGGAATGGGGATGGCATGCTTGATATTCAATTGAAGAGAAACTTATCTCCTCCTTTCAAACAGTAAATTATAAATGAGCCTATCTAGTTTTAAGAAACAAATTAGTTAATTTTTTTATTTTAAAAATTATTATTTAATTTCTTACTCGATGTTGGTCATTCTTAATTTAATATTATTTTTATTCTATAAAATCTTTTATTTTTTCATTAATCTTTTCATATTTTTTTCTATTTCTTAACATAAAAAATCAAACTAAATTAAAAAGAAATAAAAAAAGATAAAATTATAAGCATATTTCAAAATATAAAAAATAATAATTATTTTTTAAAATAAAAAATATTTATCAATTTATTTCTCTCAAAACAAGAAAAACTAATTTATAATTTACTCCTTTGAAATAGATTCTTACCCAAAAAAAAAAATCGAAATCTCTTTCGTCCTCTGATGGCGGACTTTATTGCTCCGGAAATCCAGCCCCAAATCCAGGGTGAACCTTTGATGGAGCAAACTACAACCTCGGCCCAGTTCTATTGTTTTCTAAACTTTCACGCTGCGCGGTACCGAACCCGATAAGACGAGAACCCGACCCTTTTATTGTACGATGCCAAATAGAAGATATTTTCTTGCTCGCGTGTCAGCTCCTTGTCTCCTTTCTCGAAAAAATAGCGGCCACTAAGGTTATTTCTGTCAACATGGAACAAGAGATCAGTTGCGTCCTCCAAAGTCACAAATGCAAGAACATCTTTAACTCGCTGCACACCGCGCCACGTTTCATCATGTGATCAACCAGATCCTCTTTAGATCTCATCACTATTCACAGTCATTAGCGCTCCACGTCAGCAAATCAATTCCTCTGCGATATATCCGGGTGCATCCGATTTGTTTTCTTCTTTTTATAATGCGGCAGTGGATCCTCATCCAATTCTCGGTGGGCGACTCCAAAGTAAATAAATTTCAAGTAATTGGAAAATTACAAAATAATAATAATAAAAAGTAAATTTCTAGCGCTTCTAATTTTATGGGTTATATAAAGTTATAAGAAGAAAATATTCTATATAAGATTTCAAATTTGAATTCAGTAGTTAATCATATTTGTAAAAATATTTTAAGCTTTTATAAAAGACATAATATTATTTGTAAAAGTAATGTCAAAACTACTTAATTTTTTATTATTTTTTAATAAATAACGTGATATCATATAATTAATATTTTATTAATATTAAAATCTAGATTTTATTTGAAGTCTTTTTTTTTATACCACTTAATTTAAGAAGCAAAAACTTAATAAAAAAACGTTTCAGTGCCTTTTAGATATCCAAACCTGATCCTATTTAATTTAATGTCTCCACACCATTCTAGTTCGAATAAAAAAAATGTATGTGAGAATTAATTATTTTATCAATGCACTTGTATGAATTATTGTGTAATACATGACCAAAAAATAAAAAGACCTCAATTTCATATTTTACTGGTGTATAAATGAGCTGAGAATTTCCCGACTATTGGAAAGCAACTACCTTAAATCAAGCACAGAATGAACAGTAATCCATGCTAATTCAGAATCTTTTTTTTGTGGATAAATCATGCTAATGTTTAAACATATGAAATTGTTTGTTTAAATACTTGATTTTATCCACGTCAGCAATTGGCATTCTAAATACGTACATGGAAGTATCACCTTAGATTCACCGTATCGCGGCAAGTTTCCTCGCAGCACGGCTTTTGATCTCGTGCCAGCTCAGAAATCAGAATCCGTCCTGGCATCTGACATGGCACGGCTCGAGCCTTCGTTTTGTCCATGTCATCGAGAGGAGAAAACCGGACTAAAATATCTTTTCTAGTCTTTTTTTTTTTTTTCACCTTTCCCTGCAATATCTGTATTTTATTTAGTTTTTCTCAGCCAGTCAAGCCGTTTCTTCTTCTTTGCAGATTTTGTGAGTGAAACCCTAAAAAAGTACATACAAATTTGCTTTATCAGTCTTTAATCTTTTTTTTAAAAAAAAATACTTGAATTTTTTAAGGCTGATAACTGGATCGAGAAGGACAATGGAGTTTAAAAGGTAAAATCGTTTTTTGTTTTTTTTTTTACTGTTTGATACGTTGAAGCTGCTGCCCAATTTTTCCTGGAAAATGAAACGAATTGTACTGCTTTCTCGAGAAAGGCTGGAGTTTAATGGATTTATTTTTCGTTTTTTTTTCTTTTTGTGAAAATTTTGAAATGGTACTACTCCGTTAACTTACTAACTTGTTGTCTGTTTGGTTGCTGAGAAAACCGAGGAGAAAGAAAAGTTGTTTTGACTTCTTGAGGTTTGCTTCGAGGAAATGGAGCAGTGGCTTTTTTTTTTCAATTTGTGAATTCATGCCTTTTTAGCTGTTTTGAGCTACTATTTTTTGTTTACCTGGTCAGGATTTGACAGATTTTGATCTCCGTTACTAAAATCTGTTTCGTTTTTGAGAAAATTGAAATGAAGAAGAAAAGTATGGAAACTCGGATTCAAGAAGTTTGGACAGTAAGGGGAAAAAATTAGCTTGGAATTTTTTCATATGGTTGAAATTCATAATAAAAACCCAGGAGAGGAAAAAGGTCAAATTGGTTCGGGAGATTATTATAGGAGAACATGTTCTTGCTTTTATTGGGTCTTGTGGAAAAAGATTTCAAGATCTAGTTTTGTTTTATTGCTTTATGAAGTAAAATGTATTTTGATGTCCATTTTTTGGATTCTTTTATTGTTTTCTACAGTGAAATTTTATTTCGAGCGAGGGATAGGAGACAAGACATCAATATTGGTTCCACGTTGCAGGCTTGTTTGCTTGCCTTGAAATTAAAGAACAAAATTCTGACTCTTTATCTTTTTTTCTTTCCTTTTTCAAGGAGGAGTTTTGAATCTCATCTTTGATTATTCCCTGTCTGAAGAAAAATAAATGTTTGATGGTTTGGGTAAAAACCATTAAACATAAATGATACAAAAACTTTTTGTTTTCTTTTTCTATATTTTCTTGGCTTTTGATGTGTAAGATATTGCCAAGCTATCAAAATCTTTGAGCATTCAAAGCTCGTCTTACTATATTTCTGGGATTCCGGTTCCGTGTATGATATTTGATATATAACTTGTATATATTGTGTAGGACTTGTTGAGCTATTGTGTTAGCTGTGGTTACTATTTGGGCACAGTAGAATGCGTAATCTCTCTTGCAGAATAGGGAATGTTTTCTCACATAATCAGTCCAGTGTGTTCCTCGTTTATGTCCTTTTGAATCTGATTGATGTTGGCAGTTCAAATGAATAAGAATGCTTCCAATGACCAACGGGTTTGCAGAAAAAAATCGTATTGTAGAAGATGACGAGAAGGAAATGAGGGATAGGATCATGGGTGGGGGCCAGGAACTCTCTGAGGAAGATGAATCGCAGATTAATGAGGATGAAAAAGATGTGAATGATACAGGCACGAAATTGCTTCAGGTCCAGACTGATGCCCAAGCTGTCACTTTGAGCCAACAGCAAGAGTCTCAAGGGCCTTTAGTTCACTGGGAGAGGTTCCTGCCTTTTCGTTCTCTAAAAGTTCTGCTTGTGGAAAATGATGATTCAACTCGCCATGTTGTCAGTGCATTGCTTAGAAATTGCGGCTACGAAGGTAGCATTTTTATGCCGTCAACTCATCTTTGCTTAATAGCTAACTTGATCTATTATCTAAATTTGATACTTCACGTCAAGTAAAGAGAATGATATGCATGTGCTAGCAAGGTACTGTCATGGCTTGCTCTATTATTTTGATCCGAGAATGAGGACCTAAACTTCATATGAAAAAAGATGCATGGGGTAATGATAACTTATTATACTGTAGAATGCTTTGTGCAACTTCAGTCAAGTCTCTGTTTTTTTTTTCCCTTAGCTACCCCATTCTATTGAGATGTGAATAGGAAGTCTGACAAGTAATGCCCTGAGATGCACAAGAAACTGAAGATCCTCTTTCTCTTAAATCATGCAAACAAAAATATGCCAGTGATGGAAATTGTGAAGAAACTGTTTATCTAGCTCTCACTCCTGATTATCACATTTTTTAAGATTATTTGACTGTTTTATGTAGCTCTCACTCCTGATTATCGCTTTTTTGAAGATTCTTCGACTATTGAAGATTATTCATTTATATAATATTTTATTTTCCATTAGGGGTTTTATTAATTATGGTCTTTATTTTCTTTTCCCATTAAAATGGCTTTATTTAGGAACTTATTCTAGTGGTGCTGGCTTTCTCCCTATACCATTTGAAAGAAAGGCAAGTCCACCCTGAGACGTGTAGAAAGGAGAGTAACTAGTTATCGTGAGCAATAAAATATAATTCTGTAATGGTCAATAACTTTTTGTGTGTTTCGTCATTTATTTAATGCAACTTTTTAATTAAGGCTCTTAGATGTATAATTTAAGTGATGATTGGTAATGCAATAAATGTTCTGATTTCTCAAGGAAGTGACAGATAATGTAAATTACTCTTTTAATTATCCCAATAAACGCATGGAACTTTCTCCTCGTTGTTTCTCTTCTTCCCATTTATAAAGCTAATAATTGCTTTCCATTTATGGTCTCTCTCTGTATTTTTCATTTTCAGTTACTGCTGTAGCAAATGGTCTACAAGCTTGGAAGCTCTTACGAGATCTGACAAATCACATTGATCTTGTTTTAACTGAGGTGGCCATGCCTTTTTTATCGGGCATTGGCCTTTTAAGCAAGATTATGAACCACAAAACTTGCAGGAATACTCCTGTAATTAGTGAGTATACTTCTACTATTTTGTTCTTCCTTTTGAAACTGACACTGTTTTACGACTTCCACCTTAACAAATTGATACTTTTAACTGCTACACCTGTTGACTGTTTTGTGCAGTGATGTCATCTCATGATTCCATGAATGTAGTCTTTAAGTGTTTGTCAAAGGGTGCAGTTGACTTTTTAGTGAAGCCTATTCGGAAAAATGAGCTTAAAATCCTTTGGCAACATGTTTGGAGGAGGTGCCACAGTGTGAGTAGCTATACTTGTGCCAATCTGTGTATCAAAAAGTAACACGGGCCAATTTTTGGACTTTAACCACTGGTCTACCATATATATATGCATTTACTTGTGAATTGTCGAGAAATTCCAACTTGAAAGGAATGTGTAAATTTTGCTTGGAGCACCACCATTGATAAAAATTTCAACGATTTACGTTGGCTTTTTCTGTTTTCACAATATTCACCACTTTCAGTGATATAGGATCACAAGAAAGTGCAAAATTTTGAAATTCTGTTTGCATTCTCTATTCATCGTTTCATCAGGCTAGTGGTAGTGGGAGTGAAAGTGCTGTACGGACTCAAAAATCCACGAAGTCAAAGAGTGCCGATGAGTCCAATAATGGTACTGATAGCAATGATGACGATGACATTGGAAGCATTGGTTTTAATGCAAGGGATGGAAGTGACAACGGAAGTGGTACCCAGGTAATAATTTTAATTTTAATTTTTTTTTTTTTTTTGGTTTTTTTATAAACAAGCTTATACTTTGAATTTATGAAGGGGAAAAAAAGGTACATGGATAGTAATAGAATTGTTGGTAACGGTATTTCTTGTACTTTGGGGACTACCATTTTTTTTTTTTATGCCAGTGAAAACTGGGACTTAATAATTAGAAACTGTTAAAGATACCACTCAGCCACCTGTCAGTGATTATATATTTAAATGATGTACCCAGCCAAATTCAATACTGTTATTTGCAATCAATCAAGAATTAAAATATTCAAGTAAAAAATTTGCATCCTGTCATGTACTGAAGAACTTTACCATTCTCTGGCTTTCCATAATCAAGTTTCAGTAACCCTAGAATTGATGTCCAATAAATACAAGCACTAGCTGGGTTTGATAGCTCAATTGACTTATATATGCGTATCACTAAAAAACATGATCTTGGTTCTGTTCAGTCTAATATTAAACACATGGTTTCCGCACACACACACATATGCTTGAATCTATGTATTACATGTGCAAATGAGAGTGAGACGCAGAGTAGCAGAAGGCACGGATGTCAGAAAATTTATTGTGTGTCTTAAAAATAACACCAGTAGCTTGTTGTTATTGGGTTTATTGCATATCTTTCTACAGGGGTTGAAACTTTATCATGCAAATACTAAAATACTAACTCTTCAGTAGACATGGATAGATAGCCATGCTAAAAAGGATGGATCTCTAATAAAGAATTCGTGTTAGAGACATTGAAGACTAAATGCAAGAGAAGAAAAGGTGAGTTCTTTGGTCTTGTGTTATAAGAAACTGATAACTTAAACGAGTGATATGTATCTAGTTCCGAAGGAGATAGCCCATAAACTAATGTACGAGGATTAGGATGGTGAGAAAACACAGGATGGTGTTATTTGACGGCATAAACCCTATGGTTCAGGAAAAAAAAAACATTGATAAAACAGAATTGGCCAAAAAGGTTACGTTTAGTGAGCACAATTTCAGATAAGACTATGCGATTCTGTATTTTCCTTTGTTTGTCAGTGGGTTTGTTAATGTGCATGTGTGCAAACAAGGATGTTTTTTATGTGTGTATAGACAATGTATGCAAATGTTAGCTAAGAAAGGTACCTTAGCATATTAAGGGTAATGGATGGCAGATTTCTAACAGAATGGCACATCCTGTGGCAAAGTCATATTCAAATATCTGTAGGGACACTTACGTTCTGTCTCTGCAGAGTTCTTGGACAAAGAGGGCCATCGAAGTTGACAGCCCCAAACTAATGTCACAGTGGGACCAGGATCCTCCTGATAGCACGTGTGCCCAGGTTATTCACTCAAGGCTTGAGGCATGTGACAACAACTGGGTGCCTGTGGCTACAATGAAGAAGTGTGGAGAGCAGCGTGATCAACTTGGTATGCTTAGCTCTGTATGCAGTGATTGTTTTTGGATTTTCACTCTCTGATATCCCCTTATCTCTTTCGTTTTCTTGACTTCTGATTATAATTGTACTGCATTGAATTCGTAGATAATATTGTCATGGGTAAGGACTTGGAGATAGGAGTACCTAAAATTCCAAATTTGCAGCTTAAAGATCCAAGGGAAAAGGTATTTACCAACATAGCAGGTAATAATGGAGAGAAATTTCCTGAAATAAAATCAAAACAGGATGGTGGGCATTTAGAGAAAGCACAATTGGAGCTCAACAGTGAGAAACACAATACAGAATTGAGAAACCAAGGGGATGATCTAAAGGGTGTTAGTCCTCAGATTGATAGTGTAGTCTTAGACATCCCTAACGATCTCTTCTCTAACAAAAAAAATGAAGTCTTCTATGAGACCAAGGAGATGCCTTCTCTTGAGTTGAGTTTGAAAAGGCTGAGAGATATTGGAGATGCTGGGACCAGTGCCCATGACCGAAATGTGTTGAGACATTCGGACCTTTCAGCATTCTCTAGGTAGGAGTAATTTGGGTTCTGATTATATCCATCCTATTGTCCTCCAATGGATCCACATTTGAAAGTTGAATCTTCATTACCATGCAGGTATAATTCTGCCTCAACTGCTGATCAGGCTCCAACAGGGAATGTAGGTAGCTGTTCGCCTCTTGACAATAGTTCAGAGGCAGCAAAAACAGAATCAGTGCAAAATCTTCAATGTAACTCAAATAGCACGCCTCCTAATCAACGTTCCAATGGAAGTAGTAACAACAATGACATGGGCTCTACAACTAATAATGCTTTCACCAGATCTTTGGTAATCAGTGACAAGCTAGCACCCAAATTTATAGTTAAATGCCTCCATCCTTCTTCTGCCTTCCAGCCAGGTCAGAATGACTATACATGTCTTCCTCAGCCTGCAATACAGGGAAAAGGTGATGCTCCAATTGCTAATGCAATTCTGGCACAATCAAGAGGCATGAACCAGCAAGGCCAAGTGCAGCACCATCATCACTGTATTCATAACATGCCCCAGCAGCAGCAGAAGCTTGCCAACCATGATGATTGGTCTTCAAAAAACATGGCAGCTGCAGCTCCCCGGTGTGGATCATCTAACATTTTAAGCACACCAATGGAAGGAAATGCTGGCAATTACACTTTGAATGGAAGTGCCTCGGGAAGTGACCATGGGAGCAATTGCCAGAATGGAAGCAGCATCGCTTTGAATCCCAGAGGAATAAACATGGAGAGCAATAGTGGGGCAGCTGGTGAAGGTGAAATTCCTGGAACAGATGATGGAAGTGGGAGCAGGAGTGGAGTTGGTCGAAACTGCTTTGCACTGAGAGAGGCTGCATTGAACAAATTCCGCCAGAAGAGGAAAGAGAGATGCTTTGAGAAGAAGGTAACTGAAATTGCAGCATCATTAGATACAAGCTTAGACTTCATTTATTTTCCCTTAAAAGAACTTTTAGTGTAAAGAGTCCTCGCATGTAGATAATATTAGTAAAATATGAGATAATATGTACTTCATGACATCCAAAAAGATCTCTCAATTATTCACTTAACTCCTGCATGGTAAACACCCATTACTAAGTTCAATCACCATGGACTTATCAAGCATCAGAAATTTCTTTACCAGTTTTCACCATTGAAAACATTAGTTATCACAACAGTCATCGAAGTAAATTTGTGAAACTCAGAACAAAGCATCTATTATGATGTTATCAGTTTGTTCTAGATTGTAGTATTTAAAGTTTTATTTGTATGTTATGTAATCTTTTCTAGGTTCGATACCAGAGTAGGAAGAAGCTGGCAGAACAAAGACCGCGGGTTCGAGGACAATTTGTACGACAAGCAGCACCTGAACATAAAGATGAGGATGAAGATAGTTAATCCGACCTGTTCCCAGCTTGTGCCTTACGAAATTTGTGCTTGAGATCGGTTGCATGATGCTTGGCCGAAAAAATTACGGAGCCACTGCCATTAAAGACAAATTAATTGTGTCTAGTAGTTGTTCAGAAGGACATCTTGGACTATTCTGTGATTGTGGACTAATATAGATGTTACTGCAGTATTGACTACTGCTCCAGAGAAGGTAACCCTTCACAGGGCAGCCGTCTCCAATAAATGAACTCTTCAATTTGTTGTGTTGTGATTTACCAGTACTGCATGAAACCTGAAAGATTATCATTCCCTTTGTTCTCCTTGCATGGATTCTGTTCTAATTATAATGTCTCTTCTCATTTTGTTTCTTCTGTCAACTGGTTTTGAATGCAGATGAGAATGTTCAAAAACACACGTACACACTTGTGCGCCCGCGCGCACACAGACTGAGAGATATGACTGGCAAACTGTAGTCTGGCCTTGTTCTTATAGAGATGCTTAGCATCTGGATATCCTCAATGCCAACCCCGGAGGATATCTATACGGAAGAAGTATTGCTAAAAAATTATTTGGAAGCAACCATCATGTTATTTCCTATCTACTCATTTCTTATCTTCCATCTTCCTTCTTTATTGGTTAAGTAAAATCTTGATATCTTTCTAATTCTACCTTCGAAAATAGGGTTAATAATTTGCAGCCGTGCAATGGTGTTTCCAATATACCGGGCTCCAAAAGTTCACTAGTTGTGTATCTAAACCTTGGTTCGAAGTTTTATCTAAGTGGATAGGCAAACAGACACCAAGAAGCAGCAAATTGTTCCTTTCTATGGAAAAATAATTGATTGATTCGTTGGTTGTTACTCTCAATGCTATCCTAAATATGAGGTGGCTATTCGTTCTGTTTGTTCCTTCTCACTGCTTCGACTCAAAACTGCTAGTTCAATCAATAACCCAACGTGATCATTGCTCGGGGTCGGTGGACCATCAATGTTTGAACAGAGACCTGTAACCAAATTATCTGGAGACTACGGAAACTAAACCATCGGCTACCCAGCAAGGAGGTGAGTAGACCCATTTGCGACTGAGGCTAAAACTCATTATGAATTGATGATATCTCTAAAGCACTCCATAAAATAATTTTTGATCGAGGATATTTGCCATTTAGGGCTACACGATATTTAAAACCATGAATTCATTATGCATGAATTGCTAGGCATAGTTGACAGTTTTCAAACCTATACAAGCTCCTGGTTATTAGTTCAACGTCCGAATCAAAATCTAGTTCGGAAAAAAGAAAATAAAAGTTCAACAGTGAGAAATTGGCTACGCACCATGTGATAGTTCTCTGCCAGTTGCCATGTTGAGTTATACCATTACTTCTAGTGACCCATCCATGTTATCATAACAGTACAAGCTTTCAGGGGCAGTTCCAAGCCAGGCGTTGCATCTGCAGAAATCTCTTGTCAGCTTCTTACACTGCGGAACCATTTAGCATATCAGTTGTCCCCACTGCTTGTTCTGGTGTAACCAAGATACTTTATGTGACATTTGGAGTGCATACATCCATGCTTATGGAGTTGGTTATGATGGTATACTGATTCGTAAGTTAACGAGGTGATGAAAAACCAACGAACCTTAAAAATACTGAACAGCTTTCCCAAATGGCATTTAATAATGTTCAGTTCCCTAGATATCACACAAAGCCCAACAACATTTGATTAACATGGCCACAATTAATTCATTAGTATTCCCAATTCTGTTTGTTTTAAGTGGGCTTAGAAATGCTGATCAAATAAATCGGACAATTCTATTAAGAAATGGGATTTTTCTTTTGCCCCCTTTTTGGAAGACTGCATTTTTCTTGTGATTGTCATCACCGGACGCATGCCTCCCCATGAAAAAATATGCAGCCTCTCTTCACAGTTCTCATAACTAATAACCTTTGCTCGCTTCCCAATGTCCATCCAAACACAAATAGTTTGGATCCTCAGGTTCGAGTACCAGGATAGAAGTAGTCAACACCATTTTCCTTAACCTTGAAGTGGAAATTGCTTATCTTGTTCTTTGAGCTCCCCTTCACTTTGCAAATTCCCCTGTTCAAAACTGTCAACTGCAACAAATAAAATTGTGAGAAAATTGGTGAAGCAGGAGCAGTTAGTCGCAACATCTACTCTTTGAAGTTATTAGTTTGCATTCTCAAAACCATTATGCCAAAGCAAAGGGGAACTTTTCAGTTTGAGATGATGCTTTTCATACCTAACATGTGCACTTCCTGAAGGTCTATATAATCAAAAGATTCAACAGAACTTAAACAGCATATATTTATCCCATTATAGTAATATAATTTACCTGACCATGTACATCAGCTGCCAACCCAGTCGCCAAAGGTTCCACCTTTATCAAAACATCCGTAAGGTACTCCATCTGTAACATAAATGTAGGCCTCTCCATGCTTGAGTATATATCCTCATGATTAAGCGTTATCAAGGAACAACCCTATAAAAATAGCAAAACAGGAAGCTAAATGATTCAGCCAAAAAGTAAACAATTACCTACAACAGCAGTATGAGAAAACGTAGATAAAAGGAGTTAACAATCACAAAAGTGTCTTACAAACTCTGACGTTAAAGTGTGACAATAATGCATGAAGTCTAAGACATGCTCTAAAGAACCGTGAGCAGCCACCTCCATGAGAGACATGTCATCTATCATTATGGTAGCATGGTTCTGGTTGTTTTCAGGCAAGGCACCTATTGTTTTCTGCATTTTCCTGTACAACGCAGGAAATCCACCTTTGCCAGTTTTTCCTTCCTTCTCATCTAGTCAAATATAGAAGAATCAGAAAGAGGGCATATTTGCATCAAATCATTCCCATCAAAAACATGTGAAAATTAATAACATGTCTCTTATCATATGGTTCATAACAACTTCCTCTGATATGGACCATATCAATCTATAAACAAAATGAAAGAAATAAGTCAAATTGAGCAAAAAAAATTGAATTAATTCATCAGATTAACAGTAGGTTTTAGGAAACCGCCACAAGATGGAACGGGTTGCACTGGTAAACAGGGTGCATCGAAACACTGACTTACTGTTACTGTTAACCCAACTCAAAACCAACTATTTGCATTCTTTTAGGCAAGATAATAAGTCAAGTGTAAAATATAAAACATAATAAGAAGATTTAGCAATAACCAATTTACCTGATTTTCTCACCTGGACACAGCTGCTTAAGCATATCAAAGAAAAAGAATCTGCCATTTTCTCTTTGTGCTACCAAATTGCAACCCTGTCACAACAGCACAACTTCATATCATACCTTAAAAAATAAAAATAAATAAATAAAAACTATAATTACTTGATTAAAAACCCATTATCTTAATCCAAAATCACTCAACCAAGAAGAGAGTATATATAGAGCGTACCAGTTTCCGTACAATGCGATCGTAGTGGGAGAAGGAGTGAGAGAAGGCAAGGAAGATGATTGTATTGTTTGGAGATTGGGGAGAGAGCGTGCGCTTTAAGAGTTGGTGAAGCACAAAACAGCCGCTGGTTTCTACGCAGTCTTCAACTAGAACCACTTTGCCGCAAAGAGGCCATGGGTCAGTCTGGTGGTCGAGGCCTAGGGCTTCGTCTAGGAGATTTAGAGCTCGATTCTCCATGGATGATTAGGGTTTAGGGTTTTTGTTTGCGGGAGAGAAAATGGAGCCCGTGAAGGAGGTTTAAAAAAAAAAAACGACGAGTTTGTTTTCTTGATTTTAGATTGGTGCCGGTTATTTTAGACAATTAAAACTCCAGTTCCTGAACTATATTAAGTTTTATAATTAATACATCGAAATATCTATATTTTTATTTTATTTTTCTCAACAAATTTATTTATATACAAACAAATTGCAAGTTTCACCCAAATTTGAATATTTGTCAAAACTTGCGAAATGATTTGTTTGGATACAATGAAAAAAATTGGAATCTATTAAAGTATCTACAAAACTTTTTTTATTCATTTCGTTTCGATGATAAAAAAATTTTGAAATTAATTTTCACATTAAATAAAATTAAGTTCTCTTTCTAAATAATTTTAACAATATACCTATCATACAGACTTTTTAACAAAAATAAGAAATTGATGTTGATAAATTCACAATCTAAGAATTCATTTGGGTAGTCCCAACTTTCTTAAACATTTTTTTTAAGTAAAAATAATTGTGCCAAAAAAAAATCTTAGATGGGTTATGGGCCTTGTCTACATTGAAGAGCAATAAACTCTTCGACTATAAATGATAATCAACGTGTTGTTTAACTTGAGAGGATTTGCACAACTACAACATGTGCGCTCATTCTTTTACGATTAAAACTCTGTTTGTTTGATGAAAAATGATTTATATAAAAAAAATTAAAAAAAATATTTTCTGTTATTTGTCAATTACATGAAAAAATTGCTAAAAAATATATTATAATGTTTATTTGATACAGAAAATTAAAAAATAAAAACAGTATATGATTGTTACATTGACAAGTTTTGAGAAAACTTGAAAAAAACATATTTATAATTTCACAATATAAGATACATTTAGAAAAAATTAATAAATTTTCATAAATACCAATTTTAAAATTTTAATTCAAAAACTAAAATGTACTTTTTTAACCATAAAATAAATTCATCAAAATTACCTAGGACAAAATCAAGTCAATATTCACGTTTAGTTAAAAAAAGAAATCTAAATAATCATAGCATTGTTATTTTGGTAATTCAATTAAGAATTCTTTTTTTTCGAAAATTGAACGGATAATTTAGTTTAAAATATTTTTACAAATTATTAGTTATCATTTGTAGATAATTATTCATTTGGTTTAAAAGATTAATGTTGGAATAATTTATAACTAATTATTCACTAAAATTACAAACAAAATTTTACAATCGATTAAAATTACAAATTATTGATTAAAATACTTAAAAATAAATAAATTAATTTCAATTTCTTTTATAAAAAATTACAGTCTTGTAATAATCATTTTCAATCATTTAAGTATAGTTTAGGTGATGTTTGAGATAATAGTAAAAAAAAATAGAGATGAATTATTGAAATATTTATCATAAAAATAATTTTAAGACGTAAAAATGGGTTTTAAGAATATTTAATGTATCTATAAATAAAAAAATAAAATATTAGTATAAATAGAGAAAAAATAATTAAATAATTAAATAATTAATAATAATTTGATATGTTTAAAATAAAGAGAAGATAGAGAAAAAATTATTAAAATATATGCAAATAGAGATAAGTAATGCGAGAGCGAGACAACTCGTGAGAAAGAAAATGTTTTTCTTTTTTTTAACTGAAAAAATATTTTCTCAAAAATACTCTATCATTTTTTGTTCATTGAAATTTATTTTTTGTTGATTTTTTTTCCAAATGCTAAACAAATACTAAAAAATAAAAAATCCTGAAATTTGTTTTTCTCCATGAGGCTCAAAGATCAACCACCGAAACCATGTTTCTGTTGGGTGTGTGGACTTTGGGCTAGGCTGGAATCGTTTTCTAAGCTCTTATACTTTTGTTGATAGGCCCGATTTTATACTTATGAAACCGGATTATGGCTAATCAAGTAATCGTAAAGGGAGGGCAAATGCGAGATAAGGACAAGACTGGTTTTGCTTAAGCTATGGTTGGTTTTTTCTTTATTATGAAAGTCTGAAACCGAAGCATATGCATAAATCTGCCTATTGAGACAATAAAATTTCATAACAAGAAAAATATAGCATTTTTTAGAACGCCTTTCAATTACTGTTAGAAACATAACCTGATTGGTAAAAGGATGGAGGATAATAATTAAAATTATAAATATATCAGTTCAAGTATAAATTGTATAAGATTTAAGATACATGTGTGAATTAAAGCTAGCCAAAATGTCATCACCCTTGGACTAATAAATAAATAAATAAAACCTCTTGCAATTTTATTATTGGAACTAATGACTTCTTCTTCTCTTTATGTTGCAGCTATCATTTTTCATTGAGTTAATGGCTGTAGGGTTCTTCTATTTTTTAATTTTAATTTTATTTTTAGTTTTGATGGTATCACTTTATTTAAAAAAAAAATCACCTTTTTAAATCTTTTTAAATTTAGTTTTTATGTTAAGTATTTTTTTAAAAAAAATATCAAGAGAGTTTTTGTTAAATTTTTGAAGGGTGTTTATAATTTTAAACCACTTTTGAGTGTATATTTTTTTAAAAAAAAAATCAACTTTTACGTCAGATTAAGAAATTTATAAAATGAAAAGAAACAAACTATAATAAATTCATTCTTTTGAGATATTGTAAAATTATAAATGCTATTTAAAAATTTAATTTTTTATCCAAACTCCATTCACATTACAAAAAAAATATTATAAATATTTTATTTAAAATATGTTTACTATGATAAAAATAAATCTAAACCCATAAATAATATTTGAAATAAAATAATATTTTTATCTTCATTTTCTTTTTCATTAAAATAACGATAGAGTGATAAAATCGAGACGAAAAAAAGGTTGAAACATGTTACAATCCTATAGGACTAACAGCGTGATTTAAATCTATTAGTCAAAAGAGTCAACGAATGGACGATTTTAAGACGGGAACCAAACGTTAAAAGACGATCTTAAGACCAAAAAAAAAGAAGGGAAACGGACACAATAAAGATAAAAGAAACAATAAAAATACCCTTGCAACTATTAACTCATCTTTCATTGAAAAAAATTGTTGGACAACCAACCACATTATAATTATTTATATACAATTCTAATTGTTTAGCCTGGTGGTTTAAAAAGCTTATTTTATTATTTAACATTCAAGATCTACCCTCTAGGTTTAGTACTCAAGAAAATACATCAAATTTCTTTTAATGCATTATATTAATATGAAAAATATGTCTTTAAAATCATTAAAGAAGAAATTTAGTTTTAATTAATGCGTTTGAAAGAAAAGTTCATTTTTATCTAATTAAATTAAACCTAATCTTGCATCCTAAAATGCAAATCATTAATCTGATGCCTTTAGTTGTCACACATGCTGCATCTTTTAAAGCTTCAAATAACACAGCTAAGAACCATGAAACAGTAATACACAGGAAATCCCAGCTCAAATTAAAGCCCCCAAAATATTCGGTCTATCTTCTTGTTTTGTTTTTTTTTTTTTCTTTTCTTTTTTTTCCCCTGTTTCCAAATTAGAGCCACGAGCCATTTGGCACCAGCTGGCACTTTCATTATCACTTTTGGCCCTTTATTTTAAAGGCAAGTCAAAACTTCGAAAACGACAAAGCCCCCCATGCCCATCCTCATTAAAAATAAAAAACATTTTCTTTTGGGCCGTTTGATCATTCCTTATCTTGATAATCAGTATCTTTCGAGCCACCAAATATCAAAATTCAACTTCTCATCGATTGATCCTAAACAAATTACTCCCATTATTTTTATAAAAAAAATCGTAATTACTTGTTAAATTGTTACTTGAAGAGAACATACATCCATTAAAAGTTGACGAGAAAAATAAATTTTTTAAAACAAATCGTTATTTTGACAAAGAGGTCAAAGATTTAGATATTACGTTTGAAATGGGGCCCGCGTATGTAGACAGATCCGTTTTCTGGTGTAGCAGAGAAGCACCCTAGATTCTCTCTCAGAGGAAAGCTACGCAGCCGAATTGGTGTTATATAAGACGATGAATTACGGCTTTTACGTTTTTTACAAACTTTAGTGGAAAAATAATATAAAAAAATAATGTATTTATCAGTTATTTGTTTGTTTTTTCGGCCGGGCAAATTAATTAATTAATAAAAAACGTTCCCCTAAAACGCGGTTTGACAAAAGTATCTCTTTCCAAGCCTCGATTTTACCGCCAAAATGCCATTGGCAAAGGATTTTTCAAAAAATTACGCTAATTAAATCCCATTGGCAAAAGATGCTTCAAAAAATTACACTAGCTATTTTACACAAAAACATACCAGGTTTCTTTCTTTCTTTCTTTATTGTTATTTTTTGTTTGACAAAAGAGAGCAATGAATCCGAAGAAGAGAGATGACGAATATTAGTTGAACTAAAAGTTATAGTTTATAAATTTATAATTTAGCAGGGTTCACAATTAGTTGATTTTGGTCTCTGTTTTTCGAGAGACTACCAACTTCACTGGACTGAAACGGTAAGTTTGGTCACGAGTTTTGCGAATCCATGGCCCTATTGACAAGGGCATCATTGTCTTTGAGTAGGGATTGGTGCCCTTTCGGTAAGGATTAGATATTCTATTAAGAAAAAAGTATAGTAATTCTTATGAAATACTGACTTGGTTTGTAGCGATACAGAAAAACGGGGCAAATAACGGGATTTGCGATGGGAGGGGTATGTTTTGGATATTTATAATTTGCTCCACAAAAGTCAAAAGATGGTCTTCTATTGTTGTGAACAATAAAGAGGCAAAGAACAATGTGGAATCCTTGAGGCGTTTGCTCAAGTGGTGAGTAAATGCGCTTTGTGCATCGTCATTTTTTCACTTCGAATTTAACGGATTAATACACTTATAAACGACTTTTTTAGAGCCTAATAGGAATGAAAGTAATATCAGCGTGCAAAAGGTGAATCAAGAATGATGGAGTTTAAATAAATAAATAAATCAATTTTTTTCTTG